ACGCACCCAATTCAGCATCTTATCCTTGTCAGCATGCATAATGGCGAATGGCTAGCATTACTCACTTGTCATCGCTTGAGCAAGCTCTTGAGTATACATTTCCTTCCCTCTCAGTATGAGAAAACAAAACCGTCAGGTATTCTCAAGGTCATGGACTCAGGGCTTCCCACCAAATGAATATTTGAAAAGAGAGCGTTTGATGTCAGTCCCGGACACTAGATGCACGGCCCGCACTACTTGTGCGACTCAAAAGGCACAAGCGACGGACGAAGGCCGTTTCGAAAGAGAGAAAAACATACGATTTAGACATTGGTACGAACCACCAATAATAGTTAAGAACCAAACACACCACCGTTTTGGTTCCTTTATCTGGAGGCGCTTATCAAGCGTCCGTCCCAAGCGTTGAACAAACACAACGGCTGCCTCATCAGAGACAATGTCTCATAATTGCTGTGGAGCGTAGAGTTGTGATTGGTTATCATACCAGCTTGCAGAAGAGTGACCCGCAATGACCAAGACTTAGCGCTGAAAAGGAAAGGCTGGTTTTGATCACTCTGAGGTACCGGCAAGTCACTCTATCATGGATACCTTGCCCATCAAGCATGGTCAGATAACAGCACCACCAAGCCTGCTCATTGAGAGGGAATGCCCTTCTAGGCATGATATACCAAACTGATGGAACATCAGCTCGGGAGAAGAATGTGCATTGGGCCTTTTAACAATTCAGCTCTACAAGGGTATTTCTTTTTTTGGTAGGGATGAACCCATGCTACATCCAGGATCAACTGGAGATTCTACTGTACCGCATCTTGGGAGAGCAAGATTTGGCACCACGGCAAGAGCTAAGACCTGGTCATTTGCTTATTGGGCGGCCGAACATAGACAGGGTAGAATGACGAGAGGTCCTGGCGATGGGTTACCAGTTCTCTGGAAAGCTCTAATGTGGCCAACTGTTACTGCACACCCTCCTACCAGCTCATATTCCGCCCATACATGCCATCAAGCGAAGGCTAAGATCCGATGCCCCTGTTGCTAGAGCTCGAGACTAGCTTCAACTTAATCCCCGTGTCCCATTTTCTCGGGTTCTCGCTGAGTTCAAGAACATCCCAAATACGATCCCCTGCAGCGTTTGGATTCTGGGCGAAAGCGAGAGCATTGGCACGGCTCACATCCTGTCATGATTTCCAAAGGACTGTTTCCCTTCAACATGGCATCTCTAAATATCCGAACTACGTAGAGGTCTGACTTAGGTATTATGCTTCCGCTCAGAAACCTACGACTCCGATGAGATAATGATCGATGCCCTGGCGTCAGCCATGCCGCCAGGAAGAATGAACACTTTTGCACTAAGAAGAGTTGACGACGTGCCCTTTCCGGAGAGACAGTCTGAATATGGACGACAGCCATAAATCATGTATCCTTCATGAGTGCGAGGACAGAGCATGTGGGTGTTATCATGCCCCGTTTGGGGTCAGTGTCATAACGTTGAGCGGTACGGAGAGATACACCGAATTCGACATAAACATGCGTGCCACAAGGATCATGGGGGAGTCAAGCGACAAACCCATGATGAGAGTGGTCACTGGTCAGTGACGCTGCCCAGAAAGGGTTTAAAGACCGGGGGACAGGGGCCCCGTGTTTCTCAACTTGGCGAACAAGGCCAGAAGCGGATCCATTCTACACGTGGCCAGCGAGTCTTGGCAATGCTCCTCTCCAGATACAGATGCTAACTTAGTGTAGCGCTTAGCTTCATGGAGGTTGCTTTGTTGTCTTAACTTCTCCCCTCGTCGATATCAGGCGAAGAGCTGAAAGCGATACGCCACTATTGGAAAACAAGTCGAGTGTGAATCTCAAACATGGGCATGCCTTATATGGGGCATGGCTGTGATGACATGGACGTCGTTGAGTTTTACATGAGCCCGATGCGCCGAGTAATGAAGGCAGCAATTACCCTTCCAATGGCCTAGATCAAGCTTAATAAACCCTGAATAATCACACAACGACGCCAGTCTTGGTAATGGGTACTCCAGGCTAAGACAAGCTTTTACTGTCCAGCGGGTCACTGCACAACGTGCCTGAACCCCTTCCTCCGGACGATGCATGTAGCTCCTGGTGGGCCTCAGTCGAACTCTTCCATGTCTATGTATGTCATCGCGGTTTCTGGCTTGATCAGTATCAAGATGTATACCCCGTAGGCCTCGACGGTGAGCCGCCTTTTACGGATATAGCGAGTGTATTATTATCGGTATGTCGTCTCATTTCGCCTTTTCTCAGATGGGTAATAATATCGAGTGCCATGCCATGCGCTGGCATCTAGATGTTCTTTTTCTTTTCTTTTTTTCCTTTTCTTTTTTCCCCCTTTCGGAGGCCGCAAATGCTCGCTTGTCGAAACACACTAACAGAATTACCTGCAATAAAGCGAGTCCTGCAAGAATAAGGAGATAGATACCGAAGCGATTGCGCGATATGTGTATTCCGTACGGAGCATATGCGTCTCTTTTTCGACACCCTGAAAATTTACGAAACAACAGGAAACAGGTGGCTTGGGTGGTTTGCTAGCATCTGGACCGCCTCTTGTGGCTGCAGCCAACATTTGAGCTTGGAGGGGTCCAATCTCATTTGAGCCAGCCACGATCACGGACTAGAGCCCAAATCGAGAGGGCGTCTGCATTGGTAGTCTACTAGTGTTTTCCAAGGGACTGGTACTCTGTGCTCTGTGCGCTATGCGCTATGTTCTGTACTCGGCCCAGGAACGCGAAGAACAAAACCTGACGGCTGTGCTTTCGTGGAGCACTAGTTATGACTAGCACGCCAATGACAGTCCTATTGAAATTTGAAGTTGAAGCTAGAGACGCTAAATTTCATTCTTTTAGGGGCCTCAAGCTAAGCAATCTGCCGCTGGTCAATTGCTGGTTTATTTTGATATGGGGAGGTACTGTACCTGTGGTACCGCCACGAATGTCTTGGCGACCCTCTCGATGCTCGGTGCTCGATGGGGCGCATGGGTGGATCATCCATGTTGGCAATCCCGATGGATCCTACCGGAAGATCTCCCTTTGTTTCCTGTGTGGGATGTGATGGGGCTTCCAGCCAGGACTTCCCCTGTCTCAAGTTGGAAAATTGCAAGGGGGCCGCGAGTCGTAATCACAACACCACAGGCTTTGTTTACTTGAAGCCAGTTTCAAATCACCACTCCCTTCGCTCTGCTTGCAAGCGGCACAGCAGACAACAGACATTTGGAGCCAAAAGCCACCCACCACATCGGCCGTCATGTCACTACCCGTCCCTTTACGAAGGAGCGGTTATGCTGACAGCCTGACTTGACAGTGACACTGGTGTCCGGGACCTTGCAGCTTTCACCCGTAGCTTTGGATAGCACGAAAACACAAGTCAATTGTCGGTACAGAGTATAGATATGCAGTGGATATCACGGCAAATCCTGGAGAGTTGTGCAACAGCCTGCGAAATTACGGGCTATGCGTCACCTGTCACATTAATACGCTGTCCGACCTGAGATGAGCTTTCCATAGTTCCATGATGCTATTATTGTTCTGGTCAGGTTGGATCACCATGCCTTTTCTTTCTCTTTCACTTATCGTGGCACAGACTGTTACTCGACCCAAACACACACAAGCTACGGAGTATTATGTACTTGGTTTGCCTTCTCTTGACCATGGTCCACTTGAGTCAGAGCGCCGGGGAAAACCATATCCGTGCTTCGAAGCCGAGAACTTATCATTTTGATAAGAACTCCGCCAAAGTGATACCGCCACGGGTTTAAACCGAACTCTCATGAGGGCATATGTCTTGCGACGCCGGCGGTTTTGACAGACTTCTCCCACTCGTAGACTCGGTAGCCTTTCTTCAACCCGTTGCTTTGTTTATTGTCGAGACGCGTCAGGGGCAGGGGAAGGGACTTCGGTCTAGTCTAACAAGGCAGAGCAAGTCTCAAGTGAAGAAAAAACTGACACTGGCGTCTTTTCTCTTGTGGAAACGCTTGCCCACTTGTTAGCACGTTAACTCTGGTTCCCTGCGCACGAAATTACCTTCTTCCCCGCTTCAACGGGCGACGGACTCTATGAGAGCTGCTTTCCCGCCTGCTTGGCCAGATAGCACCGGAGGAAACGGTTCGATGACAGGTGCTAATCAAGACATTGTTCATGGGTCGGGTCTCGACATCCACGATAGTAGTAAGTAACGTGGAGCCGCGCGTAGTACCTAGTGCACTTGCAGAGCGATGCTCAACTGTCTTTTCTGCGTAGCGTAACGGGTACACGAAAGGGCATGATGCTGAGAAGTTTTGTCTGAAAGAACAAAGGACGATCAAGAGACGTCTCAGTTGAGGTGGCTTTGGAAAAGTCCCATCTAATGGGAGCTACCCCAGTCGAAATTTGTTGTGTGAGAGGGTGCAGCTGTATCGGTGATGGGTGAACAATGCGCGTCTCCATCATGTCTTGAGCTGACAAAGGCCTTTATCAGGGATCTGTTGCAGAGTCTCCCTTGAATAAATGACTTCCAGCGGTGCGACAGAATATCTTCATTCGGTCTCATCTGCACGTCGCCTGTCGTGTTGCTTCAGTGTGCCGATCATGGATGGATCAGATCGTAATTGGGATCTACAGGGAGTGACAAATAAGATGAAGCCAAGTTACAAGCACCGAGGGAGAAAAGGCATGATGATGTCAAGACGATTGACTTTTCCAGGGCGATGATCTTTCGCCTATCTATCTCTCTTCTAGGAGAACGATCCGGGGCCTGCTGATCTACTCTGCTCCTGATCTATTGATTGCACATTCTATCATGATGATGAAACCAAGTGGTTTTGGGTTCCTCCTTCGCAACACCATGTCTTCTGTTGCCATTATCCCTCCCTCCCTCCCTCCCTCCCTCCCTCGCACTCACTCACTCGCTCAGTCACTCACTCGCTCAGTCACTCACTCACCCACCAGAGTTCCACCTTAACTCCGCTGTCGCATCCGCTGCGTGGCCTGGATTACACATCACAGTCGGAGAGCATTGGAAAGCTCGATGGTCACCTTGCCGCCCTCGCTCCGAAGAACCTTGACAGAGGAGAGGTCTCGAACCACCCAGTCTGGTTCTGCGGCGACGACTTGCTCGACAGTATGGCTGGTCACCAGGCCGAGAACTTTGCACCCGGCTGCTTTTCCTGCGCGGATCCCTGCTGGGCTGTCTTCGAGCACGAGAATCTGTGCACCCTCCGCTTCCAGGCCGAGGCGCTCACGTCCAAGGCGGTAGCAGGCGGGGTCAGGCTTACCATTCTCAACGGACTCAGCGGTGACAAGGCGATCGGAAGGCGGCGTGGGCAGGTCTCGAGCATGGAGCCATCCAGTCACAAGAGGAACCGTGCCGGAGGTAACGATCGCCCAAGGGCTAGATCTGGCGATAAGAGCTTCTAGCATGGAACGGGCGCCGGGTATCTCAACAGCCTCGTGGCCGTGGTACTTGGGGAGACGACCCTCCATATCGCGTACATCTGGAAATGATCAGCGGTTGCTTGGTCTAGTTTCTAAGTTCCAACTGCCGCTATGGGTAGTGTATTTGCATGGGTCATAGCCTCGTAAGCACCACATTGCAGCGAGATTCTTTCCTCAAGTGAGGAAGTGAATCCGACAAAGGATATCCATGATTTTGTGCGTATGATGGCTATCCCGTCCTTGCTGTGGGGTATGAAACTGCGGTTGTGTCACTTACAGTCCCAGTTGGCTTTCTCAGGCGCGAGGATTTTTAGGACATCGATGCTTCGTCGTCCATGAGAGGTCTCAAGGATGACTTCAGGAGCAACTCCTATCTCGTTGCCAATTCTATGCTGGGTTAGTCACTCGGCTGTGTCATGGAGGACATGCAGATGCGGTTGTACTCACGTCTGCCAGTGCTTGACTACTGCTTCCGTGGAGTCGATAATGGTACCATCCATGTCGAAGAGGAAGCCATCAAAGGTAAGCTCCTGCGGGGGCAGGCTATAGTCTGGAGTTGAACCCATCGTATCCGAAGTGAGTGTAGGAATTGGATGAGGGTTTAACAGAATGATGCGGCGATGATAGTTGAAGTGGTTTTCTAGTTTTTGACTTTGATTGGTGACTTGTTGACTGTTTGTTATATGCTGTCTGTTGCGTCCCTTGATGTATATGATATGAGAAGAATTGCGAATGGTTTATCGTAGTTATAAATGAAAAGATAGAGTCAGTTCGTAGGTGGCTGTTTTGGGTATCTCCGCATTGTCTAGCGGAGCGGTGAAGTGTGGAGTTCAATGAAGTTACCCATCGTCACCTCAGTAAGGAACTGTAAGGTGATGGAGGCGGGCATTTATAACAGTATTATAGTTGCTACATACACATACTCCTACCATGATCAGATTTTTCATAATATTCGCCAGCGTCTGTCCCATGGTTCATTTTCCAAAGCCGATGATGGGTTGACTTTGGTGTGGTCCTACCCTATACTTTCAATATTTCCATATTTGGCCATCTGCCACTCTTGGCAATTGACTGCTCATTGGCCATGTTCCTGTTTGCCGTTAAAGAAATGATGGCTGCAGCCTCCCGTGTTACCTCAGCCAACATTCTATTAACAGAAAAGAAAAGAAAATGAACAGGATGTAAAATATGAATATAAGCGCGAGTTGTGAGAATTAAAAAGTGAGGTCAGCTTCGAGTCTCGTTTGGGATCAAACAGGCCAACTTTGCTTATTTCAAACTGTCTCTTCTCACTCAGCTTATGACGGATGCATTAATTAACCTGATTATCCCCACTGCGAAGTAGAAGAACGAGACAACATCTGTTAATCTCTTCTTTTACTTTTCATCTTCATTTCCATCTTATACTAACTCTCGCTGTTCTGAATCTCAACGCACAATGGGTTCACAGATTGCAGACCCTGATGAGATTACTGTGCTTGTCACAGGCTTTGGTGTATGTTACGGTTGCATGTTTTATTCTTCTTATTCTTTCTCATGTTGAGCGTCATTTGCTTGGCCACCCCGCTCGACGTCACGCAATACAGCACATCACAACACAGCATAGCGATCGATTCACCATGATACCGCATGTAAAACATGTGCTGACTTGATGAGAATACAGCCCTTCAGGGAGCAATACCCCATTAACCCCTCATGGGAAATCGCAAGCTCCCTGCCATCATATCTTCCTCCGCTACGAGCCAAGGATCCTAGCTCGAGACATGCGGTCGCTGTTCTACCAAAGGTGCGCATTGTAGTACACCCGCAGCCTATCCGGGTCAACTACAAGACAGTGAGAGGTCTAGTGCCGTCCCTCCACGACTCGGCACAGCGGTTCGATGTTGTTCTTCACATTGGAATGGCTGGACCGAGGCCCTTCTACTCCATTGAGAGGAGGGGCCATCGTGATGGGTACAAACATCCCGACGTCGATGGTGAAATGGTAGATAGCGAAGAGGAGCGCGAGAGCAGTGACTGGCCATGGCGAGGACCGCCCGAGGAGATCGAGACAGACTTGAACCTGGATGAGGTTCTCCCGTTATGGTGCGGACATAGCCCGGTGAGTTTGAATGACCTTTACAAAGATGACAATGAATCAACACTAACTTGTATCAAGAATGCGGACCTGCGCATTTCCGAAGACGCAGGTCACTTCTTGTGCGACTTTATCTACTACTCCAGCCTCTCAGAGCTATGGAAGCTGCAGCGTCCTAGAAAAGCGCTATTCCTCCACGTCCCAGCAGATGCCACGCCTGAGAGCGTTGAGAAGGGGAGGGATCTGACATTGAATCTGATAAGGTCTATTGTCGAGAGCGAGATTGTTGCTAAGAATAGCTCACAGGGGGGACAGACTGGTGATGGGGAACTGTGATATCAAGTTTGAATAAGATGGTATATAAGAGAGTATCATCAGCACATCATTTAGCAATCATAAGAATGGGTGTTTAGCTATATAATCCGAGGTCATATTAAACGTATATCATTTGTAACTCTGACAGCATCTTTGGTGTTGACCAAGAGTATGACATCACAGCCGAGGTTACTACTCTAAGGGTCTTTCTCACGAAACTGCAATTGATGACTACCAAGTAGGTCCAATTACAACCGCTCCTCATATCGGCGGCGAATCAGTGGCTTTGGCTTAGTTATCGCCGTTTCCGGAGATGCTGTAAGTGGAACAGCCTCCACTTCGACTTGTGACTCCAAGAATCCGATATACAACTTCACCCTCCCATCTCACACTGTAACCATCCACCAGATCAATTCTCTACAAACAAAACCTTCAAAATGTGTAAAAAGGCCACCTGCGGAACCTGCAGTAAGACCCCCGTCCCCTGACTCCCCTGAATAAACCCATGCATCAACTAACACACGCAAGACAAGACCTCCTGGTGGGGTTGTGGCAGCCACATCCAGTCTGTCCTTGACAGCATCCCTGAGGCTGAGCGTTGCTCGTGCGAGCCCAAGGTTGAGGTTGGCGGAGTGTCGTATCCTCCCATGGCCGCCTCGCCAAACTGACTGATCGAGAGAGCTGCGGCGCTGGTTCTTTGGACACGCGGGAAGAAAGCGACATGGTCGCCTACGGGTGTTGTGGAGGAGCCTTTATAGGGCTTATGATGATGATGTGATGACATTGTGATGGAAGAGTGTGGATTGGCGTGGCGTTGAGAGGTGTTTTTGGGGAGAAGACAATTTGACGGGTGGTAGTCATAGTATCAAATCGAAGGGCATTTATTTGACATGATCATATCTATCATATTCAACTTGTACTTGATATTTATAAACCACTATAAAGCATGGTATCTAACATCGTCTACCTCCTTCTCGCACCTCCAGCAGCAGCATCACCACGCTCAGCCAAAGAGACCACCTCTTGAATACCAGCAGCTTCCTGCTCCTCCTCAATCGCCACAATCTCCTCACGGCAATCCCACCACTTCTCCTCGCTGAGCTCAAAAGCCTTGGCCTTGATCTCCTTGATGGCAAGCGTCTCGGGCTGGATGTTCTTCCACCGGAGACTCGTCATGAGGATCTCTTGCCACTCGTTTGATGTGCGTACGAAGAACTCGCGTCGACTCTCGAATGGCTAATTGTATTGTCAGTGATTCGTTCTCTTTATATCTAGGCTGTTTGGGAAGTCTTACTCTTGGATGGGGAAGGCCGTCGTCTACAGACGTGGCCGCAGTCTCGGTCTCGTCCTCTTCAGAAGGCGTGGATGGCTCTGAGGAAGCCTCCGATGAAACCTCGGAAACCTCGTCCTGCTTCTTCTTCCGCTTGCTGGCTGTGTGCAGCTGCTGGGCTGAATCTTCTTCGTCGTCCTCATCTTCATCCTCATCGTCTTCTTCATCGTCATCTTCGTCGTCCTCATCATCAGACTCCTGAGAGTATAGTTAGCTAACCGGATTCCAAAACCGATGACATGATAACTCACAATCCAGTCGTCAACAGCCCGGCTAAATATTTCCTTACAACCATCCAGTTTTCCAAGATCGATGGCATATAAATCATCAAAGGTGAATTCTCGATCGCCCTTTTCAAATGTACCACCATAAATGTAGAGAACATCGTCTTGGATGGCTAGTTGAGCGTTGAACCTCATATGCGGAGGCTCCATGGTCACTGGCATCTCCCTTGCTGGCTTGTCATCATCCTGTGCCTCTTCCTTCTTGGCAAGTTCTATATCATCAGCATCATCGAGAGAAGCACCGGTTTCCAAAGCTGCAAGCTGCCTGAGCAGTTCATCCTCATTGGCTTGAGCACGCCCACGGCGTCCGCCTCGTGGCTCAACAGCGGATTTCTTCTGCTGGCGAGGTTTTCGTAGACCCAATGGCATGAATCTGTTTCGCTCGATATTCCAAGCAAACAGCTGGTTGAAAAACTCACTGTCCATGCCCTCCTCACTAGCTTCGACGTCGTGCACTCCTCCGAAAAGGATACCACGACCCTTGTGCCATGCCATCGTCGCACCAGCACGTGTAGGATTAGGAGCATTCGCTGGCTTCTTTCGCTTTTCCCAGCGTACGACGGGAGGAGTATTGGGACTGGCATCAGTAGTAGGCTGTGTGATTCTGAGGAAGAAACAATCCTCATGAACCTTGGGAGTCAGAACGTTTCGCTGAGCTTGGCTGGGTCCCTTGTTTCCTTTTTGCTTGACATTCACAGTCGCCTTCACACGGGAGTAGCCTCCATAGAGAACAGCACCTCCCTCATGGGGTAGTAGAGTAAAAGATGAGCGAGCATCTGGCTTGAGCTGGGCAGGAGGAAGCTGAGGAGAGTGCCACACATAGTTGACGGTATCGAAGATCCATAGATCGGACAAATACTTTGTCTGGTTCGAGGTATCCTGGAAACCACCGAATAGGATGATGTACTGCTTCCAGTAGGTCATTCGATGGCCACTCCGCGCAGAAGGGCTCTTGTCCTTGCCCTTGGTCTCGATCTTGGTCCATTCCCTGGCTGCTGGCTCCAATCTCCAGAAGTCCGAGTAATGGTGAAAAGTCCCTTGTTTGGGCGAGGAGAACTCTCCACCGAAGAGGTAGACGTGGTTCGGGTTTCCAGCTCTGGTCCAAGCATGGCCAGATCGAGGTAAAGGAGCGTTGGGCGATGAGACGCACCGCCATTCATCGCGGTTGATGTTATAGATATTCAAGTCGTTAAAGAAATGAGCGACGGAGCCGTTGAAGTATTCACCACCGAACAACAGCAGAGAGTTACTATCATGAGGTGACGCCATCAACGTAGAGGCAGCTCTTGCTCTTGGTGGCGCATCAATCACAGTCTCGGTGATCTTGAGGAACTGTTCCTGTTGTCGACGATACTCCTCTAGCACCTCATCAAGATCAACATCCTCGGCATCACTCCCGTCGACCTTGGCCGCTTTACTCTTGGCCTTCTTCTCTCCTTTATTGGCCTGCTTGGCCGCCTTCTCAGCCTGATCATAGTCATCAGTCAAATGTTCGTCATGTCATGCAAGATCCATAGAGGGGCAGCTTTTGGAGGGGTAATTGAATGGAGGGGCAGGCAAAGTAGTAGCACAAGGTAAGGTATAACGGCACCTTTTTGGCCTTTTTGGTATCGGCGTTCTTCTTCTTGTCTTTGGCCATGATAATTAAGTGTATATGCCAAGGTTGGGCTCTGAGGCGAAAATCCTGTGTGTGGATGGGGTTGCCCGAGGTTTTGATCAAGTCAAATTCTACCATTCACAGGACAGTGTCAATTAGTTTTATTCACACTGTAATGTATCAGCATATTATCATCTTGAACAGGTAGCCATTGAAACAGTGATACTTGGATGATTGAAATAGCTCTTGAAGCAAATGAACATCGCTAGTAAATTAATAGGAATGTGAGGTACAGGCAAGGACTTGGTCGTCAAAACGCCAATGAATAGTTCTCACTCGTCCAGATACTCACAGCATGTTCAGAGTGACGCTCAAAATGTTCATATTATCTTGACAAGCCGTGGTATGGCCGTGTAATTAGTACATATAATTCCAGTATTGGTACAGTTCTCCGAATAACTTCCTCAACAGGGTATCTTCACTCCCGTGGCTTTGAGTATTTCCCTGGGAGGTAAGCAACAAGAGCCTTGCTAGCTCCCTCCATGCAGTACTGCACAACCTCAACTTTCCTGCCAGCAGGCGCCAGTCTTGCAATTTGTCGAATGTCGCTCGTACGCGGTAGGAATAGGGCATGGTCTAGCCTGTTGTACGCATTATGCAAATCATCGAGATTGTATGGTTGCATATTATACAAATTGAACACCTCGTCAGTGCGGTACCCAGGACCTCCCCATGGCGGACTCGCAAACAAGACTGTTTCATCAAGGTTCACTCTGAGATCTGGGTGTAGCTCTTCTGGACGGTTGAACAACTTGTCCAGATACACAAAACTATCCCCAAGAACCCACGTGATCACTCCGGAGTCAGCACCATACACCTTGGCGTTATTCTGAGCACAAGCCAGCGTGGAAGGATCGCGCTCGATGGAGATGACGCGACTCCAGCGTTCTGAAAGGGTGAATGCGATAGTGTTGCCGCCTGCGCCGCCAAAGACGTCGATGAGGATGTGCTTCTTCTCATCAGTGCCATACATATCGTGAGCAACTTGGCTGAGACGAGTTAGTCTGAGTCTAATATAGTAGGGATTTGAGAACTGACTTTGCTACCGGCTCTGGTGTTACACCGAACCAAGCATCGTCGGTCATGTAAACTCCATAATCGTAGAGTGAGAAGATTGAATAACGTTGCGCAAAATATCTGATTACCTTGGTTAGTATTGGACAAGTAAAGCAAATACTTTTTACTCACTTTTGATTATCCCACGGCACTTCATGCTTTCCTTGATAGTGGTGACACTTCTCGGTGAGAGGCAGCTCCTCGGCAGGCCCCATTGAGTACTGAGAATTATCTAGCGACATGTTTCCTGATGGATTGGAAGCAACTTAGTAAAGAATAAAGTATATAAGCGCAGAGGTTGGAATAAAAGAATAAAAATTAATTGGTAGGCATTCTGGCAAAGCTTACAGATTCTTGACTTGTCATGATAAAGTATGAGAAGAACTTGTATGTTGAAATTGAACGCGAGGCTGTCAACAAGCTCCCCACAGTGTGCTCCACATCTCTGTTAGCGGTCTTGGCGCCAGCGTCAGAGCTGCAAGGCTGAGGTCAATGGTGACAGCTTGCTTAATGGGGCCGCCCTTGAGCTTCCAGTCCATTTCCATCCCATCTGATCCCAAAGACTCCAGCAACTCCAGACCATTTTCTCCAAAACTCAGTAATAAAATACGCATAACGATCCAGCACACAAACCGCTGGAGACATGTTTAATGCGCTGAACCGATTCATCTCGCGCTTGGACGGAGACGTCCAGCAGCAGAGGCAACAGGAACGAGGTTCTTTTGGCTTCCAGGTGCTGCGCAACACCAACTTGGAACTTGCTGTTGAGCCATGGTTCGATTTTATTGTTGGAATTAATGGTAGACCTATTGTGCGAACCGCTGCTCTCCATGCTCTCAAACTACCTTATCACTAATCCTGTATTATAGGAGGACCCTGAACCTGCCTTGTTCAGTCAGGAAGTGAGGAACTGCGCGGGCAGCACAGTCACTCTAGGATTATGGAGCGCAAAGGTACTTCTATTACTTCAACCTGAGAAATATCAATTAACAGTTCCTAGGGTCAAAGAACTAGGGAAATCCACGCCCCTGTGGCGCCAGATACAGCATCCCTCGGTCTATCTCTCCAATACGCCCCTCTTGCTCTGGCCGCCAACATCTGGCACGTTCTCGACGTCCCCGCCAACTCCCCCGCCGATGTCGCCGGTCTCCTGCCGTACAGCGACTATATCCTTGGCAGCCCTGAGGGTGCACTATACGGCGAAGGTGGTTTAGGAGAGCTCGTTGAGGACTTTATCGGACGACCGATGCGCATTTGGGTTTACAACAACGAGTACAACGTCACCAGAGAAGTCACAATACAGCCCAGCCGGGACTGGGGTGGTCAGGGTGCATTGGGTTGCGTTCTTGGATATGGCGCACTTCATCGGATACCCCCTCCACTGAGCGAGCCTGTCGATGCCCCTGGCGAGACCATGTTCGACGGAGCTACTAACGAGAAGAGTGAGGATGTGTTTGTTCCTGCTGCCGCCAGCTTAGAACAGCCACCCCCTCCCTCAGGGGACTTTTTGGTGCCCGCGCAAATGATTGACAGCACTCCTACGATCGCACCGCCGAAGGGAGGCGGAAAGAAGAAGGAACGTCATGGTCACGGTCCCAATCCTCTGATGGAAGATTACTTCAAGGAAGAGGAGGAGAAGAGCCGGGCTGTCGATAATGCGCCATCGGCCAGGAATTCACCAGCGCCTCCTCCACCAAAAGCAGGCCCCCCTAGGGACTCTCCCAAGCCGGAGGCTCAAGCCAGTGGTGGTGAAGGCGAATAATTTATGGCGAAATAACATGTGTAAACGATTCCCCCTTGTTGATGATTGTTTTATTCCTCGCTCTATTGGTCAAACTTTTAAAAGGATTTCGTGAAATGCCGTTGTTTATCGTCCACTGCCTGCCGGGCCCGACATATCCCTCCAGGAGATCCCTATTCCATCAGGGAAGTAGTATCCAGCTCATCGTCTAGTTGATGAAGTTGATGGCGAAGAAATGCAAGATGATGCTGCAGACGACATAGTCGGCGAATGCCCTGAGATAAGGTCAGTTGTCAGATCTTTAGCAAAGGTCGAGGCGAAACAAACCTTTCGGGGGACACTGAGGGGCAGTCGGTCTTGGAGGCCTCGTTTGTTTGAAGTCGTAGAGAAGCTAGACAACGAATTAGTGCTCATACTCTTGAGTCGATGTCCATCGCAACATACCTGTCAAGACGAACTGTCCAACCGTCACACAGAATCCAGAGAGGAAAGCGTTGAAGGGCTGAATATCCATTAGCGCTAGATGGCACGTATAATTTGTCAAGACTTACGAAAGTACCCAGAAGGGCGCAGTTGATGAACTGAATAACGCCGACGACGACGAGGAACATCATAAAGGCATCGACTAGCTTGATGCGCTGGGGAGTGTTGTCGACATAGTGGCTCCAGAGGGTAGGAATGACCTTGTTCCACTGCACGTTTGCCCTGGGGTCACCCTTCCTGGTGAGGACCACAGGCTTGGGCTGCTGAACCTGAACCTCAACCGGAGGCTGAGGTTGAGGGACAGGACCAGAGGTGACGGTGGCCTGGGAGATGCCCGGAACCGGGGGGACATCGCGAACGCTTTTCTTGGCCATGATGAAGAATTAGGGTAGCCGCCTGTGTGGATAGGTTTCGATCGGCCGATGCGCGCGGGGCAATCTTGTCGATATCGTGAGGATTTGGTGATGGTTGATTCTTGGTGTTGGTGGTTTCGGTTCGTTTAAGTTAATGGTTGGAGGTGCAGCCAGAGACAGCTCTGGACACGAAAGCTCCAAGGTGGAAGGCTTGTGATTGGCCAGAAGACAGATAGAATCCGGGGGTCAAACCCCACCCGCTCTAGTCGCAAAAGATACGTACCTTGGAGATGTCGTCAATAGCCGACAGCTCCGCAGCTTTCATCGTGTTCCAGACAACAAAAGACCAAACTTGCTATCTTATCGTTTTAAAATAACAAAGTCAATCAAATAATCAAGCAATTGAAATAAAATTATCCACAATGGTAAGCCAAGATCCCATCAATTGCCCCTCAGACCACCCACTCACATACATGCAATACCTAGGCTCCTGTTACTGTTAACTATCACGATCTCGAGCTTCCCGCCTATATCCTGGGCGCCATCACTGCTGGTGGTGGAATCATGGGCTACGCTCGCTCAGGATCTGTTCCCTCTATTGTTGCTGGCTGTGCCGTTGGACTTTTATGTAAGTTTCTATGTTAATTCCTCTACTGTACCGAGTTGTATTGCTAATACCACAGGATAGATGCCCTTGGAGGCTACCGTATCCAGAACGAGCAGCCTTACGGAGTTGAGCTTGGTCTGCTTGCCTCGGTTGTTCTGGGCGGCTCAGCTTTCCCCCGTGCTTTTCGTTCGATGAAGCCTGTTCCAATTATGCTGAGCGTTATTTCGGCCTTTGGTCTATTTACCTACGGCACTGCTCTTACAAGAAAGGTCTGAGATAGATACGGGTGATGGAGTACATATGAGACTCGTAGGTCGATACACCTTTAGGCCTGGTTTCCTTGTAAATTAAGAAAATGTTTATATGAGGATCTTTTGATGTCATGTGAAATAACTATATACTACTATGGTCGGCCAAACACTCGGGCATAGGGTGATGTTTTTCGATTATGGAACTAGAAAATACTTGGCTGAGGAGGCTTATCGACATAGTTTATCTATAAGAGAGAGACAGCGCAAAGCATTTTTCAAGCGCACTCAGTCATGAAATAAGTCGCTTTATATTAGATAACGTCTGTCATATTTTGATTTCATTTCCTGACTGACATTCTGGAGAATGCCCTAGTCTTTACGCGCCCGTTTACTCCTTTCACGGATACCGTAGCGACAAACCAAGTGTAACACTATTGATGGTAACCTTATAATTCAGACAATGAGTACAAACTTTCCAATAAGGAGAAGGCAAATTACTGCTTGTTCTTCACTTGTCAAGTAGAAGCAAGCCAGGTTAGTTCGCCGACATTTTGACTCTCTCTCTCTCTATATATATCTATATATATATCTATATACATATATTCCAGATGAGGTTCCAGCTATCAAGTCGGGTGATAGCCTCGACGGCACTACTCTCAGTTTGCCGGCGATGCACTATTCAACCAACCAACGATGGAGCCACCTTAGCCAACGCCATGTTTGGCGAGGGAATAACCATAGTCAATTCTATTTACACTGGAGCAAGTGTCGCAGCTGGAGTATTCACTGAAGGGCCCTTTGGCATGGGAACCGCTGCCATACTTATAACGGGATCGACTGGTGGAGCTGCAACCACAAACGGTGATCGCTATGTCAACAACGGGCGCACCTGGGTCGGGAATGTATTGCGGAGAGAACACCTTCAATGGAGCGCTGTTGAAAGCCCAAATCTCTGTCGATACTGCCTTCAGTGGTATTAGAGTCGAGCTCGTTATCGGCTCTGAGGAAGAAGGGTAAGTCATATGTGACCGTCGATTAATTCGACAAGCCAAACAATCCCAACAACCACTGCTCAAGGGTCTTCCAGCGAGCCTTCGACCGAGTCTTCCGCTGCATCGGCAGCTGTGACGAGCTCAAATATCACCTCGGATCTAGCTTCAGCCTCTGGACTAACCACAAAATCCACCGGCTTCACTACTGGTAACTCTACCGTTTCCCATTGCCCATCTTCTAGCATTTTTGCTGGAACCCATTGATGTTTCAAATATAAGAACTTCTATCGACTCCGTCGAAACTCTTGATTCTTCAGTTTCTCCCACAAAATCATCAAGTGGATCGATTCCCCTTTACCCGACGACTATGCCACACGATATAAGCAAGTCTACAATGACGGGAGTAGTGGTGCCTATTGTCACCACTTTAGTATACACCATTGTCGACCCGAATAACCCATCTTCCCTGACGGTGACCGAGTTCTGCACCACGTTAAGACCACCGCCATGTCGTCACTGTCAGTATCAAAAGTCACCAACGGTGGAGATGACAACTACTGAAGTTGCATATAATGCTTGCGGCCAGCAAGGCGAAAACACCATCATCCTACATGTGCCAGCAAGGGCGATTGCGGCATCACACACCAAGGATCACCCCGCTCAGAAGACGGATCGAGTGCTATACCATGAGCCTAAGCCCCATGTGCAGGGAGATGCCCCTGGACAGAAGACTCACCCAGATGAAGGAGATTCTCACGCTGGACACCAACCTCAGGGGCTTTCACCTGAGGCTGGAAGCCAGTCATACGAAGGCGGTGATCATGAGGCTGGCTGGCCTTGTTCTTCTGTAAATATTCAATTTGGCCATGTTGAGTGGCTAGTTTCTTCTTCAAATTTTTGTAAATAAAAACGACATATGTATCGTATACCGGCATACTCTTACAATGATAGACATCATACCTGATAAATCGACATCCTAGTGCAGTGGACTACCACCCACGAACTGTCTTCTCTTGAACATCGAGGTCACCCGAATGAGCACTGGTTGGAAATAGTAAATCGGCCCTGTATTATCAAAATAGAATTTCGTATTAAGGGAAAAGAGAGGCACTTGGCGATTGACGTTGGCCCGTATGATAAGTGGTGATAGTTCATTGTCGAATACACAGCGATTCCAAGCGCTCCCTATGAATTAACTTCCCAAAACGCCAGGCCCAGGTATTTCTAGTATACATATCGAAGAGATGCAATCGCCAATCGAGGTTTCATCGTTCGGAATCGTCGGCGTCGCATCGTCATCGTAATGGGTTCGTAGCACATCCAATCTACAGCCCCAGCTCGCGCTGCTGCTCCTTGATCTTGTCGCGCTTTGACCTGGCAGCGTTACGATTATCCGCCTGCATCTTTGATCGTTCGATCCTTAAGCATGCATTTACTGCCTCTTTGGCATCGTTGCAGCTGCCGACAGCCTTGTGCATGAAGCCCTGGCTATGGCACTGCTCGAGGGCGGCGATAACCTCCTCGCACGCTATAACTGGGGGTTAGATAGTGACCAATGCACCTGCTTGGAAAATCAACATACCCAGAGCGTTCTTTGTGTGGAGATGAGGATGCATGATTAATTCGAGATATTGTTTCTCAGTTGAAGGATCCTGAAAGAAATCCACGATCGCCACAGGCTGATGGAGGCATTGAAGATTGGGGCGGGAGCGCACGGACCAGGTGGGAGGTCGCATGGGGCTTTGGAGGGGCATTTGCACTCACTCACTTCTATTTCACCAAAGAAGACAGCAGCAACTCTTAGATATCAGCACCAGAAACACCAGAGTCAAAGCTCTGGAACTCCGTCAGTATGTCTTCAACAGCTCAGGTACCTGCCAAGAAGCAGCAGGGTCAGTTTCTCCCGCCCTTACTTCATACCCGAATCACCAGGCTCACAATGTCAAACTCTCACAGACCTTCAAGTCACCTATTCCAACTACAAGAACACTCTTCAGCAAATAGCTCAGAGAATTGGTGATATTGAACAAGAAGCCGAGGAGCACAAGTAGGCACCACTGTCCCCTATCAATACCTCAAGAATGCCCCTCAAGACCAACCCAACGGCATGACGTCGATAGTCAAACTCATCGCTATCACGTCTCTTTCAAGCATCTCACCGCATATTCTGACATATCCCGCACAGGCTTGTGTTGGAAACTCTAGAACCCCTCTCCGAAGATAGAAAGTGCTTCCGTCTCATCAACGGTGTGCTTGTCGAGAGGACCGTCAAGGATGTAAAGCCAGCCCTTCAGACCAACCAAGAAGGACTTCGCAAGGTGTTGGATGATTTGGTGAAGCAGTACAAGACGAAGCAGGATGATCTCGAGAAGTGGAAGGTAAGTCAGACCATTTGTGTATCTGTCTTTTGGTTTATCAAGGAATCAGATACTAACATATGCCTATAGAAAAAGCACAACGTTCAGGTTGTCCAGCAATAATGAGATTATGAAGACATGATAAAATAAAAGATTCTTGCTATACAAAGCCTTCGAAGCTTAATAAAAATCTTGAGACAAATCTATCTTTCTCAGCTTGTATATTGGGAATTCTGAAACCATTCGATTTGATAAAGCTTACTAGCAGCAAACTGACAACATTTTCTTTCTCCGGTAGTCTCTAGCCCGAAACTGCCGACTCGTTGTTCAGTTTCATCAACGGATAAGCCGGATTGTCATCGTTTGCTTATCGTCAGTTACCTGCCTTTCAGGCTGAAGATAACACAACAGGAAAAATGGAAAGATGGTGTTGATGCGTTGTACATCTGCTGTGGGGTTATGGCGGCAACAGCGTCTGCATGCCCAACCGTATTGAGGCCCCAAGAACCTCAAACCTTCTTACATGCAAGACACAAAACGACACAATGCCATGTAACGCAATGCGAGGCCCAAAAGGTGGTAATGTATTTGTATGGACAAAAATGCCCCGATCGACGAGGCTTGCCCACCGGCTGCATCAACTTTGTTCATATTGTACCATTATTCAAGATTGGAGAGTTTTTGAGGAGATGACAAAAATATCTTGGTGCACTGAACTTGGTCGAAACTTACCATGCATCATGAGTTTCCTCATTGTTAATGCCTCAATCCGAAGACATGTGCATCTCGAGGCGAACTGCGTAGAAATCAGACGGCCAAGCGAGGCCATAGTAGTATGATGTACAACTGACATCTTCCCATGTGTATGTGATGCCACCTCAAACTATCTGTCTGATTGATCTTCACCGAGATCTAAAAAGGGTTGATCGATATGGAGCCATGAAGGGATGAACTGCAAGTCATCAGTTGCTGGTCCCATCCCTACGTCTCTCCACCACTACTGACAATATCATCGTTTATAGGGAGACCAAGCGACACTGGCTGTTGAAATGCAGAAATAAGATGTGCGCGTCTGACTGGCTGCTGCGCCCACATCCCCTCTCTTCAGAGGGAGGCCTTGCGGCACAGTGATCGTTCCAATTTTTTATGATATGCAGGCAAGTCCTAGAGAAATAGCTTCAGGAACGGCTCAGTATCCGTTCGAGCGGGACTCTGAGAACGATGGCTTAAGTCCATACATGTATCGACAGTGTTTCGAGGGGGTTTCTTATTTGCTGCTGGGACTGACTTGCGGCCCATCAAAGGGTTGTTGAACCAGTAATCGACAAGATAAGAGATCTTCAGGGACTCTCTCTCATCATAGTGCATCGATAAAAGATCTGTCACTTTTACGTTTGGACCCCATGGAAAGTAGTTGACGCACATCATCGGGAGCTTTATGTTGAGCTGGGCGTCAATGTACAACAAGATAGGTCAGCTTTACCTCGACCGGCTACATCGGCGATTACTCGTTCCCAAGTTTGCACTACTATTGCACGAGTTCTCAATTTATTTGTGGCTTGGCTGAGTCGACCAAAGCCTCATTTGGGCCTTTGGCTGGGTGCGTTGGGCTCCAATCACGAGAGTGCCTCAAAGTCGAAACGTACGTCATAATGCATTGTAAAGCTGCTGAGGATCGAGTGATTATGGCGAGTCTTAGAAGTAATGAACCACCTACTCAAATCAACATATTCCAAATGCCAGGTCCTCTCATTGGTAAAGTCAAATAGCAACTAAGATAACACTGGTCCCAGCTTACCGGGTCCTTGCAGTTGTTGGACCAGCCGTTGGTAGTCTCGATCAGCAGGCTGAAACTATTGATTGGGCTACAGTTAGCGACCCCGGGCTGAGAACTCGTGACTCAGCTGTCGTGTTGGCTTATGTTTGAGGCATACTCTGCGGGAGCCTACAGGCCGTGAGGTGTACTATGTAAATGAGGCCCAGGATACCTTATTCTAGACCACGAGAATACCTACCCCAGCTCAGATGAAATGGCCTTTGCTACAAAAATGTGGAATACAGTACATACGATTTTGACGGGTGGCTTGATGAATATGCCATTGTCGAATAGGAAATCATGGCCGCCCACCCTCTCGTTACCACCCAGGTGGACTTGATCATGACCGGTCAAGTGCCTGATGGTTAGCGAGTGAGTGCCTGCAGACTGGACGTCATTCTGAGGAGACATTGGAGATGGGGTCATTTGTGCAGAGAGTGAGTTTCTGTGTGAATATATTCTGTCAAGGTATCCTGATCAGAAGTAGTAGAAGGCCTCGTTGCAGAAACCTCACACTCTATAGCAGACACTGATATTGGGTGTATTACACGACACACGTTTTCTCGGCCGGTACAGTATTACTGGAAACACGGGTTCTTTCTCGTGCCATCACCCATGCTCCCTCCAAGGCTAAAAGGGCAAAAGAGTTTGCGACACACCGCCTGGGACCATGTTCGTGTGTACCCTTGGGGAGTGTTTGCAGCAAGTCCAAGGCTTTTTAGCGGCTGAAGGAATCAAGGAAACGAGCTGATGGACGGTCCATCGAGCGAGTATTCCTTGCTCGGATCAGTCGGGGGTGAATTTGGCGGTGTCGAGCCTTGGGGAGGAAGATCGCCAACTACACAATAGAAGCAACATATTCGAACATCATGTGTTTATCAGATTGAAACTGTGTTGTAATTAAGCTCTGTCGTCTGTTTGGTTGGTTGGGGGTGTTGTCCTGTCTACTACGTAGTAAAACCGAGGTTCCCAATGAGGCTAGGAGGAAGCGGCCCGAGTGACAGTTATCGATAACACACCTCCATCCCCTCCAATCCATTAGCCCACCGAGACCCTGTAGAGCCTAGCAAATAGGTACCTAGGTTAGGTAGTACGTAGGTAGGTATGGATGGAACTTACCTGAGGTGGTGAAGGACTTTGGTGTGTTATTGGGGGCGCCTTAGGCTCTCAGCCTTAGGTCACGGTAGGTGCATGCAGTTTGTTGTTGACCTCACTTGACTTGCATCTTACCATACCAAACCCAAACTTGAACCTTTCTAGTCTCGAACTACATTGGTACGCTTCTTGACCGCATATTGAAGATTGTTGCATCGTCTACTTTTCTGTAGTCCATCTGCTCAATCGCAAGCATTTATCCTGTAAGTCTGTTTTCTTTTCTCTTTCGAGGAAAAGAACCCCACGCCTCCAGCTTCTGCACTCCACATATGCACCTCAACTGCGACCACAAACGAACAACTCAGACACCCTCTCGTCGCTCCCTCACTCTCACTTACTCCTCTAGCCTCGCCTCCATCACCACTGATCTTTTACCTTCCCCTGTTGGCGAACCACCATCGCGCTCCATCAGCACTCAGTCAACGAACCTAACGCACCCCCGGCCTCCTACTCTCAAGTCCCGCGCTATTGCCCTTTGATTCTGGATCTGACGCGATTTTGATAGACTCCGCGGCTTACTGGAACTGGCATTGGCGAACGAGACGCTTGCCATCCTCGTGTAACCTAGCCTTGGAGCTCCGTACCCGGTGAACCCTTCGCACTCCCGTGCAATTCGCCGTTGATAGTCGCGACCCGAACCTGCGCCGCTCCGTCCCGTTGATTCTGAGACGTTCCCCGGCGACGTCACTACCAGCATATCGCCATCGCCATCGCCTTCATTGCTCTGCTCACTGCGCGTAATTCAATCTGCTGCGCGTAGCCTTCGCCCTCACAACGCGTGTGCTACAGCTTGTCCTTTGCGCGCGTCGGTCTTAGCACTTAATTCGTATATCACAGCCGTCAGCGACCTATTACAGCGACAAGCTTTCGCTGCACAACCTCGCGCGACCTGTCCATTTTGATTTGCCAGTATTTTCTAAATACACGCGCAAGCTGTAAGTACCAAAACCTTGTTGTCGCTAGATGGCGGCTTTCCACCTCACATTATCCTCACTCTCAACCCTTCCTTCGTTGAATGGATCGATCTCAAAGTCGGTTCCCCCGCCATCCATTTGCTTGGCTTTGCGCCGAGAGGAGCACACCCCCCTCCTCCGGTTCCTGCTCCGCTCCGTGTCTTGCCTGCTTGTCTATCTTGGCTACCTCACCTCACTACCTCACCTCACTTCACCTCAACTTACCTTTCGTTGGCTCGATAATCCACAACAACCACTCGTCTTTCTCTCACACACGCCCCCCATTTAAATCCCCTAGCAAACAGCGTCATAGCCCCAAGATCCCGGGCCAGGAACCACCTGCATGAGTAACTAGGCAGGAACAATTCATCGGTACTCTTGATTGACTTTTTGCGCAGCACTGTAGAATAAGGACCCCTCTTCCTCTCTTGCACACCCCAACGCTTGCAAGCCCTACCATCTGCGACGTGGCCTACCAGGGGACACATCATCGGAAGGCCCAGCTGTGCAAGCCCGTAATTACCCTTTGACGAAGGACGTTGCCAGCCGCTGCAGGTAGCCAAATATGTCGGATTCCCCCCAATCCCCTCACAAGGAGGTTGATCAAGGTGCACCGTCACCCGACGACGAAGCACAAATGAACGAGCAACAAGACCCACAATCCGCAAACACCGCGGGCTACGAGTTCGAGGGTGTAAAGGAACAAGACCGATGGTTACCTATAGCCAATGGTAAGTCATCTATCTCCAGAAGCATCCCGATGTGATTTGTTCGTTCCTCTCTGCGCGAGCTGTTTGACGCCTCAGCCCGCTCAGCCGTGCATATTTGGATCCTTCTTCATGTCTTGCGATTCGTCCTCCAAATCGCCAAAAGCGCCTCGCGCCTCCAAGGCCGATAGAACTGATGAGTTTGATGCTAATATTCGAAACTTTGCTCCAGTGGCTCGTATCATGAAAAATGCCCTCCCGGAGAACGCAAAGATTGCAAAGGAGGCAAAGGAGTGTATGCAGGAATGTGTTAGCGAGTTTATCTCATTCATCACCAGTGAAGGTAAGTAACTGATCCAGCTATCAATACTAAGACTTGGGGCTACAGAAAGTCCTAGTCATTTCTCTTTCGCAACATGCTGACTTGCACAGCCTCGGAGAAGTGTCAACAGGAAAAGCGCAAGACTGTCAACGGTGAAGACATCCTTTTCGCCATGACATCCCTTGGATTCGAGAATTATGCGGAGGCGCTCAAGGTCTATCTAAGCAAGTATCGCGAGGTAAGCTAGTGGTTTTCCAACCCGAGTATCCTCGTCCACTTACACGTATGAACAGCAACAGAACCAATCCAACCGGGACAGGGTCGGCATGGAGAATGGACCCTGGAGTTCTGGCGGCATGATGGGCGACACCAAGGCAGAAGGCGAGTTTGGACAGGAACCCAATAGTGTTGAGGGTGGTGCCGACCCCAACTACATCTACGGATCACAGCCTGGCCACAATGGCAACGCGGCTGAGGGCTACTAAATTGCACCACCACTAACCGTTCGAGCCTACAACGCGCGTTCGCCGTAGCCCGATTAAAGGCTCAGCGGCCAGATCGCGCTGTCCGAAATGCTGTATATATCGAAAAGCACAACATCGATATGTGTATAATTGCCGCCGCGAGAACTCCCAGGAAGAAGACGTTTACACGAGAGGAATGAGCAGGGGAGTACATTGTATGAGGAGGAACATAACAACGGACAAGCAAGACGAAAAGATATGAATTCTGGACGGTGTTCAAAGATAGAAGCCCCATTGGCGTCTTTTGCTTCGGTGCAGGCTTGGAAGCAACTTCATGTCGACACAAGTGTTTTACCTGCCAGTCAGATATGGGATATCGATATGCAGACCAACGGATATGCATCGAGTCTTGGGACGAGGAGTTCTGGCAAAATGAACAAATGAACACCTGTAGTCTGTTTTTGAAGATATGCTTAGTGCACCACCCATAATGATGTTACATCTGAATTGTTTTCATTGTTATCTTAGGTAATGTGTCTGTGTTCTGCTATTGTTGAAGATTCATCCCTATTGTTTATGAGGTGTAGTCAATTTTGATACCAGCTGTTGTGACGCAGTTGGATTCAATGTGGAGTGACAATGGTGATGCTGCCCGTACTATTCCAGATTCGGTGGAGGCACGTGCCGTTTCCCCACTGAAAATCTTCAAAATTGGGACCCCTCGGGAAATGCAAAAAAAGTTGACCACGGGCGTCTAAAAGTGAGATTCTATCTTCCTTTGCTTCCGCCACCACAGGCAAATAAGGGTTCTCTTTTCCCGCTCTTTTTTATCTACCAGCCCTTGCGCTGATGAGAACTGCTTATTATGACTGTTGATCCCTGTCATTCGATATCTCAACATCGTCAATCCATGATCATACCTTAAAAATTCACAAGACACCCACGGACCGAGCCTTGTTGCCTAAGAGACGCCGCCACCTTCTCGAGTGAAACCCCCTCTTCGACTCTTCGAGCGGCAACGCACCACGAGCGAGACATCGCCAGCTCTTCAACACGAGCCTTACTCATGCGACCTTTTACTCCCTCGACCAGAAAATTATCTGGTCCCGCTCTTAAGAACTCGACGCCTGTCCGCTCCATCCTCAAGCCGGCGTCTATATTGGGGAGGAGAAAGGCTGAGGATGCTGGACTCAGCGACTCGACCGAAGCACCTGAGACTCCTACAAAACGCCGCAAAGTCTTGTTTGACGACATCCGAAACGTAACGTACGAAGTTGGGAGGAGGACCATGGACGATGTGAAGCTCGAAGTCAGGACGGCCCTTGAGGAGCACCTGAGAGGTAACGATGGTCAGTATGACACACTAAAGCAACTCTTCGCCAGCGACAAGCAGCGATACCTGCCACCTGTTGTTGGCGAGGAAGATGATACTCTGAAGCCCCATGAGCTGCAAGTCTACGTTATGGCTCTTACTGCATGTGTCCCCATACTCAAAAACAAGGCTTGCAACGGCCTCGTAAGGACCATCTTGAATTGCTCTTGGCTTGGACGAGATGATGCTTTCGTCAAAGTCTTTACCCATTTCTTGGCCGCTCTGGTCAGTGCCCAGGGATCTTATCTGTCACACGTTCTGGGCATGATGGTGGAGAAATTCTCCGACAGCCGATCAGCTGTGTGGAGCGTCCCAGACTTCCCTGAGATCGGCCGCGAGGCCATGCGCGATAGATTGCACCGCACCATACAGTATATGCTCCAGATGTTCCCATCCGCTGTCCCTGTGCTAGAGGGCCTTCTCGGCTCCAAGTTCCCGTTCCTCGACCAATCCATGCGTGTTCACATAGCGTACATCAACAACCTACTCCGCATCAAGGACTATGTACCTGCCCTACGCGACGAGGTTCTGGACATTATCCTCAACCGAGTTGTCAAGATCGACTCCCAGATGCAAGTCGACCTGGAGGATTTGGACGATGATGTGACTGCCGCTGTCATGTACGCGCTCCGAGGCCATTCGGATGGCGACGAGTGGGAAAACGACGCCAACGACGATGATGACGATAGCGACGCAGAATCGGTCGATAGTGACGATCCCGATTTTGATCAAGATGCCGCCAGAATCAAGTCAATCAAGGGAAGCGTCGAAAAGATGGACGCCGTTCTGGACACACTTTTCCGTGTATACACGCCTCACTTTACCAACCCGGGCTCGGATACCGCGTTCGACATGTTTACCGTCCTACTACGAGAGTTCGACCACATGGTGTTGCCCACCTACAAATCTCGACACACACAGTTTCTCATCTTCCACTTTGCCCAGATGCATGAGCGGCTTACAGATGCATTCTGCGGTCAGCTTATCGCCACCGCTTTCCAGGGCAACACACCAAACGTGCTCAAACAGGCGGCTGCTGCATACCTTGCCAGTTTTGTAGCTCGTGGAGCACATCTACCAGGAAGCCTCATTCGCAGTATCTTTGGACTCCTACTGCATCATCTGGAGCAGTACCGTAAGAAGTTCGAACCCTTGTGCCGAGGACCTGACCTCAAGCGATTCCACCCCTACTACAGCCTTGTACAGGCGACCCTCTACATCTTCTGTTTCCGCTGGCAAGACCTGATTGTAGGGATGCCGGAGTTCGTGGACCCCGAAGACCCTGCATCGTACATTGGTCAAGAAATGGAGTGGATGGGAACATGCAGGAAGGATCTCTCTGTGCAGATTTTCGGCAAGCTTAACCCTCTCAAGGTCTGCGCGCCTGTCATTGTCGAGGAGTTTGCCAAGCTGTCACATCGCCTCAACTTCATGTATGTCTATCCGTTGGTGGAGAGCAACAAACGCGTTCGCTTGACACAATACCTTTCGGCAACCTACTCAACAGGCGGCGCCCTCCGAGACGCTGGGTACGAAATGCAAGACGAGAGCTTTCACCAGCTGGATCCATACTTCCCGTTCGATCCGTACCAGCTGCCGGTCAGTAAGCGGTGGCTTGAGAACGACTATGTGAATTGGAAGGCAATTCAAGGATTGAATGCGGAGGATGAGGACGACAGTGACGACCTTGACGATGACCTCGACGAGGACGAGATCGAAGAAAGGACCGCGACAGACAGCGAAAGCGACGACGAGTAGAATCGCGCATGCGCATTTATGACAAGGAATGGTTGATTAGTGATTTGATACAGCATGGCGTTGGGGAAATCTGTTTGATTTGACAAAAAGCTTTAGACAATACCCGAAGGATAATGGTATGTAGTAAAGGTCTCAGGTTGCTATGAGTTTAGCAGGAGTTGTGGTGTATACTATACTATCTTTCCTGAGACAATGAGCCAAAAGAAGAAAAGTTTTAAATTATAATATGACTGTCATTGCTAATTCTTGTGATCTATTTTTGACAACGGAGTTGGTAATCATGTAACATCTTGTTGCTGGTTTCTCCGCGGAAGAGGTGAGTATTTGTGAGTTGTGACGTAGGAGTCATTCTTAGGGAGAAGAAAGACCTGACTGAGTACTAACCTAGCTGAGTTGTGGATGGATAGCGCTGTAGCGTGCTATATTTTAGAAGCCGAGATGCCCCTCGGGCCAGGCAGAAAAATTCGGCTTCAGCTCGTGACTTGGACTTTGGTCTCTTTCCATTATTAGTTGCATATGCGCCCTTATGATTGACATTTACACATCTTATCTTACATTTCTCCAACAATTTCCATTCATTAACCTTTTAATTTTATCTTTTTTCCTTTGCTATTAAACAGGCTATATTTAGTTACGCTCAGACCCTCTAATTCATTAACCTGTTGCAAACCGCCAACTACCGAACCGTCCAGGTGGGAACTACCTGCCGTTGGATATTTTGACACGCCCTTGCCGCTTGCTTACTCACCTCAAACTCAAATTCACGTTTCGACTTGGAGTCACTAATTAAAAAGTGGACTGACTTCTCGAAGCATTAACATACAACTTCACCCCAAAAAAAAGACTTATTCTCTTGCTTCGCGGGTTCACAACTCGTCATGGCAACTCCGGGCTTGGCTGACGACAGGCCTTCTTTTACGGATTTTCTGAAAAAGACGAAGGAGAAGGGGAGCACATGTGAAGGGTCCGAGTGTGCTACGCCGCAGCGGAGGGGGAGGAAGAGTAAGAGTAAGAGTAGAGCGAGTGAGGGTGAGGGAGTGAGCAGTCAGTGTAAGTATTGATATCTCTTTTGCTTTTGTGAGTCTGTTATATTTGGTGTCTACCTGTGTATTTTATATTTGACTCAGATGCACTTGGATGACTAGTACTGCGTCTGTTGGTTCAGACGTTAATCCAAGACATCCATCCGATAAGCCTCATACATCATCTTCATCCTCTCATACTCACGACGCAGAAACACACAACTAATGAAGGAAAATAGCCCCTGAAAACAGCAGCGAGACATCACAGAAACCTCGCAAGTCTCTCACAGCCACCGAAAAGGCAAAACTCCGTCGCACCCAGGTCCGGCGAGCTCAGATCCAGCACCGCCAACGCAAAGCAGAATACCAGCAGCAGCTCGAGCTCGACATTGCGCATTTCCGCGAGCTCATCGCCCTCACCGAATTTGAGTCGGATCAGTTCAGGAAGGACAACACCTCCATCAGGGCGCTACTCGCTAGCAAGGGCATTACTGTCTCAGCATGCAAGGCGGGGAGCTGCTCTGCAAGTCCTCGGATTGCCAGGGAGGTTGTTGCGGGTGGGAATGATGCTTGGGTGGACGATGTGATGGTGATGGAGGGTCCTGGGTCATTTCAGGATAACGAGAATGATGGAGAGTTGTTCGCGGATGTCAACGTCGATGATATCATTGTTACTCTGAAGAAGGACGAGTCCATGGTCACGCCCGCTTTCAGTATCAGATCCAACGAGTCGAGCAGCAATTCCACGAGTCCTCCACCGTCGCTACCAGATCTTAACCTCTCTCCTGATGAAGAGCAGAAAGCCGTCAACTTCATCCTCTCGTAAGTCACTTTCCACATATGAAGTTCCCAAGATGTACCTACTAACATTCTACAGCCTCGAGCACATTTGCTGGGATCACTTCTTTATCGGCGACTACCCTTCCCACGCCCACCTCTCCAACGACGAACCCAAAGGCCACTGTCTCATGGCATCATCACTCTGCATGGCCAACGCGCCCTTCGACGTGTTCGGCGATCGCAAGCTCGTCTCATCAGCATCATCCTGCCACAACCGCCGCGCTCTCGGCCTAGACCCTTACGTACCACCCGTGCATCTAGAATGGCCAGCACCGCGGATATCACTCTCATCCCTCTACGGTCTCGCGCAAAGCCTTAACCCAGGTGACTTGGAAATCACACCTGTTCAGGCTTGGTTCGAGCTATCCACACGCTACGACAAGAGTCTACTACTCGAAAGACTAGACTTATTGGGCACAGAACTAACGGGTGTGTCCAAGTGTCTGGAGTTCGGAGCAGTCATGGAGAGGGATGCTTTTGAAAGTGTCGCGGCGAGGGTCTACGCGGGTACCCTTGAAGAGGCTATGGCTACGGTGGTGCTTGGCCAGTCGGCGAGCAAGGTTTGTAATATTGCTCCTTTTGGGAAGACGCGCAACATATTCACGAATTCGTTAGGGTTTGTTGGATATGCCCAGACTTGATGTGTAGATGAAGCGATTCGATGGGAGAGGTTTTAGCCTTTCTTTCTCTATTCACTGTATATGTTTTATTGCAAGGTTGGATGAAGTCGAATTACAATACTCAATGGCGGGTTCAGAGTATCAAGGGTGGTTTCACTCCTTCTTCAGGGTTGTCCAGGTTTTGGATATGGAAGAGTCATGCACATATCTTTCCTTTGTAAGAATAGCATTAGTTTCGATAGAGGTCGCTACAGATATACCGCTCTACCAAACGCATTCCCACTATACTATACATAGATTCGATCTCTATAACGCTCTGACTATACTTCTCTCATCAAAAAGATCCTTCAATAAGCTCGAGACGCAGGCCTCTGTATCAACTCGGCCCATTGCATATGTAGACTCAAAAGCGAAGATGCTGAGCTGTCCAAAGAAAGGCCGAAGTACCTTGGCCACCAACTCGTCCCTTCTTTCCAGACTAACATCATCGCTGATGCCACCTGGCCCAAGTAGCGGCCGCCGTAATGAACCAGGTACTACTGTATTTACAACTGAAGAGGCCTGGAATCCAGTATGACTTACCGCAGCACCTAGCTCATCCGAAAGTTCGTCAACAAGAGCGACAGGTTGGTACGTGGCTGGCCTATACACGGCATCAATAGTGTCGGTGATGAAGAGCCATTCATGAAGCTGGAAATCGTCCGGAGCCACACAGATCAGAAGGTCTAGCAGTTTACAGGCTTGGAGAACTGAGGCATTGGTGTAAGTATCGGAAGCAGTGCTGTTGTCAGGCGCAGCAACAGAAGAAATAGCAGCATGAATCTCAGCGTTGACGACCGGCCATAACATGCCTAGGTGGATGGCACTGGTCCTAAGAGCAAGAGCACGGAAGACCATGTAAATATCAGCTCGCGTAGTTGATGATGGTGACGACCTTGACGAAGCACCAAGAAGCTCTGCCAACTTGCCAAATATTTCAGACAGATCCGAAACAAATGCGTCTTCAGAGCTCGCGAGAATTAAAGTTGCGATTCGTCGGAGGTTGAGTTGCGTCTTGCGATCAGCCTCGAGGCGAGCCGAAGTCGCTCCAACACCGAACACGATACCAGCAGTTGAAGGAGCACTTATGCGCCCAACAATCTCTGGCATCTTCTCTTTGTCTGTGAAAGTCCATTGTCTAAGCAGGGGCAGCCAATCGTCTTTTGCCAAATCCAAGTCCATGCCAAAGAACTTGGGGTCGTTGAATGCGTCGCCTACATCCTTCTTCCAGTTCTTCTGGTTATTGTGGACTTTTGATAACTCGTAGAGGAGACGCATAGTACTTTTGGATACAATATCAGGGAAACCCTTGGCCCTGAGGGTCGGTCCAATGACATTGGTCGATATAGTGGATGATGCCGAGAGTACTCTGTCAGGCTCGACCAGTATCTTACTCAGCTTGGGGACAATAGAAGCCAAGATAGACACAACATCATCTGGTCCTTCACCAAAACCGTTGAGAGAGTTACCCGAGTCAGACTTGGGAATTCCACCACTCAACGTCGCTGGATCAGCAAATGTCATGGGTCTTGTAGTGAAAAGAGCAGCAAGCAGACGGGTGAAGGTATCCTAAAACAATGTCAGCAAAGAAACCAATCAGATTCAAACAATATACACATACGCCTAGCTCCTTTCGCATCCTCTTTTGTTCTCCAAAGTTGGTGTTGTCAACCTTCTCTCCCAGGAGGGCAGCAAACTCAAGAAGGTTAGGTAGTGATTGTCGATGCGGGAATGGATTTGTTAACAGGTCTTTGAGGAAAACCATGCAGTCCTGCCAGATCTCGTCCATGGCGTCATCATCCAGTGTTTTCGTATACTCCACGAGAAACCAGACGAGATCAGTGTCCTGCAGAGATATCGTCATTGTGGACTTGGACGCAGGATCAACAGCGCCCACACTGATTCTCCGGTAGATGGCATTGAACAGGGCCGACATGCAGTGTTTCGGTCGGCAGGTATCAAGTGCTGATAGCATATTGAAAACTTGGGTTGACTCAGTAACCTCAATCGATTGCTTCCATATAGCAATGACCGTCTCGAGGCACTCAAGGTTCTCTGCAGCAAAAAGATGCTCGAGCAACCTTCTGGCACGGTTTCTCATGCGTAGGGAAGTGTAATTGAATGACCCAAAAGAGCCTTGATCTTGCTTGCTTAAGTCGTTACCCTGGCCCCATGTCCAGATCCTGTAGCATATGCGCACGGCATCTTGGAAAGCCAGATGGACCGTGAGCCGGTCATTTGCCGTAGCACTACGCGACTGAGGGGTGTCTGACTGCCAAACATTCGACACCATGCTTCCAAAGAGAGATTGAGGCTGGTCTGGGCCCTTGACCACCTGTGTTCGGGCCTCTTCATTAAGCAGTTGTTGATGTGCTCGTGCCAAGACTTGTTCAAGCCCGTTGAGTAGGAAGATCAGCGTAGACTCAGGCGATAATTTGTCACCACTAGAGGAGAGAGCATTGGAGTAGAAAGTCTCCGTTAGATTGGTGAATGTCGTGCCAATTTCTCTGCACAAGGTTTCAACTAGAGGAATGAGCACCTGGAAGATAGAATCAGAGTACAACGGCAAGCACTCCGACACAAAAGCTATCCAGCTGTCCAGAACTGGCCTGCTACTAGGTGAGCTGAGGCCATCCTGAAGACATTGGAGAAGTTTGGGTGGCGGTGCTGTAATTGGCCTGGCTTCTGGCGCTGAAAGGGATGGCTGACTTCCCCGAGGATCGAATGTTGATGGTCTTCGCTCAGATGCAGGGGAAGGAGGAGCGTCAACAGGGGCAATATCTCGCAGCTTCAGTGTATCATAGACAACATCAAGTAGAAGAACCTGCACGTATGCATCGGAACCGTGAAGCGACTTTTCGAGTCGCTCGATAAGCACGTTCTCAAGATGTTCAGCTGATAGAGGGGCGGCAAAAGGACTCAGAAGGAACTTGTGAAGAAGACTGAGAGCGTATCTGTATAGTTGGTTGACACGGTCTTCAAACTCCTTGGTGATGTTTTCGGCGGGGTTTGCTGTTAAACATCTCATGCATACACGGACGAAGAACTCTTGCAATGTCATCTCGTGCTCTTCACCTCCGGCTTTTTTCAGTTAGAGTGAAGTTTTGTGACGTGGCAATGAGCGACTTACAACTTATTTGCATGTGCTGCCCGTGGAAGGAGACATGCTTAGATGCCAGCACCGTCCAAGAAATGTCCCCAGCACATGTCAATATGTTCGAAAGTGTTCGTAGATAGTACAGAGACAGATCTAAGTCTTCATCTTCAGAGAACGTGACCGATGTTTGATCGAGCTTCTCGTCGCTCTGGATGAGAGTTCGTAAGAAAGGTATGTCAGAAAGTCTGGAAATAAAAACCAAGAACAAACTGCAATTGATTAGTGACGATTTCAGGGACAAGAAAGCTTGGTATTTACCGATCGATACCCAACATTGTGTTCAGCCATGATTTCACTGTCATGTAGAGCGGGGTCCGGTCATCCTGCAGAGCGTCTAGAATGAGAAAGATGGGCTGTGTAAGCATAACTTCGTAGTTGTCTGCTCCAGCGAGACGGTGTAGGCTCTTTGTATCCAATGTTTGCGTCTTAGAACCTCGGCGCTCGGGTGAGATGTTATCCTGCAAGGTGTGCGACCACAACACACCCAATGCACGGCCTTTGTCTACAGGCTCAATGATTCCAAGATGAGCGTCATCATGGGAAATGATAAGACTGGACAGCGCTGCTTCAATATCCCGATTGGAGGTGGAAAGAGCCGATTGTAGTTGCCATAGGCCCCGAACTGCTTCTACGTGATACTTTGGCTCAGATGCTGATAAGTACGTCCAGGCATGTCGGACCAAAAGAGGTACTAAACTCGATAGTTGGATTGTCTCGATTCTCTCAGCGTAGTATAGCTGAGTAGAAAGCTGCAGTATGGCTGAGAAGGACGTGAACGCCATAACTTCTGGGTGTTCGAGAAGGTCGTGCATAAGTTGGAGGAGTTGTTTCTCCTTGACCTGATATATCCTTGGCGTCTTATGTACAGCAAGTACAAGTAATCGAATGCAGATATTAAGGTCCGTATCCGATGACCCCAGGTCTTGGCACACGAACTGCGCAGCTTTCTCAAGAATCGTCTGCCCTATAGTCAAAGCGTTGAAGGGCGGTGCAGATGCCTCAATATTACCCTGCTCATTAATGTAAAATCTCTGGGACTTTTTCAGAATCTCCGCGTTGGAGGGCAAGGCAGAGTTCCCATCTCGGCTCTCTGACTCTGCAGTTTCTGGAAATACTCTCTCTGGAACAATATCCAATAGCGACAGGGCGACACTCTGGGCTTGGTTCGTTATTGAGAGTAGTTGTGGATCCGTATTCTTGTTTGATGAGGTGCGCGCCTTGAAGTCTTCGAGCATAGCTAAGGTAGTCAAGCAGCATAAAGGCGCATGGATTGTGATCATCTCTTCCTCCCGAACGTTGAAGTTGGTCAATATGAAGCTTACTAGAGAAAGCTTATCACTCCGCTCGTATGCGCTGATTTTACCAGGACCGAGAGCCTGCGCAAGAAGCCCAGCAATTTCTCCATAAATCAGCCCGCTCTCAATACCGTCGAAGAAGACGCTGGCACTCCGCAAGACTTCGTTGAATTCTGCCTTGCTAGTGGCATGGTCTTTGAATCGGCGCACGCTTTCAACTATAGGAAGAAAGACTTCGGGAACAACCAGGCCACCAATTTCCCATCTATCCATTAAAGAGAGACATATCCTGTAAGGCTTAGCACGTTCACCAGCTGTATTGTGGGAACTGCTCTCAATCATTTGTAGAATGGCCTTGATCAGTGGGTGTAAGCCGAACTCTTCAAAATAGTTGGTCCTCGAAACCAGGAAGGCATGCTGATCGGCAGGAGGACTAGATGGATGCTCGCCGCTCTGGTCAGGCTCAGCTGGTGGTTCGGGTCCAAGAAGCCAGACCCATAAGCGTCTATTCAGGCTCATTTCACGGCGAGTGACTACGCCAACAGCTGATTTGAGAAGTAACTCCAAGTCATCTGGTTTCACCCGAGACTGTATAACATGCGCATCTAGCGGGAGATGGGATACCAGTAAGTCCAAGAAGCCACGTTGGATCAATAGCTGTTCATCCGAAAGGCCGCTTGCGAAACAACGAAGCAAGAGACCCGGCTCGGGAGATGTTACGATTTCTGCAAGCTTGCTTTTAGTATCCTCATCAGCATGATTTTGCGTTGTTGTCTTATTCGCATTAGGGGCGGCCTGTGGCCCCAAGGGTGGCAAGTAGCGTGTTAAGTATGCGAGGGCCCCTGAACGGCGACTTTGACTAGTTATTGATGCGAGGAAGAAGCATTGCCAGAAGAAAGCATCGCCTGAAGAATGGTGATCAGTGATCTCTTCGCTGTGTGAGGGCCTAATAGCATGCTTGAAACTCTCAACTAGACGCAATGTTCGGTCGAAATCTTCGCTTGTCTCCTCTTCTAAGCCAGGAAGCAAGGCAAGTATTATGGATTTCATTGCTGGGCGAAGCGATCGGGAATCAATGCCAAGGAAATGACGTTCCAGGAGATCGAGGTATGGTGCTCGCACGGATAATGAAGCGAAAGACAGGACTGTAGCCAGTCCAGGCAGGTATAAAGGAAGATCTCTCGACAACCCATCTTTCCCAATGACCGAGAATACCAGATTGTATAATTCAAGAGCTTTTTGGTGGACGCCAGATGGAAGGGAGGGATTGAGACATTGAGAGAGTCGTTTCGCAACAGTCGCTTTCGAGGGGATCGCATTAATCGATTTCGGACGGGCTTGTAAGGCCTAAAGCATGTTAGCAACTGGACCTCACTTGAAGCAAGTCAGCCTGACATACTTTGAGGAGCTTATTCAAGAAGGAGATATAGTCTGCCCATTCTTCCAAAGCCGTTTCGAATAAGACGAGCGCCCTATCCACTCCGTGGGCATATTTGCGATAGGATTTATCCTTGATAGCATAATCTTCTATATTTCCGATTAGTAAAGGTATCAGCTACCCGTCAAAACCACGGCGCATACGCACCCTCGCCTAGTTGATTCCTCCACTGTCGTGGAATAGGTGATTCTCGACCCGAGCTCTCGGGGGATACTGAGCGACGGCCGGACCCGGGCTCAAGAGCCATGGCTACTGAATATTGCGGTTGAAGGCGAGGTTAAGGACATCGGGTTCTTCTCAGTAGAGCGACAGCACTGAAAGGCATCGCTTGGGGTTAAGATCGTGACAGGTTGTCTGGTATCATGCGAAATGTTCCATGTAATCAAGCAGGCGCACTGATTCCAACCAGAAGGCTACGTGGAGCATACAGACAGCTTCGCAACTGCACCCACTAAAGATACCCTGGAAGGCAGCGGAGCTATGTGCTTGTCTGAGACTTTGATTGGCTGAAGCTCTCAAGCCTTGGGTTGCTTAGCGCAAGGCTACAATGGCCCCTCTACCTAGAGCGTCATGCCCTTGCGGACCTCTCCTCTTTCCTTAGCTTGGATATCATCATCTCTACGAATATCTTACAGCTACACGCAAAATGGCATAATGTCCCCGTCAGATACATTTGGAACGCCTCCAGGTCGTATGATTCTGGCACTAATCAATCCTTCACCTGTTCTTCCTATAGCTGGCTGATACGCCAAGAAATGCGACAAGCGAGCCACGCGCAATCATGGAGTCTGGCGACATGCACCCGAAACCAGCATCTCCCATAGAGGAAGATTATCGTCCTCCGCTACCACCTCGACCATCTATGACTACTGCCGACACGGCATCCCTTCAAGGCCAGGCGACCACAGCCATAACTCCCCTCGAGATACAAACACTGTCATTTCCTGATGGATCTCGTGGGACGTTCTCAACTCCTGGCCCAGACTCTCATCCGAGCCCCGCCGATAGCGGTCATGCCTCTCCCGCTCGACAGGATAGCAGTGCCAGCGGTGAGGCAAACGAAACAGCCAGTATCATGAGTTTTGCGCCAACGATGCGACCTGCTGGCGATATTGCAAGCTTGATTGGCGGAGACTTACATAAGAAGAGCCTGGCCTGGAAAATGCTGCGTACTCAGTCCGCTACCGTTCTACCTTTCGAAGAAGGCAGGGTAGGCGCGGACGATCGGTTTGCTGAATTTCATCACGAGTTCGACCCTGTCCCGGAGGATTATGATGAAGAGGTCGAGAATGACATTCTGCACCTGTGGAAATCGAAACTGAAACACTACTTGATTCTATCATCAGCCGGAAAGCCCATCTGGAGCCGTTACGGAGATCTGAGTCTGATCAATTCCTCCATGGGTGTGGTTCAAACTATCATCTCGTTTTATGAAGGCGCAAAGAACCCGCTTCAGGCCTTTTCTGCCGGAGACACTCGCTTTGTTATATCAACCAAAGGCCCCCTCTACTTTGTCGCTATTAGCAAGCTTGGCGAAAGTGACTCGCAGCTACAGGCACAATTAGATGCGCTATATATGCAGATTCTCTCAACATTAACCTTACCCAGACTAACTCACATCTTTGCCAACCGACCTTCGACAGATTTACGGAAACCTCTTGAAGGGACTGAGGGTCTATTATCGTCCCTGGCGGATACCTTCACCAAGGGCTCAGCCTCGGCTCTACTTGGATCGCTGGAGTGTCTCCGGCTTCGAAAGTCTCAAAGACATGCTATAAATAACACTTTCCTAAAACTACGGACCGAAAAGTTGTTGTACGGCCTCATTGTGGCTGGTGGAAAACTTGTCAGCGTCATCCGTCCCCGTCGACATTCTCTTCACCCCAGCGACCTGCAACTTATTTTCAACATGCTTTTTGAGAGTGACGGCATCAAGGGTGGCGGTGGAGAGAACTGGATTCCCATTTGCCTTCCCGCTTTCAACAACAAAGGCTACCTTTATATGTACGTCAGTTTCTTCGACGGTACCACCGGGGAGCAAGCGAGTTCCCCTGCAGCTGCACAAGGACGATCATCGGAGGAGGAAATTGCAATGATCCTTGTGAGCCCAGATCGCGAGAGCTTCTTTGAGCTGAAGAAGATGCGCGATAACGTTGCCCAACAACTTGCTAAAAATGGGACACTGGCTATCATCCAAAATGCCACACGGACTGGCCGTCCAAAGGTGCATGAAATTGCCCCAGGGAGTCAAGTCAGCCACTTCCTCTACAAATCACGAGCCAATGTACAATTTTGCATGGCGTCATTGGAGCCACACTTCACGGGCCTCGTTGAGCGCAGAAGATTAATGACGGTGTATGATGAGCTGCACGCATCAATTCATGCCAAACACTCCCACCTCAAGGTGTTACACTCGATTGGAGAAGATGCCACATCACTAGCATGGACTACGCCCATCTTTGAATTTTATTGTGTGGCAGGACCTAACGTGTCGAGAGCGACCATAACACAAGGGGCGAACAAGATCATTCAATGGGCTAAGAGGGAAGAAGAACGCCTTTTCATTATTGGCGGTGGTGTATTCTGAAGACATGCCTCATAATGAGGTCTGGTTTCCTCGTAAAATCCTAAATTCAAGCCGTTTGGTCTTGCCATCCATCGGTCATTCCCATGGAGCCTTCTAACGCCGACATTATTCGTTACCAACCGTGTCCCGCCTCATTAACAATTAAGATAAAGGTATTAGGGAGTTGAAATCCATCCCTTGGATCCTGCCTTTGAGCGTGACTTCTCGGTGACACTAACGACAGCTCGGGCGTACTCGTGGGTGACCTGACCACCATCTGGCTCTGACGGGCTGATGTTATCTGACGAAGGTGACATGATGTCACTGGTTGGGCTCTGGCTCGAGTGACTGTCGAAGTAGTCACCCTTGGAGTCGGAGCGAGCTCGGACGGCACCCCACGACCTCTTTGCCCATTCCAAGATACGATCATTGACCTTTGACCGGCGCTTGGTCTCTGACTCCCAGGTAGCATTGCGGAGCTGAAGAGGTGTTGGACGTTCACCATCATTTCCAAAACTGTTGCGGCTGGTCGTGACAGGTGATGGATAACTCATAGTATCGGTTGCTAGTGTTGTTCTGGAAGCGTTCATGATATTCAATGAGAATGGTGCATCGAAGTCTTCACGAAACCGCGGGCTGCGTATTGATGGGCTTTGAAGCGAAGACTCGGATCGTTGAGATTCGTATGGTTCCCGATCCGGGAGAGGCAGAGTAAGAGCGGGCCTTCGATTTGCCATTGCGGGCGAGACAGGCTGGTTCCAGCACTGGATGTTGTGTCGGTGTTGATAAGACGGGATATCCAAGGTGTCAAGGTTGAGACACTGTTACAATAGTTCCTTGTGGTCTGGTCCGGGAATATCGATACGGCTCTGTTATCCCGCTGGACGGAAGCTGAAAGGAGATAGCTGATTATGACAATGGTTTGTTGACCTTCCGCAGCCGGGCAAGAGGGCGAGGGTTGCCTTTTGTTTGAATTCAAGACCCATCAAACATGTGCCTCCGACATTAGCTCGAACTCGTACAAGACTATGGCGCTCCAAGTGTGCGATAGACCCCTGACTAGGCTTGCACAAGCAATCGAGAAGCTGGCCAAGTGGGCTGCGGGGACAGTACGGTGACCAGTTGGAAGCTATAGATTGCCAGGCTTTGCAACCTAGACTCGCCCACAAGAACAGAAAATCTTGAAGGGTGGCCTAGGGTGAGCCACATTGGGGCCGTGGATTGATGCTTTTGGTGGTCAACACTTGAACAAGTGCCACCGGCCCCATGTTATGCTAATTAAACCCTGTTGCCGAGTCAGATGTTTGACTTAGGCTTTATGCGGCAGCCCGTTTTCGGTACGGGGTTCCGGTCCCGCCCTCGCACTCCCGGTTCAGGGTTAAGGTCCAGGTCCCCTTGCCAAGGGCTTTTACAAACCACTTTAACTCTGGCAGAAACTGGCACTCCTCTTGGACGTGTCCGATGCGGATGGAAATGAGTCACGCTATACAAATACGACGGTCGTTAATAAAGTCAATCGCATGAAATGGAGTCAAGGATTCTCTCGGACCACGGATATGATCACCGATTACGGGGATGACTCGGAAATTCTATCTATCGCCTAAACACAGAGCACCGGTAGTATGTTCTATTAGTCTATGGCTTAATCTCGAAGGCAGCCCTCGTGATAATAATAGAAACTGGACTCGCTGCTCGCAATACACGTGAGCCCTTATCGGCGGTGAGCGACGTGGTAGTTAGTTTATCGCACAGACACAGTAAACAAGTGACAACAATGACTTTATCAGCAACAAGCATAGCAAAGACCCAGTTCGGCCAAGTTTGTGAGTTGGCGTAAATCTTGACGCCTTGTGATACTATTTACGAATGATTAAGTGCGCCACTCACGTCGAATTTTGTATTGTCAATATGTGCGTAAACTTAGCAAAAAGGTTATATTTGCCTCCTCAATAACTTCTATTGTTACTCCGTAGTCCATACGGTATTTCGGTATCTCAACCGAGGTTTGTTATTACAGCGGAAATGGCGATGGTATTGTCGATCCCTGCGCCGTCGTTCATTTGCCCTTATTAGTTAGGTGGGTCTCCATCTCGGCAGGCACCCGACGACGATGATAGCTTCTTAACCACTTTGTTACATACGCGGAAGGAGTTATCGCTCCTGTGGGCCAACTGCCACGTAAGGTAGGCGTTAGGTTGCTGCTGTGTCCGTAGATGTGGCAGAGCTTCAATCTTAGGCCAAGCCTGTCTCCTTCCTTTGTCACCAAACGGCAATGGCAAACCAGGTTCCGAGAATTGCAAGTGCGATTCGTTAATATCAAAACAAGAAGGATGCCAAAGAATAGAAGGGTAAGCCTTCCTAACAATAAGATACATCCCATCTTGATAGAAATGGATAAGGTTAGTACACAGCTACAACTTCTCAATGTTTCATGTTCGTTACTATAATCGTTCTCTCAAGAATGCATCCACCATTTGCCTGTGACGTTTGTCATTTTGGCTTGTAATCGCCTACTCCAACTTTCTTGGTCTTCTTGGTTCCTCGATCAGTTGATGAATGATCAGTCAAATATCCATTGTGCAAGCTTATTCTTCTCATCTGCAGCATCAACTTTTTAATTAGCGACCATGGATCTCGACAACATCAGACACAGATCGGTCAGCCAAACCTCACTTCACGGCACTTATCAAACCAATGGAAGGGTAGCCGACACTCCCAGATTGCGGTCTCCATCTCAACCACATCTGCCTTTCCAGAGCTTGAACGAAACCTCTGCTCTCCTGCGCTCTCCTGGGCCTTTAGAGAGCATGCTTAAAACAACCACAGAAACAGGAGATCTCGGCGTCTATTCTATCAACCCCCCTCCATCTCAAGGCGCATGTCATCGACCTCCAAGTTCAAGGCCCAGTCATAGAAAGGTCAGACGAAACTCTCGACCTCATCATAATGATTTTAAGGATAGGCCAGCACGGGACGACCGAAAATCGCTGCCCTCATACCGAGATACCACTTCTGAAATCATCTCGCTATATGGCACCCCGACAGCTCCTTATCAGAGATCTTTCTCGCCTGCATCGGAAGGCCAACGAAGCCACTCTTTAACGACATGCAGCTCAAGGCGGTTTCCCTCCTTTAAGTCTTCTGGAACTTTTCACAGCCAACAAAGTAATGGCGGTCTTCAGCGTCCTCGATCACCGTTCCCGTACCCAACACGCCTGAAGCGACCTGGAGTCCGGCCCTCTTCTCCGGCAATGACAGATAATGGCTACATTGATTATAGTAGAATGGTTGAGATCGATAGGTCTTTGCATGCTAGTGGCCCCTATTCTCTCGTACTGGGCTTCAATCTGACACCTTACAGCGCACTAGTTATGGGTACCATACGCACAGAGGCCATCGTAAGTATCGCAGATACCCGCCGTTGTCGATGAGACCCGAATACAGCCGATCGATGTCTTCATTGCCGTCGCGTTCTTCATCGGCGCCTTATTGCGGCCCAGGCGTCAACCCATCAAGAACACCAAGCGGGGCATTGTATCAACCATCCAGATCCCCTCATCATCAGCACCTCGCAGGTGACCAGAGTCTTCGATCGGCTAGTTTGACTTCTATCGTAGAGATGTACCAGGCAAGGTCGCCAGAAGAGTCCGTACAGCCTCTGCGTTCGCCAGGTTCATTCTACTACGATTACAGCGAAGAATTCAACGCGAAATATTCAGACGATTATGGGTATGCGTCGCCCATTCATTCACCACCAGGAGAGACCATTGACACATTAAGAGCGGGTGATATAACAACACCACGAGATGTGCCCCCCGCAACCGATTACAAGGATATGGCAACTGGAAATGAGTTACGTGGGACAAGTGACTATGTAAGTGACTACAGAACTACTCCCTCACGAGAGAGAAAGGAGCCCAACCTAGATTCGGGATCGAACCACGAAAGTGTGTCAGACCCCAGTCCTCAGCGGCAGATGATCGACGGAATTAAAGGCTGCCTTGATATGAAGCAAGCTTCGATTCCAAGCAAGAGGAGATGTTCATCTTCAACACCACCGGCTTATGCCCAGACAGAAACACGTTCACATGAAGCCAATGGCTTTTAGCAAAAGCATCCTAAAAATTGCAATGATGAACTTCCAGTTTTTTCCGTGTCCTCTTGTAACCCAAAGACACCAGGTGTTCGTGCCGTTGCGTGTGGCACTCGTGCAGACCCTAGAGCTGGACAGTCGAAGGAAAACCAGCTTGTGACCTCAACTCGAGTGGAACGTGGCTCCTCTGTTCCGTCCACCGACACAAGCAAAGATGAATGGATTTGGGGAGAAAATGATGATGATCAAGATACTCAGGGATCCGCCGATGCCTCTCCTGAGATGTCAGCTCCTTTCCCAAAGACATTTCCTGCTAAAGTGGAAAACGGCACTATAGAGCCGCCTATTCCAAAGGCAACAAAGGGACGCCATCGCCGAAACCCTGCCAACGCCAACATCAAAATGGACAATCGGAATGCATTGGCGATTTCCAGGCACATTCAAGGCAAAGAAAACATTGGTCCTGCAATTCTTGCACCCAACCCGATCTCGCCTGCGCATCAACTCAGGATGACGAACAGTATCCCTCAGCTAATGAAGGCATTGCCACCTTTACCTGATGAAGCGCAACACAATACTGAAATTCCATATGGGACTTCATCCATAGGCGACAGAGCTCCTACACATCTTATGTTTGCTAGCAGTCCTGCCTATACAGCGTCACTCAGTAAGTCAGGACCTACGAGGAGTGCTACCGTACCGCGTGCGAACCCTACACCTTGTGGTGGGGAATCGGCAAAACCATCTCGCGATCAGATCCCATCAAATCCGTCACGGTTCAAAGTTCGTCTAAGATCCTCTCGCTCAGCAGGATTGCATAGCAAATGGAGTATGGAGTCTTTGGGTGTTCCTGAGAGGGGTTCCAGTAATCCTATCAAACCCAGGCTTAAACTCAAAGTATCACGAAACAGGTTGAGTAGCGGCTTTCTGGGCCCTGAAGGCACCGTCGTTCGCAACACCGGTCTTCAGCAGCATAGCTCACTCCTGGAGTTGAAGAATTTTCCTCAAAGGGGTGCTCTTAAAACACGATCCAGCTTTAGAGAGGCACTTGAGGAACAATTGGCTCAGCTTGGTACTGATAAAAGACTTTCCAACATTGATGAAGGAACTGTTCGGGGACCTGCGCGGCAGCTGTCTGACCAGTTCGATATTCCTTACCCCCCTTCGACGAAAGGAATAGTAATGGCCGAGCTAGTAACGCAACCGAAGTTTGAAAGTGGAACAGAGTTATTTGGACGACGACGACCTTCTGACAGGGGAGCGCATCTGAAACCTCTGAGCAAAAAGTCGTCATTCTTCCAGCCAAGGAAACCACGAATGATCAACCGAAGAAAGTTCAAGAGCACATCAAACACGTATGGGAGCGACGCAACACCATATAGATCCAGCAATACTCGCGATAGCTCTTCAGACGATTCTGTCTTAGCACCTAGCCACATCGACATGATGCTGTCACGAAGATTACGCAACAAAACACGGCGAGTGAAGCGTTGGGCAACAGAAGCGAGAAGAGCAGTGCGGACATTGATGAGAAGAACTCTCATTTGACCTCAATATTCACAGAGTGAAGGATAGCATAGGATAGTGTATTTTTAGAGAAAACTAGACAAGGTCGAGTATTACAGAGACTGCACTGTCACCGCAATCTTGCCACGCAGCCAGCATTTCGCGGATTCCGGATTGCGGCTGTGATGGCCTGTGGTCTGTGGCTTAGTGAAGCTCTGTCTTGAAGATACATATGTACACAAATCGGGAAGAAAGTAATGATAGTAATTGAGTATTTGTATTATATACTTTATCTGCATATGGGGTATTCATGGGGGATGCTTGTAAAGTGTCATCAAAGTCATGATCGTCATTACTGTTTCGTCGAATCGCTCAAGTCGAGCCAAGCCTGGCAACGCTCCCTTTGGCCCTTTTCCACACTCTCCATGGTGTTGTTGTTAAGCTCAAACACTAGTCGGTTCTGGTCATCGCCCCAGGTCTCCCACTGAGGAGCATCCTCATCACGATGGGTGTTGGGATCGAAGCTGCGAACAAAGCTGATCCAGTAGTTTTGAACAATGGGCACCATAGGGGCGTTGTAAGTGCGGTAGCTGGGCCCAGCTTTGGCAGCTGTCATATCAGGGCCAAAGACTGCAGGTGCGTTGGCGACGTGGGGAACACCAAGACCGTCGTCGATGAACTCGGTGATCTGGACGTTATAGCGGTAGGACCAGAGAGTCTTGGGGTCGGCGTGCTTGGCAAAGGCGTTGAGGATGTTGTTGGTAGGGCAGATGAAGGTGGCCTCTGCGTATGCGCGGGAGGCTGAGGGGAACCACGTATCGTGCTTTGGAAGCTTGGGCTCCTGAGGATAGAGGTCGAGAATGGTTTCTGTGTCGTCGGTGGTGAGATAGGGGTACTCGTTTTGCATGTAGCGGATGAATTGGGCTGAGCTTCCTGCGTTGACTGCGTAGTTGGAGCCCTCTGGAAGATGCATTAGTATTGTGTGACTGAGGGGGACATCAAAGACTTACCGTTGGTACAGGAGCCAGAAAGGATTGGCACCTTGACAAAGTCACCCTTCTCGTAGAGCTTGGAGGGGTGGTCTGGGAACATATCGCCATCTGTAGTGGGGGCCCAGTAGAAGTAGGATTGATAAGTCCGGCCATCGAAAGGAGCCTTAGAGTTGTGGGTTTGAAGGTCAGATGATTCTATGTCGCGAAGACACTCCATGATATCATCAGTATCGACACACCCTGTTCCGTTGGCAACTCGGTCAAACTGATACTGGAGGTCGTCGGGTTCTGGGAGGCCAGGCATAAATGTCGACTCGGCGATGGCACCAGCAAAGAGACCCTCGTCTTTACCACCGTAGGCAACGAGTTGAAGAGCCACAGATCCCGCACCGGCAGATTCTCCATGGAGGATAACATGCTCTGGATCACCACCAAAGCTGTGGATGTGGTCCTGAACCCATTGCAGCAGAAACTGCTGGTCTAGCAAACCCGCATTCAGATCGCCGTCCTCCTTGACCTCCTTTCCAGCGAGGAATCCAAACATGCCGACGCGGTAGTTGAAGTTGACAAAGATGATGCTGTTGTCCGAAGCAGTGATGAGCTGTGTCCCGTTTACGTAGGGAGATGCGTTTCTGATGTAGCCTCCAGATTGGAAAAAGACCATGACGGGAAGCTTTGAGTCAGATGTGGCGTTGGCTGGGGTCCAGACATTGACAAAGAGACAGTCTTCGTCGATGCGTGAGCTGATACCATCGTTGACTCCTGGGCAGTACGGAGCATACTATACAGAGTAAGTGACTGCGTGAATGGGTGTTGATAGGGGAAATATATATACATACCTCTTGAGCCTTCTGGGGTTTAGTCATAGAGTCTGGTTTGACAGGAGCTCGCCAGCGCAGATCACCTGAGGGAGCTTTGGCGAAGCGGATGCCGAGATACTCGTGAATATCACTATCGAGGACATTGCCTTCATACTCGGCGTAACCGAGGTCCACGAAGGGACCTTCTTTCTCTTTGGTGGGCTCCTTTCCGTCTTTGTCGTTGTCACCTTTTTTGTCCTTGTTTTTGTTATTATCATCTTCTTTTTCTTCTTTTTCTTCTTCTTCATCAGAGTTGTTGTTTGGGTCATGGCTGGGTTGTGGGTAGGGAGTATGGTCGGAGCTGTCTTTGGCAGTGGTCTCATTGACGCCGCCGTGCTCCTTTGTTGAAGACACATACTTCAGCCGCGGCTTCAAAATTGCAATTTGTTCTTATGATCCTGCCAAAGAACCCATATATATAAAGAAAAATGAGTTTGAAATAACATACCTTCTTAAGGCCGTAGTACAGTCCTAGGGTCAAACTCAAGATGAACACCATGAGAAGCACAATGGCACCAATTATGAACCATTTTTTCCGACTAAGTTGTTTCTTTGGTGGTGCTACTGCTGCTGTTTCATTGGCGTGGTTGTTAGGTGTGTGTATTGAATCTTCTTCAGAGACGGGCTCTGAGTGTTTGGGAGCGACTGTCATTGCAAATTTGGTGAGGGACCTCTGCAGAGACAAGGGGTGTCTCTGAGGGTTGTGTGGGTGGTTGTCAGATAGGGATTGTGAGGTTGTCACAGGTTGTCACGAGTGCAGTAGTTCAGAGATATAAACTCATGAGGGTCTGACAAACACAGGGAAGAGCCAAGAAAGAGGGAGGGAGGAAGAGGGAGCAACTAAGACTACGTATAGACTTACGGAGGACGGATACGGACAACGGAGTTGAGGACTGGGTAACGATTTAATACGCGGTGCGCGGAGAAAGAAAGTGGAAGTGGAAGTGGAATACCAAGGCTTTGATGGACTACCTATTCTGGGTCGTGGTGTGATCCCTGGCCCAGGCCCAGGCCCATGCCCATGCCCATGCACTTACTTCTTCGTGCCTACGGATTACTCCGTACAAGACGATAACATTAAAGAATAAAGCCGTTTGATAAATAAAACATCCTTGTTCATTGTCTGTTGGCTAATTAAGTCTTAGTTCGGCCGCCACACCCGTGCATGAAGCTAAGAGGTACATGAGGGATGGCGGGCGGTTACAGAGGCAGCCGCTAAAAGTTCTTGCCTGCCAAGAAGAGATTAATAACTACCCCTGCAAGCCCTAACAGGGATCGGGTATACGATTTATATAGGAAATCACTATATATGATTTTTTTCCTATTTCTTACCTCTTTTAAAATGCTAACTAATATTATAACTTAAGCCTTAATAATAATATTAAAAATACCTACCGGGGTAGTAAAAATAACTATTAAAATTAACTAAATAACTAGTATTTCTATTTATATAATAAATATTATATATATATAAGTAATATAATAAAGCTTTAAACTAAATAAGAGACTATTATACTTATTTATATAAGGATCTTAGATCTGCCCTCTAATTAGTCGGCAAGCCTTCGGCTCGCTTACTTCTATATACTAAAATAAGCTTAGTCTCTATAATATTAAGAAGAGCTAAGACTGCCCTTTTAGCGCAGTCGCTTATTAAGTAATAATACTCTTACAATTTAATACATACCTTAAAGAAATACCTTACTTAAAACGGCCTTTTATATATATAGAAAAGAATTATAACCTAGTTATTATTAAGGTTAATAAGGATTAATTTAATAAGGAAAAGACTATTAATAATATTAACTAGGAGATTAGTACTTAAGGTAATAAGATATTAACTATAACTATAAGGAGAATCCTTAAGGTAGTTAGATTTAGGAAAATAAAGTTAATAAAAAAGCCTAGTTTAATATTAAAGATATATAAAAAATACCTTACTTAATATATTACTTACTATAATTAGACTATTAAAGATTAAAAAGTGATTATTTAATTAAATAAGACTTTTTTCTTTTTTTTACCGTAAGGGTTATTATATCTAGCGGAAAGTAAATAAATAAGTTACTTATAGTTATATTTATAAAAATATAAAGGTATTAATTAAGACTCTTTATATATTAATATAAAAGGCAGTTTAGATATATTATATTTAAACTAGTTAATCTTTTAATTTATTACCGTAATAAATACCTTTCCTTATAGTATTATAATTATTTAGATATAATATAGGTCTTCTACTATATAAAGGTTCTATATTTAACCCCTGGTTCTTTCCCTATTATAAAAGGGTTTTTTCCCGGTTAGTATTTATAGCCTTATTATTATAATAGGTTATATTAGGCTTATAAGGGACTTTAATTACCTTAGGGGTTAATATTAGTTATATTATGCCTTTAGTATTTAATATAGGCGTCGGGTTACTAAGCTATTAGGTATGGGGTATTAAAGGTTATAAGGTTAAATAGGCCTAGTTATAATTCGGGATATATTATTAATAAAGGGGGGATAATTATAAAGGTATTAACTAAGACTTTTTATATATTAATATAGAAAATAGCTTAGATATATTATATCTAAACTAGTTAATCTTTTAGTTTACTACTATAATAAGTACCTTCCTTTATAGTATTATAGAAAGGTAAAAAGGCTTTAATAAATTTATATTTTAAAATATATTTTTTTATAATAAAAAAGGTCTTTATTATTATTAATCTTTAAAAACTATAAAAAAAAAAGTAATTATTAAAGAAGCTTTTAATACCTTTAATAAATAACTTAAATTAATATTAAAAATATAATAAGAATTAAAAATAAATATATAAAGACTAAGGCTTTATAACCTATTAAGTAAAAAGCCTATATAAAGGTAAAAAAAGAAGATTAATAAGTTAATAAAAAAGGGAAAAGGAGATATTAATTAGTAATATTATTAATAAACTATTCTTTTTTTAAAACTTTTTCTTTTTATAAAGAAATATATAAAAAAAAAAGTAAATACTATTATATAAAAAAATAAAATTTCTATATATAAATATTATATATAATAAAAAGTATATAATTATTATAAAGTTTAGTAATTTCTATAATATTTAAATTTACCTAATTTAAATATAATAAAGTCTATATAGTTATAAATAAAGAAATTAATAATAAAAAAAGATACTTTAAAAAATAAAAGTAAAGCTATTTATAAATAAAAGGTAGTTTTAAAGGAGTTACTATAAGAAAAAATATAAATATAAATAGAAAGAATTTTAATATATATCTATAAAATTATTAATATTAAAGGAAAGAATAAATATATTAAAGGCAGGGATATTTCCCTATAAAAATAACCTTTTTAGATTTAGCGATATTATTTCCTTACTTTCGTGATTTTAGCATAGGTAAGAACTTTTAGCGGCTGCCTCCGTACACTGGTGAGATAAGTACCTGAGACAAAGCCAAGAGAATAGGGAGCCAAGGGAGCCAAGGGAGCCAAGGGGTCCAAGAGCTGATTCCGTCTTACCCCGAGGTTCAGCTTGAAACATAAACGGGTACTCAGAGGTTAAGGATTATCACGTGGACGGTGTAAGAGGCTGTCTTTACTCTAAAGAAACAAAAGCCTAGACCAGAGAATTAGAAGCAATAACGATTGAATCACCAGACTTAGCGACGTTAATCAATCGTTGGTACCAACCGTTTAGCGATGCAGCGATGTAAGGGTATACCTAGCTTTCAGAGCAACGTGGTAGGCACGATTGGTCAGATCTTCACGCTACTGTAGGAACCCAGGCTCAGCCACTAGATCGAGACCCTAAATGTCCACTATTTCCCAGTCATGCGAAAGAGAGAAGAGAGAGGGTATCTACGGATTTGTACCAGCAGTTTTCTTGGCGTTGCAGTGCAGGGCCAGAAATATTAAAATGGCCTTACACTGGGAATAACGAAGAGGGTTTTTTTTTTATCATGTCTCCTTCATCACATTTCTCGGAGGTTTCCTAAATTGGGAACAAAGAGTCAAAGACTGAGAAACAGGGCTGAGGGGCACTGGCTTGCGCTAGTTTACTACCTTATCGACTGTGGCTTTTAGGAATCAACCACAATAGAAGAGCCTCATTTATGTCGATCAACCATGATGATAACCTCAGGGCAAATGAATATAAGGGGTGATGGCATATAATCAAGACTTGTTATACACAGAAAATACACAGAAACAGACAGTCACATCTACGAGGTCACTGCAGACAACAGATAACAGACATGTCACCCCCTTCAATGCCAAGACTCGCCATTCCTTCAGCTCTTTCAACATATCACTCAAAAGTCCCCCTACCCTTGCTAATGCTTACACCCATGACTACCTGTGCCGCAGGAGGATATCTTTATCCAGCGTCACCACACTCGTTGGTCCTTTCCATGGCATTCATTCTGGTCGTACCTGAAATGCACGACAGACATCATCGTCACATTGCATAGCCTCTGGCGCCCGATCAGCAAGACGGAAAATTACCTGCAGGGCTCTTGCAGAACGTCCTCCTTGTCAGGCTTATGATATCCATATCCTTGTTGTTGAAGATGGCTTGTGCCCGAGGTTATCTGTAAGGCACACAAGCGAGGAACTGGGGTGTTGCAAAGAGGCAGCTCCAGGGGTCACGGGCTAGACAGGCTAACAGGTTCTTCAGTGGAATCTCTGTTGGCTGTTGGGGCCACCCTCCATCTCACAGGTGTGGCGAACCGTCTCCAACAGCTTTAGCTTTAGCTAATTATGTCTCCAGCATTTATGCATAAAATGTCAAGCTGCTGGTTCCAAACATTAAGCTTAAATCGACAACTACCCGTACTTCATAATTGGTTACTGTTATAGCTCATTGCTGATGGAAGAAACGAAGTGCAGTCCTAGGAACCGTTTATCATGGTCTGCCTACTGCTCAAATTGTTTCATTATACTGTTATATTTATTTTCTACAATAATCCTATGAAGTTGGAATTGGTAAGACATGAATATTTAGTGGTATTAAAGAGCCGAGCGGAGATTTAGTCGTCCAGTAGAATTTAGAAGCCTTTGATATCAGAGGGCAGAACTGGTTGGACACTGATGTAAGATGGTCCTGTCAAATCGACCTACCCTACATCGCTGGATTACCCGGTTTCAAAGCTACATACTCCGTAGGTAGTTTTCTATTCCTTCAGATTCAATTAGCTCAATTTTCACTATTCGCTCTTGATAAACCATCGAGGTGAGAAAATCAAACAACAAAAGTTAAGTATATTTCAAGGAGTGTGTTGACAAGTAATGACTGCCCCAGGTATCCTCAGGTGTATGGTGCTGAAGTCAAGTGACAGTCCACTGAAGCGCCAACTGGCAGGGGCTTATCCATGCCATCGAAACAAACCATTTCCACCGCCAACCATCCACGAGTACTCTTACACTGAAAATCTATAGGAATACGTCGCAATTTCATCATTAAAAACTTGAGACTAATTCATAGCCTCAATTATGGAGGAAACGCCAATGGGCGAGTCCATCAAGATATCGTAAGTGCTTTTGTCTTGTTCCCCTCACATAAACCATCTCCACTGGATGAGCTGACTCGAATGACCACTATAGCTGTGAGCGATGTCGTCGTCGCAAGGTACAAATCCGCTTCCCTGGCTCTGAAATGGGTTCATAAACTTACAAATCAACTAGATAAAGTGTGATCGCAAGCGACCTTGCTCACGCTGTGTCAAGGCCGGCACGGAATGTATCCTCAGCGGCAGCGGAGAGAAGCAACGGTATGACTCTGCAGCCCTGTCATGACCAGATCGACATACTGAACCCCCCTAGTCCAATATCCAAAGGCTATGTTCAGGCTCTGGAGGGCCAAGTGGCGTCTCTTGAGCTGTTGATCCGCAAGCTCGCTGTTGCTGATAGCGTAGAGAGAGATGACATGCTATCCGAGATAGTCCTCTCACCACCAGCCTCACTCGGCACCTCACAAAAGTCACCAACAGACCACCCCAAGACCAACACCGATCCTAAAGTCGTCGCTGCCCAGGTCCGTTCCGGGCAGTTGAGGCGGCCTCGATCTAGCCATGCAACTCAGTTCTTTGGCGGCACCAGCGCATTTCACATCCATCTCTCCCAAGAAGTCTCGTTGTCGCCAGATGAGATGCCTTCTCATATTGAAACTAATACTGCACCTCACATGATGAGTAACATACCGGAGACGAGCACTTCTAGTAGCCCAAGTGATCCTAACTTTGTATACGCACCCCACGACGAGACTTCGCAGGCATGCATGGCCGCCTACTTCAAGCACCAGTACCAGTTCCATATGCTCATATACCGAGAATACTTCCTACGGGATTACGATGTGGGCTCGGGCAGATATTACTCGGACGCTCTGCTATTCGCCATTTGCTCCCTGGGTGCCATGCAACTCGACGACTTCCGCTCAGTGTCAGATATCTTTGCCCACCAGGCTCAGCAACTTATCTACGCAGCCCTCGACAGTCCAGAACTCACCACTCTGCAAGCACTAGCTCTTCTGGGATACCGTGAGATTGGTGTAGGCCACACTTCAAAGGGCTGGCTGTTTGCAGGCATGGCCTTCCGCCTCGCCCATGAGATGGGTCTGCACCTTGACCCGAACAACTGGGACGCTTCAACAGAAGGGGCTTCGAATCGCGATACGGAAATTCTAAGAAGAGTCTACTGGGCCATATTTATCGCTGACAAGCAACTGAGTCTCTATTTTGGACGACCGCCAGCTTTGCACCCCAGCGAGTCAGACGTCCGTAACACCATTAGACTACAGTATCCGCCAGACTGGGAGGGCCTTCTCGACACGTACATATGCAAAGGTGCCTCAGCAACGGAATTTGAGGACGGTGTCGCCCTCGTTGGATCCTTCATTTACCAGGCAGAACTATGCAAGATTGCCCATCTCATGATTACGGATCTCTTTGAGAACCGTCGAGGTAATGTAGACGCGACGGTAGCTGCAGCCAGATCACGGCAAATACACGTGTCACTCACAAAGTGGCTCTCGAGTCTTCCAGGAACTCTTCACTGGAACCAATGGACCGTGGGTGTGGTGCAACCCTCTGTACTTCGCATGCAGTAAGTTGTCCTTTTCAGACCGCGGCATGTCCTGCTACTGACAAGCCACAGCATGATGTTCCATACGATCATGATCATCTTACATCGACCGCCTACGCATATGTATGAGAAGCAGGGCATTGCTGAGAGCGAAGATGTTGAGATTTGCTACGAGTCACTACAGGCTATTCTACGTCTCATGAGGACATACTCACGACACTATCGCTTCCGCTCACTCCCACTAGACTTTGTACAGACACTTTCCACCGCAGCAGGCACCATCATGATGAAGCGGTTCTTCCAGGGCGCCTCGTGGGAGGACCCGGACATTGCACGATCGCTGTCAACCATCATCGACGCGATGGAGGAGGTCCAGCGCACATGGCCATGCATGGGTGAGATCAAAGACTATGTCGAGCGGGCTCGCACTGCACAAGTAGTGATGCCTCCTGAAGATCCCCTCATCGGGCCAGATCTCATGAATGGGCTGGAAATGGGCCATGACGTGACAGCGGAGCTCATGGCTCAATGGGGCGAGGAGCTAGGCACGCTTGTGACGGATGAGTTTTTGAGTATGCAACTCCAAGGTACAGAACCAGGAGTGATGGCGCCTTTCGACTTTAACCAGCCGCCTTTAGGGCCTTGATGGGAAGAAAATTGAGCTTCAAGAGCTATGGCCGAGGATATAGGAGTTCGTATCATTGGATAAATTAGGTGAAAATTTATATAACCTCAGTGGACTTTAGAGTAACTTGTACTGATTCCAAGAATAACAAAATAAATTCCTCCAAGTTTAGGGCCCTGTTTGGAAGATCACTCGAGGACTATTGTTTAAAGTATAGGCATTTCACGGCAACTATACCTACCTAACTTCTAGAATATAGTAACGGAGTCTGTGGAGTATTGAACTGAGGAATAGACGAGTCCCTGATTGACCGAACCATATGAGTATCCAACGTTGGAACATCTCATCTTGTTGTTGGATAGTGGTGATGTTGGAACCGTCACCTATGTGTTGCTGGCGATCAATTTCCCAATATCGCAAGACTCCTTCGACAAAAGCTGATTGGCTTCCGTAGCTCAGTTGGTTAGAGCGTCGTACTAATACTACATCCGAGTACTTGGTAATGCGAAGGTCTCAGGTTCAAGCCCTGGCGGGAGCATGTCTCTCAGTGCCCATCAGCTTTCCTTTTGCATTTTTGATGTCTTATTTGACTGAATAGATAAATGTTAAATGTTTGTTGAGAGTGAGTTGCTTTGCAGGATGTAGATTGATGTGTGAAGATGAAGAAGCTAAAATGAGACTCCAGCGACAAGACTAGAAGGAGCTTCAGGGACTGACTTATGCCCGAGGCATCCAGACACCTGTGGTGCTTTCCCAAGGTGAAATTCGGCACTCACATGGAAAGAGCCTGGAGAGGCAGGTCCGCTCCGTACAGTATCAGATAATAGCATTAGTCTAAATTTTAAGAAATTATCTTAATATGCTGGATAGTATTGTAGCTTACTGTAAAGTAGTATAAATCATTACAGATTATCCTAAATATCCTCTTATTCCATCAACACAGGTGCATGCTAAAATGCCACCGGGATGTTTACCGAACACCGACTATACCTGTATCTTAGCGCCTTTCAGCTCAACCTTCCCGGCCGAGGTTCAGCTTCAACTCCAAGTCCAAGTCCAATTCCAACCGCCAATTTGAACATCACCCTACCGCATCTCTCTCGCCAACACTAGAATTTCTTTAATATCTCCCCGCAATCAACGCCGATCTTGGGTCTTATATAAATCCTACCGTCATACTCATCATATTGCACTCAAGCCTCTACAACAAGTTGCATCTGCGCAAGCACATGCGCGCCGTCCTTTGCCAAACATCAACACCATGTCCTCCTCACCAACATCATCATCGCCATATCCCTTCGCCACCGCGCCCGACATCATCCGCTCTCACCAAAAGGATGCCTACTTCACCGGCCACCTTACCCAGATCCTTAGCGATCTTCATCGTCGTCTTCGCGGCGCCCGTCTAACCCACGCCCGCGCACCCGAGATACAGACCCTCGCGGCCCTTGCCTACTTCGCTCTCACCACACTTCCCGGCAACCGCACTCTCGGCGAGGAGTACTGCGATCTTGTGCAGATAGATGCGCGCGACGGGAAACTGCCCGCTATTGACCGCCGGGCTGGATACGTAGCTGCCAGCATCCTCCTTCCTTATATCGCTGCTCGAGTACTCCCCGGACTGCGCGCGCGTTTGCGCAAGCTGCTCCAGCGTCGATTGGAAACCCTCCGCAAACGAGACGACAAGTCGGCCACAGGACGTGAGGCGCGCATATGGGCATACCTGGACCAGCATCTAAGTTCATTTACGTCAGGTGCTCCTTTCCAGGCTGTTATTCTGGCCCTTTTCTATTTCAGCGGCACCTACTATCAACTCTCGAAGCGCCTCCTTTCTTTACGATATGTCTTCACGCGTACCGTCCCTGATACACCCGACCGAGCAGGATATGAGCTCCTAGGTGTACTCCTAGCTGTCCAGCTTGCGGTCCAGGGATACACGCACTTACGTTCTACAATCTCTGAATCGGCAGAAGCCCGCGAGAGCGCCGCTTTCGGAGCATCTGGTGATATCTCCCTCAACCATGATGGAGCCTACAATGATGACAACAATCTGCTACTTTCTACAGGAGCTTCAAGCTCCAAGTCCAAGGTCAACATCTTCGCTGCTACACATACGCCAGCGGCAACAGTGCCGCGCATTCAGTTGACGGGCGACGAGACCATGGGCTATATCAAGGGCGGGCAGCAGAGGAAGTGTACTCTCTGTCTAGAAGAGATGAGGGATCCTTCAGCAACACAGTGCGGCCATGTCTTTTGCTGGGAGTGTATAGGCGACTGGGTGCGGGAAAAGCCCGAGTGTCCATTGTGCCGTCGCGAAGCAATGGCTCAACATATTCTTCCACTGCGAGTGATGTAGTTTCAGGTTCAAGATATCCAATTCAGATGAACAAATAATATTATTATGCTCAATTACATCTTCAGTATCAGATGCTAAAATGTAAAACAAAAGAGACACCGAGGCTCATTGCCTGTGGGTATCATCAGAGCAGCTATTGTGCCGCTGTATAAAACGCTCCAATCCTCTCGTGGTATCCTATCCATTCCAATCCGCCAAATGCTCCAACCCCATTATCTGCCAGTCGGCTTCCCAAAACATAGTCCTTAAAAAGAATAAATCTCGAAACCAAGAAAAAAGGCCCGTCCTTACATCAAGTAAGATCGCCCGTTCGCTCCCTTGTATACATACTTATACACAATTACCGATCAGGTCCAGGGGCTCAGATACTCGCAACCGCCAGATACACACCTGACGAGCCAGTCGAGCCCCGATAATCCCATCCGTCCCGTAAAACTTGTACACAGAATGGAAGCTTATCCATACAGGCAGGTATCGTGAAAAAACGTTGCTTCAATGCATCAGCGACCTCATAACTCCTTAATCCCATGACTGGTATCTGTCCGATTTTTCGGCATGATTGTCCGCTGTTGTTGTTGTTGTTGTGGTTGTTTTTTTCTTTTCTTTTTCTTTTGTTTTGTTTTGCTGTGCTTTTGAATGAGTTAAACTTATTCAACAGAGAACAGGACAATCTCGCCCTGCTCGTTCTGTCGAAGTCGAAGTGATCTCCAAAGTTCCTTCTCTTCCTTGCCTTTGCCCAGCTCGCTGCCAGTAGCCTCGCGCTCTCGGTGGAAGCGCTTGAGCACCCTGTTTAGACTGACGCCCTTCTCACTCTCGGGACCCTTGTCAACGAAACTGAGGAAGACATCGGCACGAGGCTTGTAGAGGACGACTTGTCCTTCACTGGGGTCGGTCTTACCGTCCTTACTCTGGGGACGATATTCAATGAGCTGCTGGGGCTTCTTCTCCTTATCCGACTTCTTCGAGGAAGAACTCTTCTTCGTCTTGGATGACTTCGTCTTGGTCTTTGACTTGGACTTGGGCTTGCTGCCAGCGATCATACCGAAGAGGCTGGTGCTAGTAGAAGCATGCTTGGAGTGCTTGGAATGTTTGGAGTGCTTAGTCTTCTTCAGGGGGCTCGCAGGTGAGATATCGGGCATATCACCACCAGAGTAGTCTGGGGATGGAGGGAAGACAGGGCGCATCATGCGGTTGATACCGCCAGTAAGCCCAGAGTGCAGAACCGGTGGGGCATCAGTCATGACCTGATCGCTAGGGATATCCACGTGCAATCGCTTGCGCTTCTTATCCTTTTTCTCGGTGCTGCTTCGGCTCTTGCGTCTCTCAGCCTTCGGAGCGGGCGTAACAAACTTGGCAGCGGGCACAGGTGTGCTTCCGTATTCAACCAGGTGTTTCTCTTCATCTTCATTGTCGTCCATGTAGGCGAATTCGTCATCCTTCTCCTTGGGCTCATATCGTACCAGCGAGTTACCTGGCTCCGCATCAATGTTCATGTTGGAGGCGTTGGGTGTTTCGCCAGTTCCAACGAGGAACTCGAAGACGTCAACATGGGGTTCAGGGGCGGCGGAGGGAGGCGTAGGAGCCTCTGGCGGGGGCCCGCCATGAGCCTCATCGTCACTGCTCTCTTCGTACTCGGCCCAGCCGAACTGGTCCTCAGGGACGTCCTCGACGTAGGCGTAGTGGTTCATGGCTTCAGCGTTCTTATTGGTAGGAGTTTGAGTGTGAGCTGTAGGTTGCTCCTGGGTATAGTGCTGCTGGTTGTCGTTGGGATGGCTGTGTTTCTGTTTCTTGTTGTTCTTCTTGTCTTTGTAGAGAGCACCTTGATACTTTTGGTCTTCGGTCATGCAACTCTATATGATGTCAGATGATTACACAGAGTCAGGGGCGATGAGCCGACGAGAGCTTTGACTCCCAGGACAGTTCTGTAGTACATACGGTATGAGATCGGTACTGAACGCCAGGGAAATACACCATACAGTCAATGCAGGTGAAAGTAGCGCCGCGGCAGCGGTTGCGGTGAGGGTCGAGTTTCTTCTTGGTGAGAACGTCGCCGCAGTTCTGTATGGAAGGTTAGTATAACAAAGATCGAAGCTGATAAAGTCGACTACGGCATGAAGGGTATAAGTGGGATGCAAGACAATGGAGACTCGTTCGATGCAGCGGGGTGGTGTACTGGGATATTTGAGGATGCCAGGGGAGGCGAGAGCATGGCAAGACGGTTGTGGTGGACCAGGAGATCGGCATGGGGAAGAAGGGGTGTCCCTTGAAGGAGGCAGTTCGTGACAACAATGGTGTGGTAGGAGTGATGTCAGGCGTGTATGATGTTGTTTGGGGGGGTGGGCATTGACGTGGGTGAAGGGTGAAGGGTGGGCGGGCAATGAAATGCAATTGTATGAGATATGGAAACGGAGGGGGATGGGATATGAAGATGGCTTGAGCGGCGGCAGCGTTTGGATAGCAGCAAAGCAACGCAAAGCACAGCATAGCACAGCACAGCATAACTCTTCCAAGGGAATGGATAGACGAGGCTTGGCGAGCAATGACAGTGGGGGGGGGGGAGACAGAGAGCGAGATCAATGCAATGCAGTTCAGCAACGTACCTCACATGAAAAGGAAACCATGGCTGCTGGAAGGAGGACACTCGAACGAGGGTCGACGGTTAGCTATGTGGGTTGAGTAGAGAAGAGAAGCAAAAGCTGCACCGTCGTGCAGTTCTGAGAGACCCTCGGTATTTAACGGGGACAGTTCAGGTTCAACGTCTTTGAAGAGACTGCAGAATCGCTGGCCTCGAAGAAGCAAGAGTGGAGGGGCGCAAGGGCCAGGCGACAAAATGATTCGGCCGAGGGAGGATTTTGAGGCACTTGGAGCAGAAATAAAACCGGGGGCAGTGCTGCTCTCAAAGCTTTGTATGGCCTTGACGAGGATGCTGATATGACAGGCGTAAAGGACTAGCTTGTCTAAGGTTGCGTTGGGTGTTGCTCGGGCACGACTTGGGCAGCATAAGCTTGACAAGCGATTAGGAGACGAGGTTGTGCAAATGCCAAAACGAGACGATGAACAAATCAGTTGTGCGGACGAGAGGAATGCGTCGCGTCGGCCAAGTGAAGAAGAAAAAAGGCGGGAAAAAACAAAGTTGACGATAGCACGAGATTTGAGATTGATGGAGGGGTGGGCGAGATAACCAACGTAACGCCAACAGACGAGACGAGATTTGAGAAGACGCAGACGCAGACGCAGACGCAGACGCAGGTGCAGAGTCAGGTGGAGGGTCCCTTTGAGACCGGGGTCTGTTGAGCCTGAGCCTGTGAGCCTGAGCCTTCCGAGAGCACGGTTCTTGCGACGGGCTCCTTGGGGATCTCTCGTAGCGTGATGATGGAGGCGCGGGTAGTGCGCGGGAAGGGGTGGCGTGTGATCCCAAAGGTCTTAAACTAGGAGGATTTTAAAAGTCGAGATGGAGGGGCGAAGAATGTGAATAGTTTGAAAGTCTTTTGGCAATAAATACAAAATCAGAGATGCACGCGCGCGCTGAAGGAGCGAAATGCGACAGGATGCTGTTGGGTGGTGGTTCCAGAGTGGATGTTGTGTGGGAGAAAAAAAGAAATAGACGAGAAAAAAGAGGGCGGTTGACTGATGAAGTGGATGCTGTAAACGAACCATTACAGCACTAATCCACTGTAACAAACGCCCTGGGGAAGAGGGCGAACGACCTGCAGCAACAGGGCAGGGCAACTGACTGACAGGAAGCAGGAATAGGAACAGGAATAGTGACGAGAGAGTCAACAGTGGAGTGGAGGAGATAACAATAGCACCTCGTGGTACTGTACAGAAAGAGAGCATCTGATTTGATGCGATCCAGTAGTTCATCTCACGCCATAAGTTGGGGGGGTTGTTACTTGAACACCCAAACAACCAGCAGCATCAAAGTCAAACATCAACAACAATCAACAACCAAGATCAGCAACGCTCAAAATAGAGCCAGTGTTGGTTCAGTCCAGTCCAGTCCAGTCCAGTCCAGTCCAGTCCAGTCCAGTCCAGTTCAGCCCAGCCCAGCCAAAAAGTCTTCAGAATCCTTTCTTGGGCATCTCTGGTTGGACAAACCAGGCTTGTCTCACCCTATCAGTGTGCAGTGAAGCCGCTGCCACGGCGACGCCAGGCGATGCAGTGATTGGACGCTCGTTCATCTCTTAGCAGAACCCTGATGATGATGATGATGCACACCTCAGAACCAGCCTTGGAAACTTTGAAGCCGCTCGCCCTGGACCGTCCTGTCCCTCATTCAGAACAGAGCGCTAGTCCAGCCCGGCATTCCTTCAAAACTGCGCTGAAGCGACGTCACCATTGGTTGAGATACCACACACGACAGGGGCATTCTATAAACGCAATGCCGCCCAGTCACGGGCGTTCTTGATTGGAGATTGAGACTCTTCGCGCCATGTTCATCTCTTGTCAGAGAATATTGTGAGGGTGTCAGGAGTGCGTAACAGGAGCGTTAGAGGGGGAACATCGCTCTCTTTTCACCCTTGTTCAGGGCCGTGGCGCGCTTATTTTCCTCTATCGCTCGTAAGTAGTCCTCGTTTCAAAAGAGCGCTCTCGACGCTTATTCAATGTCAAAAAGATCAGCAATGCGCCATCACGATGCATACTTCGCAACGTCGATAGTGTGTGGTGTGCCTGTACTCCGTACCTGAGCTGTGGATGGATGGCTTTTCGGACATGCTTTCCTTGGCGTGCCATCTCAAACGCCCTGATTTGTCTGTAACATGCCCAAGAAATGCCATGCGCATACGGAGTAGTAAGGCAATGAATGGGGCCTCAAAGCGGCAGCGCCTGAATGGGTTCCGAACCAAAGAAGGGACTCACTTGCATGGGTAGGTTCTTTACAAGTTTGACCGTCCCACCTAGAATAGCTTCTAGCTTCTACGACTAAGTTATTAATCAACCTGTTCTGCTGCGGGGCAAGACAGAGATCATAAAACCAAAACAGAGGGAAGAGACGGAAAAATTCTTGCCCTTGACAAGGGTAATGCATTGTACTGTTCAAAGACCTTCAAGAGGTTGTTATTTTCCGCTGTTGTATGGTTCACCTTTTAGTTGCACCCAACTGTAACCGCCCGGTCCATGTTAACAGTCTGCATGGAAGCAATCCAATGATGACGAGATATGGGCACTACTATTTGCTTTGTTAGCCCAAGCTCCAACAACACAAATCTTATGTCGATGATGGTGGTGCCATGAGAAAAGAAAGTTCAATTCGGTAGCATACCAAAGCGGCAATGGCCCCTTGCATGAAACTATCCTTCTGGCTGGTATGTTTGGATGGACCATTCTATTCGCCCTAAACCATCTCACCACCTCACCACGCCCACGAGGTTATCATGTATCATGTCGCTTCCTGTTATTTGCGTACATAGCTACCCCACCAAGTACTGTGCATTGTCACATGCGATGCTTGACCTGCCGGGTATAGGCGGAGCCATCGCTTGATTACATTGATAAACAAGATTGATCATCGACTGTCCCTCCAGTTCAATATCGCTCGCCTCATATTACCACTGTCTCTGGACTCTGGACTCTGGAGTGGGTTCAGCCCCAAATGCGCCTTTATTTCAAGAGTGTCTCGTGGTCTGTCTAGCCCACCAGGCTATGCCTCAATGTGATCTAGCTGATGGCACAAAGAGGTTAAAACGGCCGCGCGGTGGACGCAGATGGCCAAGACGAGGCGTGTCTCAGGGGACATCCCTGGATCGGCATAAACGGGACGAGCATACGGAGTACTCTGCTGCAGCGTTCAACATCGAACATGGCCATGATACGAAGCTGAGGAATGGAGACCAGATAAGCCTGCGAGAAGAGCGTAGGGGAAACGTGAAAGGGTCGAGACCTGAGAAGTTTGGTTTCTATAAACTTCCTTATCCGCATTCCTCAGATCCTCCCGAAGAGTTAAGGAAGTTGTACCAAAAGACAAGACCTGAGCTCTGTCAGACACGGATGACACGGGAGAACCCCCACACACAAAATATGCGATATATTGTTTCATTGACAAGAAAAGCAACAAAGCAACAAGCATCATCAACCCCTTCTCTCACCACATTGATAACCAGGCACACCAAGATTGATTCCCGGCGTCTCGGACCTGGCTTCCCAGGTCGGGCAACGGGCTTATGCAGGCCATCGATGTGGACGATCCGTTAGCCAGGAACCAACTTTGTGTGATTGTGATATCGTCCACAGTTGGCGTTCACCAATGACATTGTCGAGTCCCCCAAAGCCTTTTTTCTCTCTCTTAAGTGCGTACATATGTATCCGTACATATCCCCATTGCATGCACAGCTGGAGAGTTCTATGCTGAAGCGAATCTTCAGGATCAGGGAACAAGAACAAGAACAAGAGCAAATGATGTACAGGCCCGTACCTATGTTGAGATCTTCCCGGATCAACAAATGGCGAGATTGAACCCACTGCTCATTGGATTTGCACGCGATGTTGTTGGTCCGTGTCGTGGAGAAGCTCATTCGTTTCTTCTTGGAGACTTCCTAGCTTGGTCTAAGTTGTTGCTCATTTCCACCGACATCACCACAGAACCCCCTGCTTGGCGATATATAATGTGGTTTGTTATTTCTGCAGGCAAAGAGACGCTTCTTTATAAGAAAGAAAGTTCATGATACGTATGGAGTAGCCACATTCAATGATATAAGTGCCCGTCGCCCGCATATCGACCCCCTTGACTTTTTTGTCTCTGCTGATCCGTCTGTTTCGTCGCGTGTATCAGCTTCATTGGTGAGCAGCCACAGGAGGGGGACACTCTCACACGGGTACCTGAAATAGCCTGCATCAACATGTACAGACTCCGCTAAATTAGCGCTGAGCGGTACCTGTATCGTCGATACGAGAAGCGTATCTTCATTTGCCTTTCTCTCCACCTTTGCTGATGGGAATTGGGAGCTGAGATCACTCCTGTGCCCCGCCATCGACCATTGGTTCCCTTGTGTGGAATATTCGTCCCGGATGAGTCCTGAGAACGGAGAACCTAAGGTTGTCGATAATATTGGTTCTTGATGAGATTACCTCTAGCCTCTAGGCAGCTGATTATTGTTGAGGTCCTAAAGCTAGAGTCTTATTGCAATTACCATGCTTCAAGTCAAATCAAAGCCTGAGGAGTCATGATATTTCTTTGATCCTAGAACTTTCTTCTAGAATTTTTTGCTTCCCTTCTCTTCTCCTCATGACACCTCCACCTTCACCTTCACCGTTCTCAATCTCAGATACCGCTCCTTTAGAGGCATCCCTGCCCAGTTAGAAGTGACATCCCTTTTTGGAGAATTGCACGGATACATCGTTTTCGTTATTTTCTACTCTCAACATCATCCCATTCTATCTCGCGCAAAGGCACTTCTACTCGTCGCTCCAGCCTCGGCACCATCTCCAAAGAAGAGAAGCTCTTTCGACCCCATGTCATCCCCGTGCAAGGTACTTCCATAACTGGGATCGCCGCCGAAGAGAGTCGCCAGGGGCAGCTTCAACAGATTTACGGTTCACCTTGAACCTCCTGCCTTTAAGGTCTGGACGAACGGAATAACTACCTACTTGCAGTGATTATTGGATTCGCTTGGTCTAGTTCGGCAGTCGATCCTCTTTTTTTTTCCCTTTCGTGGTTTTGTTTGCTCCTTACAGCACTGTTGTTGTTTTCTTTCTCCTCAACAAACCTCAATACTATATTTTCGATATCACCCGAACAAAACATCTCTCGACTCGAAATCGTCAAATCGAACCCGAATCGTACAAGAACTTGCTTCTGTCACCGCTATTCGAACCTTGAATTCGCGACCGCCTACAATATACGGATACCATACCATACCACACTATAGGTAGCACCCCTTGCTACAGTCTTCATTCTCCAGTCTCGAGTCTCCGCAATCGTTGTCGAGACCCCAGTTATCGCCTGTACCGTATCGTTTGGTCAGTGTAGACGTCGGCTGTCTACCTGCACCTGCATCTGCAGCCAAACGAATATCAATTGCTGTAATGCCCAGCAAACCGGCAAAAGCAACCATGTCCAGCTCCAATACTCCCACATCGCAGTCATCCAACAACTACGTTGAACAGACCGTCTCGTTATTGAGCTCGGTCGCCAGCTACATGCGTCTGCCCGCGCTGGCTTCAACGGTACGTCTACTCCAACAACACATCGTAGTCTTATCTGCAGCGCAACGCACTACTGCCAAGCCATCACGAGCCGAACTGACACCAATGCGCATCTTTATAGGGTCTCGCCGCCGTCCTCACTTCATTACTATACTTTAAACAAAAGTCCGTATAGACCAAACAGCCTCTCCCCTTTTGCCCTTCGTCTACCAGCCTCCTCCTGGCTGCTCGACCCGCATCATTATCATGCCGAGTCCCGCGCTAACACCCGCATTAGGGCTCTCATTTACCCGAGCAATATTCCTGCAAATTCTCGCTCCGACGTTCCAAAACCTTCAGACTTTGGTCTTTCAAACTTTGAAGAACTCTACATCCCAACCGACGATGGCGAGAAGCTTTCAGCTTTCTACATCCGTGGCCCACGTGGCCACAAAAACTCGAACATCACTATATTGATGTTCCATGGTAATGCTGGTAACATTGGCCATCGGTTACCCATCGCTCGGATGATCATAAATTACATTGGTTGCAATGTGTTTATGCTTGAGTATAGAGGCTACGGCTCCTCGACGGGTCAGCCCGACGAGTCAGGTCTCAATATAGACGCCCAGACTGGGCTCAACTACCTACGGCAGCGGGCCGAGACGCGCGACCACAAGCTCATGGTATACGGTCAAAGTCTGGGTGGTGCCGTCGCTATCAAGCTTGTGTCCAAGAACCAAGAAAAGGGTGATATCGCTGGTCTGATCCTAGAGAACACCTTTCTCTCCATCCGGAAGCTTATCCCTTCTGTTGTGCCGCCCGCCAAATATCTTACCCTGCTATGCCACCAAGTATGGCCAAGTGAGTCGGTTCTTCCTAACATCACAAAAATCCCGACTTTATTTATCAGCGGGCTACAAGACGAAATTGTTCCGTATGTATCTCCCTCTCCACCCTTCCCTACACTACCACCACCCTCGATCATATGATGATTAAATTTGCATCACCCACAAAAGTTGAAGTACCATTCGTGGTCTTGATAGGAAAGCGAATATTCCCTGATGATCAACCATCCCTCTTCTTTCTCTAATTGCCACAATGCAACCCCAGAACACCAAACTAACGTTCTGCAGACCAAAACATATGAAACAGTTGTACGACATCTCGGCCGCTCCCACCAAGCGGTGGAAGCCCCTCCCCGGTGGCGACCACAACTCAAGTGTCTTGGAAGAAGGCTACTTTGAGGCCATGTCAGATTTCATCGCTGAGGTGACGGGTGATGACATGCACAAGACACGCTCGTAGACACTTGCCACTTGGTAACAGCATTGCTTCTTGATATTCCACTTATCGCATGGCCTTGGTGAAAACGGGAAAACACGGACAGCATAAAGCATACAGCATAGCACTTACGATTGAACGAAACCTGTTTTCTGTATCAACAGAACTTTGCATACACATTCTTTTTCTCAAGTACATATATACATACACACTTACCGTTTGAATATGGCATATTCTTGAGTCCCTCTGAACTCAAAAGAAACTTGGCAACTATGAGACATGGAGCACCACCAAAGTCTACCTTGTGCGCGCGCGCGTGTGTGTGTGTGTGTGTGTGTGTGTGTTGGTTGAGTGGAGATCCCTCTCATGTGATACCTCCAATAAACTTGTTTGCAAAAGTTCGTTCCCGTGATATGAAGAGATTGAAAGAAAAGATAGTGATGTTACATTTTGTTTCAGATGCAAGTCTAATTACCAGGCCTCAATTTCGGCAACCTCGAGGCTTTTGTTTATGACTGTCTAGTCGTTCTTGTAATTTAGAGATTCGAGGCAAGCTCAGATGCTGAACGCGACACACCAACGACGTCAAAGAAAAGATATATCCATAGACTAACTCGCCATAGCTGGTGGGTGGTACAGCTTGACCGGAAGGTTAAAGTTTGTAATACTCTTGGCTTCTTACGGCTTTCTTGGGACAATATGTTCATGTATGCATTACGTTCTTACAGTTCCGTGCAAAACTTCCAACAAGTCAGCAAGGGATATTTAGAATAATAGATATATAAAAGATGTATAATATTTAAAAGATCCTATATATAATCTTAGGATAAGAGTATATAATATCAGAAAATAAAAAGAGTTTATTGTAACTCATATAATATTATATAAAGCATGAGAGTGAGGAACTTGTCGTAACTTTTGTATGCCCACTGTATCAGCTATTTACATTTTAACATCCATCTTAATAGTATAATTTGCCTCCTGATACAATGCATCCCGAGAGATTGAGAACTGGAGACGTCTCGTCGTTAACATGAATAGTAAGGGGCCAGTGGCAGCTATGTGATGCTCGTCGTGACAGGTCTCGCAGCCCCTAACTTTGACCACATACGCCGTAATGGCACGGGTCACTTCTGTATCGCAAACATCCTCAACGTTTACAGGTCGAGTTGTTTACAGAATATGATGTATTTCGGCGACTTGCCATGACTAACAATCTATACACCGCCCTGCCTCACTGATACTTCTAGCATTCAACATCCCCGTCAAGAGCAGCCCATACCTTACCCGCCTCCGGCTGCGGCTTCTTCTTCTTGAGCCCAAGAAGCAGCCTGCGTCCCGGCTTGGCCTCGTCGGGCGCAGGCGTAGAGGACGATGACCCAGGCTTCGATGCGGCTCGCCCAGCCACGGCGCTCCATCCTCCGGCGCCAGCGCGGCGGAGCACCTCTCGGCGGGTGATAGCACCGTTTACATCCGAGTGGCAGAGCAGGACGCCGTCAGCGAGCTTCTCGCGTCGGATCGTCTGTTCAATACGGGGTTTGAGAATTTCGAGACTCTTTTCCATAGGGGCGGGCGTGAGAAAGGCGGAGTATGAGACTGAGGCTTTGATGAGGACCTCTTCGTTGAGGAAGTCAACCTTGAAGGAGAATCCCTGTAGTGATGACAAATCCGGTGCAAGAGCGGTATTGACTTCTTCTATTGTCAACCCGAATCGAGGCTCTGTGAGAACCAATGCATTGAAAGGCTCGGTCTCCAGGACTGGTGGGCTGGGTGGACGGATTGCTGCCGTAGCTGCTGCTTCGGCAGCTTGGGCGGCTCTTATCTTCACGCACTGAGCCAGTGTCTTCGCTGGAGCCGATACAAACTTGTCCGTCTTCCAGACAACGACGGATCTGTGGATGTCGAAATCCTCGCTCTTACTCTCAAAGCCAAAATCTTCGGCAAGTAGGTGAAGGAACTGACGGGACTGGTTACGCATGGGTTCGTATCTTAAACGAACTTCGTCCTTGTTCGCAGCAAAGACTCGGTACTGGCTCTCCTGTGCATCGCCCCAGGATACAAATGACTTGTAAAGTTTCAAGGTATCGTCCGAGAATGGGATGTGATCGTTAGTGTGGGACGCCGGGTCGATATTGAGAGCCGCAGCAAGGCGGCGGTTGCGATCGAGACGCTCGCATTCCTCGTCACATCGAAGCTCTGGGCGACTTGGGACTGGATTACTTGTGCTTGCCAAGCACTTGAAGTTTTGTTTATGGTTACCACAGGGGCAACTGACATACATCTTTACCTGACAGGCTGTAGATTCTTTGCACGCTAGAAACACATGTTAGTTCAATACTCGATACTGTGAGGTTGTAGACTTACCGCTCTGGCTATGACAGAGGAGCTGGCATGGATGGTTGCAGAGGAGCTTTGTCTTTCCACAGATCTGCTCACAGCCATTTCGTGCGTCTCCGCATTCTCCCGGGCGATGGCATAACTTTTTGCAGGTGTGAAGTCCACAGCTGAGATTCTGACCGCAGACCTCAGAGCAGTGTACTTGCTGGAGATGGCACGGTTTGTTGTGAAAGTTGGTCTTACCACAAATGCACCTCTTCTCGACCAGATAGACACAAGGGGGGCAGCTCACGTCGTCAGGATGGCACTGATGATCAACAGGAGGATGACCACAGGCGGGTCGGCGTGTGCATTTGTTCGTGCAAGCAGGTGGACGTGTACCGCACGGCTGAGGCGGGTGCAGAACTGTCGCACCGCAGTTACAGCTAATCTCTTCCCAAATTGCTTCAGGGCAGCTCTGGCAAGCTCCACGGTGGCAGAGCTGCTCGCAAAAGTGGCTGCCGCATTTCAGCGGTCTTCCACATGTCTCAACACATATGTGCTCAGCCTCGACGGGAAGTGATTCGGGGCCAAGGCGCTGCTTCTTCTGCTGGGCGATGCGCTGGGAGGCCTTCTTTTCTCCTGGGCAACAATGATCTCCGCATCGATGTCGTCCACAGTTACGAGTTGCTTGGCAAATTCTGAAACACAATGGGTGCTGGATGTCTCCCTCATGGCACATCGTCTCACCGGTGACCCGGCCGCAGCGGCAGTCAACTTCCATCACCTGTGTACAAGGGGCACAGTCTCCAGTATGGCACACTGACAAGCAAAGATGTCCACATTGCAAGGCCTTCTCACATATTCTCTCACAGTGAGGAACAGGCTCCTCGCAGGATTGGCGTGGGTGGTCCATGAGGTCCTTGAGTGGTGTCTTGCCACAAGGACAATGGCTGACAACATCTGAGGAGAATGGACAATGAGCTGGCTTCTCATCTTGTGGGTGACAGGATGTCTGGCAGCTGTGAGCACCGCAGTCGTAGGTTCTTCCACAGGCATTTTGACAGCTGAAGGAGCCTTCGAACCAAGAATCGTTGGTTGGATCATAAGAATCACACAGGTCGTCCTGTTTAGAGCATCTCATCTCCTTCTCGACTCGTCCACAGTAACACTTGGCTTGGACAGGTACTTCACAAGTACCACAAACGCCCGGGTGGCATACCTGGGTACACTCGTGTTGCGAACAGGGTAACAGATCGCCACATAGCTCTCGGCAGCTCCATCCGTTGTAATAATCAGTATCCCTACAATTCTTTCGCTGAGAATTCTTTCCACAGTAGCACGGTTCTGGCGGACTCAGAACAGTACATGGCGGACATGGGCCGGGATGGCATTGAAGAGTACATGGGTGGGAGCACGTCGACCTGGATTTGGAGCAGGTTTGACCACACGAATGAGGTGGTAGGATGCTGTTCCGGCTGGGGTTCATCTCTTTGCCGCACCAGCACGAACTATCGCCTGGCTCGTCGGTCAAAGTTGAATTACATCCAGGGCAACGCCATGATCTGTCGCCGCTTTCTTCGTTAACTTTCATGGAAGTATCCCACCATTGATGGGCGCATTCGAGATGGACAACTGTCCAGCAAGTGGTGCAAGACCAGACCTCGGTTTTGCGAGTAACTTCTTCCGTACAAATACGACATTCGTAGTTCCAATTGGCGATATCCTCTTGGATCCGTTGCCAGAGCTCAGAGGCCGTGGACTTGGGGACCTCTTGGCGAGGTCTATCCTGCTTTCGGTTCCTTGTCCGATTTCCTCTTGAGCGGGGCTGAGGTCCATTCTGAGATTCAGCTGGAGGTTGTTGTCGATTACTAGGATAATTAGTACTTGGTTTATGGCAACCCTGTATTGGTAAAGATCCTACCTTCTTTGAGGAACAGCTTGCCCAGGCACAAATTCCGGAGCGTTGGCACTCAAAGATGCATCCTGGGCGACTGCATCTGCCGATTCGGTTGTCGTCAAACGTCCACCAAACTGGCGTCTCGGTCCCATCGAGAACACGCCTCTTCCCTGGTCTCCCTGTCCACGAGAACCGCCTCGGTTACCTCGTCGGTTTCGTCTGCCTCTGGAAGCTCCCGAACTTTCGGGTGCAGCAGAAGCTGCTGGGCCTGTTGGGGCCGTTGTGGATGCAACAGCGGCATCTGCAGACTCTACCTGGGTAGCATTTCTGCCACCCTGTGCAGAGGCGTCCGGTCGCTTACGTCCTCCTCTTCCTCTGCGACGTCCTCCTCGTGAGCCTCCTCGAGAACCTGATGCTGACCCTTGACCCTCGGTCTGGGGCCGGTTTTGGCGTGCCTGACCAGTCTCTGGCTCAGCCATATTTCCGGTAACGAAAATCCTGAGCTGAGAAGCCTTTGCGACGAAATGATTGCGCTGTGTAGTATAAAGCGTCTTCAAACTGAAAATAAATAATATGGAAAGCAAAAACCGTCTGAGAAAGGTGAAGGAAGCGCTCGCTTAAACGAGAGCGAAAGTTGACAGCCTATTGCTTAGTAGCGAGAGTACGAGCCAGAGGTGATGAGGGGGGGGTTTCTTCTAGGATGAGGGAGGAGGAAGGGAGAGAGAGGAAAGGAGTTTGGCGATATATCAATGGAGTTGGAGTTTGGGACAAATTCTTTGAGAGGCGTTGAAGCTGGTGGAGCCCTGTATGATTCCGTGTGGCGAAGGGCAGCCGTGACAAACACAGGGCATTATTGGCTGATACTGATAGTCAGAATGAGTCACCAAGAGGAACCGCCTCTTTTGGGTCTTTGTAATTTTCTATTCACAACCTCAGTGGTCGAAGACTTTATCCATACTCGAAACGTAAGACTTAGTGCAGGTTGAAGAGTCATTAATATTAAAACATCAGCTTATTAATGGGTTCTGCCTAGAAATAGGACATGCTGAGTCTGTGAGTGTAAGTAAAAGGCAACTGATACTGTGGCTAAAAACCTGTACCGCCACACCCTCCCTCTAAATAAATCACAGGCAGGACAGGGCAGAATCTATCGCAGTATCAACATTAGCATCGATATAAAATGGATGATTTATTTTCTGCCATTACTTATAGAGTCCTTGGTGATTTCTAAGATGGGTTGGTTCAAGAATCAATTATACGTACGCTTGTGCATTCATTCCCATTGTTGCACTCCAGGGTAGCCACATAACCAATAACATGACGCTTCGACTTATAAGAGATAACGAGTCATCAACTCATATACGTATGTTAACTCTAACTAGAGAGACTGAAAAGCTCGTATATTCTTCCATGTAATATATAAATTTATATATTCATAAAAAAGAGAAACATTGTTCCCGAAGTAACTGGGATACTCTTCTGGTTTCGGTGTATTTTCCCTCGTGACTTATTATTGTACCTGGCAGATTGTTTTACTCTACTGAACCCTAAGTTTCTTCTATCAAACCCTGCCCCGTATGACATTCAGATAGTAATACAGAAGACGAATTGAAATTAAGAAAACAACGATGTATAGTTACTCGGCCTAAAAGGTGAAGTTCGAGTTGTAGCCGTAAACAGAATTCGTATACATGCTCAGTAGCTGCTTGGCGATGGAATTTGCTATTGACCAACCGCATACAATCACGATACCCTGCAGCTATACATAAAGTCCAGCTGCCTGCTATCACCCATTCTGATTCACAGAAACAGAATGGGCCGAAAATCTGCATGTGAACTTCTTGTGCTTCTCGCCGACCCGTACCCGACCACGAATACCAGTATTTGCATGATTGGCGGCTCACCTCGGGTACCTATTTAACAGCCCCTCATAGATCTCTGCTACCCGAGGGCAAAGGAAGCTCTTGTTAGTCTACCCGCACGCGTGCAAAAGAGACAGGCCCAGGACATGAAACTTGTGTGGACGGATGTTGGCATAAAAGACAAAAGCAACATTGATCACGTTTGTAAGAGATCCCGATTCATCATCGGGAGAGGCCGGGATACCGGTGCCGGCTCCGGATGTCCGTCCGCATACTCCACACCCCGGTAGACCACCTTGTTCACGACTGGATACTTGGGGGATCACCTTAGAAATGGGAGACCCTGGATAGTTTAGTTTGACACATTGGAGTTTTGATACTTGCACCCTCATTTGGAGAAAGATTTAGTCAAGGCATGCGTCCTTCAACAGAAGCCACCACTGCTAGGAAGAAAGCATTCTGGACTAGGGGTTTACTTCGAGTTGAAGATCCCCATGACATTCAACTGTCACAGCAGCACAAAACTCAGCCAGACACCAGAATAGCGTCATTGGTGGATATGACCAGAGATGGAATCTTTGAGTCCCCAATATCCGTCTGGGGTAACGCTATGGAGGCTCACTACGGGAATAATGGAGAGGCTCCAACCCCCCGCAGACCCCGGGATAGCATCTCACGAGCTTCACAGGACAGAAGCTAGGTACAGCAGTAGCGTGGCGTCAACTCGTTTTCGACACACGCCCCCTTCAGCAATTGACGGACAACCTCCGAATGTCCCCATGCTTCAGCTGTACCTCTCAAGGTCAGTTCCAGACCGTCGGTGAGTTGAAGGCCAACGGCCTCGGTATCGCTGAAAATTCGACACCTCGAGCAGATTTTTCATCTTACATCAACGTCAATTAAACAAGCTCCAACATATTGCCATAGACTGCCCGTACAGTGTTTTTCTATTCGGGGTTAGGAGATTACTGGTAACACAGCGGGAATGGTTGAGTGCAGGAAGTAAAAGAAAGGAAGTGCACGTGACCTCAACGTTGGAAATTTCCCGTTCGGGTTGAATTTGAGTGCGAGGGACCAGCATCTGGTACCTTATCAACCTCAACCCAACGACAGGCCGCTCCATCTCCGAAATCCACGAGACATCTCCCAGACAAATAATTCAAGATGGCTGCTATTATCAAGGCTGCGAACGCCAAGATCCGGTCAAACCCGGTATCTGACTACATTTGCTCGACCCGTACGTCTCTCAACTGTCCTGTCATGCTTTTTGCCTGAGCTCCGATTCGTCTCCGAGAGCGCAATTTTGTGATATCTCGACTCAACACCCAAACCCACGACTGCAATAGCTATAGAAGCCTATAACAGACACAAAAAAAGAATGCAAGAAGATGCTACTCTTTTGCGCGTGTCAATTGGGTTCTGCTGGGTCGTAAATGTTGCTATTGTGTATTTGGGGATATGGCACTTTCGGGTCATCAACATGTAAAGACAAAAACTGACTCTCAACTTTTCCAGACTTCTGGGGTCCCGTCTCCAACTTTGGTATCCCTCTGGCGGCTATCATGGATACACAGAAGAGCCCTGAATTGTATGATGAACCCACGTTGACCTATCTGCGAACCCACCACTAACGTACTCCCTTTAGGATCTCGGGACAGATGACCGGCGCTCTCATCATCTACGCCGGAACCTTCATGCGATACTCTCTGGCCGTCACACCCAGGAACTACCTTCTCTTCGCCTGCCACTTCGTCAACGCTGGTGCTCAGCTTACACAAGGATACCGATACCTGAACTACCACTACTGGGGAGGAAAGGAGAACATGCCCAAGGAGCAGCTGGCACAAGCGGCCCAGGCTGCCAAGGGTAAGGTTGAGCAGGCCAAGGAGAAGGTTCAGAGCGCTGTCAGCAAATAAGGATAATGCTAGACCTACGGTCAATGGACGGATCGGTATGTCGGAATGTATGCCGTCCACAATGGGAGCGCCCCTGAGTTGGAGCTCGGGATTCGGAGATTGGCAGTAGCACACAGCTACCGCACAATAACTTTGTACCTTTACGATAAGTTGTTCCCTCGATGATCTGGAATCGCACCCCAAGTTGGGGTACCTGTACTCGTGTCCGAAAAGGCATTAGAGGAGGAAGATCGCATTTCGAGGACCTAGATCAATCAATATGGTTAGAGCAAAGAGTCCATGTTTCCAAATGCCACCTGAGAACGTCACGGGCGAGTGATGTTGAGAGACTATCCCCCCCGCACAACAGAGATATAATGAATTTCCCCGGAATCGCTCCCGAAATGCTTAATTCCCTGGTAAGCAACAAATCGCCACAGGATATGCACCCTTGGACAGTCTAGCTAGGCACACCTACCCTTGATATATACCAATTGTGCATACATCCACTCGACTATATGCCGCGACGTCGTGTTTTGTGCTCTGCTGTTTCATTACTTCGGGCAAAATAGCTTCAGAGCAAAATCCTAATGACGAAACCATAGCCTTTCCAGATTTAAGCATACGCAACTCCGCAGGAGTCTCCTGCGTGTCACCTAGAAAGGGACAAGATAGATCTGAGCCGGGGGTAGGACCCGGTTGGAAGCCGAATCTTGCATACCGAGTCCCGAGTATTCTCGTGCCTGTGCCTGGTCTTCCCCCATTGGATCCGCAAAGTGACGGATCAGGGTGAATGTGAAGGGGGAACTAGGAACCACTAGCGGTCATCTGTTAGCAACTTCAAGGTCAGGGTGTGTACCCCAACTTTGTCCATACGATTTTGGCAATGTTCTGGTCGGCTTCTGTCCGTGAAGATGGAGATAAGCCGATCAGCCATTCTTGGTGGGTTTGCAATGCCGGAAAGGCTTGCTGTCGTTGCCATACCATTATGGGATCCGCGTTTTGCCTCTTCTAGCCGCTCGTCGGGTATGTAGGCGTATTATTTCGAGTGTCTTATTTCATCCCACATGATCTACCACGCTGCATGGCAAACAAGTTTTAGGCGTAGAGGTTGTTCTGTTGTGCAATGGTTGCTAGGCTGGCTCAACCGACGTCAGACAATGACGAGCAATCTGAAAGATGTAAACCACCTAGTTTGTGTTTCAATGTCTTATAACTCCGCCCTGCAACAAAAGCAGCTGGGTGTCTCAATCAAGAAGGTAATCTCGCGTTGTTTGATGCTCATCATGAGTTGTATCAGTAGATTGCCCGACATCATAGGCTCAAGCCCATCTCCAAGGTACAGTATTTATTAGACTAGCCCGGCATTTGTGATGGGAAATGTCAGTGCTTCAAACACTTCGGCCGATCGTTTTCATTAATACACACCGTGCAACGGTGAATGAAGCTTGAATCGAGAGAGGCCTTCCTATTTCGTTTTATTATCCAGCCCTACTCAATTGATTTGCTCAGCCTAATATCAACCCTCGTCGAATATCACAACTCCCATTCACAAATTGCATCCGCCAGTGGAGGGGTACACCGAAGGCCGAGGTCGGAGCTAGCTCGCTTTTCTAGAAACCGTAAGGTAGTCGCACCTCAGATGAGTCTCAGATCATGCATAGACAGGAAATAATTTGCATAGCTGAAAGGGGAATAATCGTAAATGATAATATTCGATAGTGGAGGTTCTTGATCTGTAGAGTAGGTAGGTAGCAGAGCAGAGTGCGTAGAGTCACAGAATCAACATGTCAAGAGCAGAGCGGCCAAATGCGCACCAATAAGACTGCCGATGTTGGTATAAAAAATGCAATGCGCCGGTCTTCATCCACCGAGAGAGTGGTTAGGCAGGTCATGCCGTCGTAAAGATAGCTGGGATGGTGTGGGCTTTGGCTCCATCCAAAATAGTGCCATCGTGCCGGCCTTTGACCTCCGTGGGGGTGAAATGCGGTAGGAATAAATGCTTGGTGAAGAGGGGAGTTTGACTTCGGATACCAATCAATCAATTAAACGCAGTACTGGGTTATTACCTCATTTCTAAAGTATACTACGCATGGTCATATGTAAAACTTTGGGGCGACTGACCATCGTCGTGCGTGGACTGATATTCTTGCTTTGTGCTCTGTATCAAGTAACGTTGTGACTTATCAGGACTACAGACTAAACGGGTGAATCGCTTTCTTCTGTTGGATGAGCTGCGAGCATGCGAAACGGTTGTCATAAAATTAGAGTAATTGTCAAAAATGGGACAATACAGCCTAAAACAAGGCCATGATCAAACGGTGAGTGGCAAGGAGCGCAATAGGTACGGAGCATTCCAAGACGCCTGGTGCGTGATGTACCCCACACGTCCTATGTAGGAGCTTTGACTTGAGCCTGGGTCTGAAGCTTTTGGAGCTTGAGATTGAGATTGAGGTTCGAGCTTAGCCATCCAAAAATGAAGTCAGGGTCCAGTGAATGGTGGGGGTACGTAGATCCCTTGGTTAAGGTGTGCTGTGTGTTACGGTGGGAGCGGCTGTGGCACCAAAGACTCCAATCCTGAGATGTGCGGAAAATGCAATGCGGTGGGAAGGGACCTGCTGAGGCTCTGTTGCAGTGCTTGGAGGTCGATGGACAGGGATCCAGGATAATATCACCAGATTGTGTGCATCGTCAACATATCCTCGGCATTAGGGAAGGCCCAGTCTGGTGCGAACGTGGATCCTGACTGGACTTCCCTTGGTCCATGGCATGTCAACAGTCAACCATAGACAAGGCGAGCAGATTGCTCGTTTTAACGCCGGCATCAGGCGGGTGGAACAACAAACCCCTAGAGGTAAAGCGTCGAAACCTCTAAAGGTAAGGTGCGTGCTGGTCGGTATACGTGGACGAAGCGCAAAGAAGTGCAAAGCACCTTTAGACCGAATTGTTGAGAAGGGATCTTTTCTTTTGCTGAGAAGCTGAGTAGGTTAGGTGCCGCGGGCGGAAATCAAGGATCGGCGACTGTTGATATTATGTGAGAGCTCGAGAGATGGATAGAGAGATATAGGCTGATAAACTAGAGCTGATAATAAAGCCCCGAGTTTGAGCCAAAATAATACCCTCAAGTCATGGAGGGAAAGCAAGCCACTATCAGAGGGCGTTGATTGGCCAATGGCTTCGGCTGAACAAAGATTTGTCGGTATTATGAATTGCGTCGACTCACTCTTTTCCTCTCGCTGCTCGTCGCAAACATGTCCGAGAGTATCGGTCATTGTCAAAGCCCACTATGAACAGTGATTATGCATTTCGTGACTGTGTTATGAAGCACCGGTACTTGGCCAGCCGGCAGGGCTTGATCATCTGATAGGTGCTCTTCTGAGTCTATCCCTAACGGCAGATAGCACAGATAGATCTTGTGCTATCATAGCCGTCGTGACAAGGACTTGTGTGAATTTGTAACCACGTCTTGCATCATACACCCCCATACTCCCCCATGCTTGTGTGTCTTGTTTTATTTTGGTTGTTTCCGGGTGAGGCGCGGTGAAACCCACTGTCAGAGGCATGCCATGTCGATACACATTGTGTGCCACCACGTTCCGTTTATGTTTATTTATGTCGAGTCTTCTGGGGTCTAAACCACCACGCTGGGCCGCTGCCCCTCTGTCGTCGTTGCTTGTTCCATTAAACAACTTCATTGCTTGCAACCCCCATCGTACGCTGCAGCTGGCTGTATCATCGCGACCGGGCCGGTCAGCAGCACCACCTCTGGAATAATCCTTCCATAAATCCGTAAATGTCAGGTAAAACTCTCGAGTACAAAGACGTTCATCGAGCGGGAAAGTAACCGCCGCTCTCACTTGTACGCCATAAAAAAAAGCATGGGTTGGAGGATTGGACTGGGTTGGCGAGGTGCCGCGGTACAGTAGCTGAATGGCCAAGCCAATAAAAGTTCCACTCCTCACCTCAGCCTTTCTTTACCTTGTCCTTGGGTACATGTTAGGAAGCCTTGAAGACATCGGCGTCTCTTTTTCTTCTCGTAATATCACGGTGGTACGTCCCCAAGGCCGAGACAGATCCGTTGGAGTCATAGTTTGTTTATTAGTGGGATGCTTTGGGTTGTTCGTTGGAACGTTTCGATGGAGACGATGGAGGGGAAGAGGTCCGCCTTCGCCGCCGTGAATCGTGATAGGTACCTGCCAGTGCCAGTTTCTCAAGACGGGATGCGCCTTCTTTCTCTAACACACACGCCCTCACCGTCCGCTTCTCAATCCACACGCCCTCCCGTCCTAGATAGCTCTTTCTCCCCGGAGGCCGGGTGTATCACCGACTACGCTTGGGGGTTTATTCTACAAAATCCCCTCGACCGCCTGCCTCTCCCTTCCCTTCGAATCTCCCTCTTCTAACCTTCATACCTTTCTCTATCGTTACCAAGTCCCCTTTGTCTACGATTCTTTGCGTCACTGGGTGATATCGCAGCCATTCGTGAGCTGGAAGAGCTGTCCTGGTATCTCCATACCGACAAGCGTGCTCATTACCCCACCACCAAAGGTTGAGAGAACCCCGCCATTGAGCTCTTGATAAAGCTCCCCCCTTTGCCAGAGCTTCCCGTCCTCGCGCACTTCAACTTCTTCAAATAACTGAAGTCGTCTCGTCTCGTTGACGCAAATCAACAAACATGGCTGCCATCGCCCCCCAGCAACCGCTCACATTCAACGATGTCTTTGAGGAGGAAGATATCGACGAGCCTAAGGAGGCCAACTCGGTCCACCACATCCGCGCCAACTCTAGCATCATGCATGTGAAGAAGATTCTTGGTGAGTAGCCGATGTGTTCTTTGTAGCCACTGAAGGCCTATCTGAGCCCCGATGGCCTTCGTTGCTTGTTGCGAGAACTCGCGCTGACGTCTTGCTCCTCTGCTCTAGTCGCCAACCGTGGTGAAATTCGTAAGTTAAACTCTCATTCTATACCGCCGACCCGCAATCAGCTAACATGTGAACAGCTATTCGTGTATGACAGCCCACCCCTTCCGCCCGACCGATCATTTTAGCCACTGGAAACTGACACAAGTTACTGGTGATAGATTTTCAGAACCGTAAGTTTTAATCCTTGGCTCCGGCCGTCCCATGAGCTTGAGCTCGGACACTAACATTCAACAGGCTCACGAGCTTTCATTGCACACTGTTGCTGTCTTCAGGTACCCCTCACTTCAAATCGCGACCCCAATGGTAAAGTTGATAAACTAACTCGCACAGTTATGAGGATCGATTGAGCATGCACCGACAGAGTACGCGATGAACAATTCCCCTCGATGATTCTCTTTACTGACTGTATTCTTCAGAGGCCGATGAAGCATACGTCATTGGCAAGCGTGGACAATACACCCCTGTTGGCGCGTATCTGGCTGGCGATGAGATTATCAAGATCGCTGTCGAGCACAACGTGCAAATGATTCACCCTGGTTAGCAAAGTTTCGGTATCCGTGATTCCCAAAGCTAATTCAGCTTCTAGGTTACGGTTTCCTTTCTGAGAACGCTGAGTTTGCCCGTAACGTCGAAAAGGCTGGCCTCATCGTGAGTTAAAGATGCCCCACCACTCCCATAACGTCCGTGCACTAATCCCGGACCAGTTCGTCGGCCCCTCTCCCGAAGTCATTGACTCTCTTGGTGACAAGGTCTCTGCCCGAAAGCTCGCCAACGCCGCCAACGTTCCTGTTGTACCCGGTACCCCTGGCGCTGTCGCAAGGTTTGAGGAGGTAAAGGACTTCACCGACAAATATGGTTTCCCCATTATCATCAAGGCTGCCTTTGGAGGTGGTGGTCGTGGTATGCGAGTAGTCCGCGAGCAAGAGACTCTCCAGGAGTCTTTCGAGCGCGCCACCTCTGAGGCCAAGACTGCCTTCGGTAACGGAACTGTTTTCGTCGAGCGTTTCCTCGACAAGCCCAAGCACATTGAGGTTCAGCTTCTCGGTGACAACCACGGTAACATCGTCCACCTGTACGAGCGAGACTGCTCCGTTCAGCGACGACACCAAAAGGTTGTTGAGATTGCTCCTGCTAAGGATCTCCCAACTGACGTCCGCGACAACATTCTCGCCGACGCCGTTAGACTGGCCAAGACTGCTGGTTACCGAAATGCTGGCACTGCAGAGTTTTTGGTCGACCAACAGAACCGCTACTACTTCATCGAGATCAACCCTCGTATCCAGGTCGAGCACACAATCACCGAGGAGATCACCGGTATCGATATCGTTGCCGCCCAGATTCAGATCGCTGCTGGTGCCACGTTGAATCAGCTTGGTCTTACCCAGGACCGCATCTCTACCCGTGGTTTTGCTATTCAGTGCCGTATCACAACTGAGGATCCTGCCAACGGCTTCTCCCCCGACACCGGAAAGATCGAGGTCTACCGATCTTCTGGTGGTAATGGTGTCCGTCTCGACACTGGCAACGGTTTCGCCGGTGCTGTCATTACTCCTCACTACGATTCTATGCTTACAAAATGTACGTGCCATGGATCCACCTACGAAATTGCCCGTAGAAAGGTTCTCCGATCTTTGATCGAGTTCCGTATCCGAGGTGTTCGAACCAACATCCCTTTCCTGGCTTCTCTTCTTACCCACCCTACCTTTATTGATGGAAACTGCTGGACTACTTTCATCGACGATACCCCTCAGCTCTTTGATCTCGTTGGCAGCCAGAACCGTGCTCAGAAGCTACTTGCCTACCTCGGTGACGTTGCCGTCAACGGCAGCAGCATCAAGGGCCAGATCGGCGAGCCCAAATTCAAGGGCGAGATTCAGGTCCCCGAGCTCATCAACTCTGCTGGAGAGAGAGTCGATGTTTCTCAGCCCTGCACTAAAGGATGGCGAAACATCATCCTTGAGCAAGGCCCCAAGGCTTTTGCCAAGGCTGTCCGCGAGTACAAGGGTACTCTTCTAATGGACACAACTTGGAGAGATGCCCATCAATCTCTTCTGGCTACTCGTGTCCGTACCGTTGATTTGCTTGGCATTGCCAAGGAGACCAGCCACGCTCTCTCTAACCTGTACTCCCTTGAGTGCTGGGGTGGTGCCACCTTTGATGTCGCTATGCGATTCCTCTACGAGGATCCTTGGGACAGACTCCGCAAGATGCGAAAGCTTGTTCCTAACATCCCTTTCCAGATGCTGCTCCGTGGTGCCAACGGTGTTGCGTACTCTTCTCTTCCTGACAACGCCATTGATCACTTCGTTGACCAGGCCAAGAAGAACGGTGTGGATATTTTCCGTGTCTTCGATGCCCTCAATGATATAGATCAGCTCGAGGTTGGCATCAAAGCTGTTCAACGAGCTGGAGGTGTCTGCGAGGGAACAGTCTCTTACTCAGGCGACAGTAAATCTACCCATTCCATCTTACCATGCTCTTGCTAATCAATCTTATAGTGCTTCGACCTGGTAAGAAGTACAACCTTGAGTACTACCTTGACCTTGTCGACAAGCTCGTCAAGCTTGACATTGATATCCTGGGTATCAAGGACATGGCTGGCGTTCTCAAGCCGCACGCTGCGACTCTTCTGATTGGTGCTATCCGAGAGAAGTACCCAGACCTTCCTATCCATGTTCATACCCACGACTCTGCCGGTACTGGTGTGGCCTCTATGGTTGCTTGTGCCAAGGCCGGTGCCGATGCTGTCGATGCCGCCACCGACAGCCTGTCTGGAATGACCTCGCAGCCCAGCATCAACGCTATTATTGCTTCCCTCGAGGGAAGTGAGTTTGAATCCGGTCTGGATCCCAAGCTTGTCCGATCCCTCGACGTCTACTGGCAACAGCTCCGTCTACTTTACTCTCCGTTCGAGGCCCATCTTGCTGGTCCCGACCCTGAGGTCTACGAGCACGAGATTCCTGGTGGTCAGTTGACCAACATGATGTTCCAGGCTTCCCAGTTGGGTCTCGGATCCCAATGGCTTGAGACCAAGAAGGCCTATGAGCATGCTAATGAGCTTCTTGGTGATATCGTCAAGGTCACTCCTACCTCCAAGGTTGTCGGTGATCTTGCTCAGTTTATGGTCTCCAACGGCCTCTCCCCTGAGGATGTTAAGGCGAAGGCCTCCCAACTTGATTTCCCTGGCTCCGTTCTAGAGTTCTTTGAGGGTTTGATGGGTCAGCCCTACGGTGGATTCCCCGAGCCTCTGCGATCCGATGCTCTTCGAGAACGACGAAAACTCGACAAGCGACCCGGTCTATTCCTCGATCCCGTCGATTTCGTCAAGACCAAGCGTGAGCTTGGCAAGAAGTACGGTGCTCCCATCACTGAGTGCGATGTCGCCTCGTACGTGATGTATCCCAAGGTCTTTGAGGACTACAAGACTTTCGTCCAGCAGTATGGTGATCTTTCCGTCCTGCCCACTCGATACTTCTTGTCCCGCCCTGAGATTGGAGAGGAGTTCAACGTGGAGCTCGAGAAGGGCAAGGTTCTGATCCTCAAGCTTCTTGCTGTCGGCCCTCTGTCCGAGAACACCGGCCAGCGTGAGGTCTTCTTCGAGATGAACGGAGAAGTCCGACAGGTCACTGTTGTTGACAAGAAGGCTGCTGTTGAGAACATCAGTCGTCCCAAGGTCGATGCTAATGACACGAGCCAAGTCGGCGCGCCCATGTCTGGTGTTTTGGTTGAGCTCCGTGTTCACGATGGTTCCGAGGTCAAGAAGGGCGATCCCATTGCTATCATTTCTGCCATGAAGATGGTAAGTCATTATCTCGAATTGAGAATATCCAACCACTTACTGACATTTTGCAGGAACTTTCAATCTCGGCACCTCATTCTGGCAAAGTTTCAGGTCTTCAAGTTCGCGAGGGTGATTCTGTTGATGGCTCCGATCTCATCTGCCGAATCGAGAAGGCCTAGAGATCAAGTATAATTACAACAAAACAAAAATGGGAATTAATGACACTTCACGGACAACAAGGAGTAAGTATTCCATGGGGTACCTACTGATGGAATTGGCGTGTAGAGACGACCTTTGAATAGTCCTTTGAGCAAAACCATGAATACAATTATGAATTAAATTATACTAGTATCTCGAATTTATTTCCATAAGTGTATTCTAAGATTTAATGCGATTTGTAATTTTTTACAAATTCTGTTAAGATTTATAACATTTTACAAATTTAACGAGGTTTATAACACTTCAGACCCTTTGGACTAAGTCAGAACTGGATTCCTCTAAATTCATTAAAATATGTTATAATTCAAACACACAATGTTAATACAGATGTTCCTTCCTACTGACTGGGTAGGATACACAATCCGGACCGGCAGTTGGAAGTTAAGTGTGTGGGGCCGGATCTCGGAGGAACATCATGCACCTTTTGCGGGGGTGGAGACAATAGCGGTCCGGTGCCGCGTCCCGCTTTTGGCCCAAGGCAAATGGAAACCAAGGGTTGATATCATAACTAGGCAAAGGTGCGTGGTCAGAAATGAGTGAACATTGTTGTATTTTGCGACTAATATGCATGATTGTGTGGGGTGCATCGAGGTTCGGAGTACTCTCGGGTTCTTCCTCCAAGTGTTTGAAAGAGACAACCTCAGGATCAACGACATAGGCGCGCTTCGAGAATAGCAGCAGATATGGATGTCAGCTCCACATTGTGCCAAATCCTGCTAGCCTAGGGATCTATCACTAACTTGCCATGTGCACGGAGAAGGCGGGATCACACTCCGCGTTTGGTGAAAGCTGTGAGCCATGCGGCCTGCCTTGGTATTGGCATTTACAGATGAACAAAGGTTTGAGGGAAACAGTCCTGAGATTATACAGCACCTCATAAACATCTTAGACATGTGACCCTTCCGCCAATTAATTAATCGTATCATAATATAATCACTGTACTGTGGACCTGAGTCCATTTTTGAATTCGGTATTAGGTTTTCTTAGTACATATTACGATAGTTCCACATAAAATACAAGCCCTAGCGTATTAATATAATGCCGTCATAAGATATGGTAAGTTTCATATAAGTTTGAAATTTTTATTAGAAGATAGCTGAAGCTTCTCTAATATTACATGCTTTCGTTAGACTTTATCTTGGATTTTCTAAGCTTTTCTAAATCTTAGGATACCCAAACGTGCTCCTGGCAATCCTGCTCACGCTTTGGCACTGCGGGGAAACCCAGTCAAGGAAGCAGGGCGAGAGTCTAGGGTTACATGCAGCTTCGACAGAATATTGTGGTACAGAGATACTCTATTCAGCAGGAGAGTGTTCATGTGCACCGGAATCGGATGGGCTCGGACAGAACATGCTGTTGGAAACAACCGCGATGGGTTTTGTGATTGAAAGTCGAAGGATGATAGCTTGGGCGAGCAAGCTACCTATGATATGATGACGTAGATGGAGGCTGAAGCTAACGAGTTATAAGTTATAACATTGCGGGACGAAAGCAAGCACGATGCAAACTGCGATTCAGGTGAGGGGATAGGATAGAGGCGTTCACTGGGTGCCCCAATGACAGTGTCATCTTGAGATGCCGTCTAAAGTGGTAATTATGCTGAGGAAGACCTCCTCCATATGTCCGTAGGTGATAGTAGGTGGGTAACTCCCCCCGTCCGAGGCACACATCGAAGTTTCACCCAATGTTGTCGTCCAGTATTCGCCGCTGAATGGAATGTAACACAGCCTTTGGGCAACACTATCTGGGCTTTCCTGGGTAAATAAGGTAAAGACCTTCGCCCACCATTACACTTTATGGTGCAGCTGGCGGCATCGGACAAGAGCGATGATCAGTTTGTAAACAAAAAGACCATCTCACGCCCGATCGATCCCGAAGTTTGTGATAAGCTTGCGCATGATATGTGAGAGAAGCGGTGAGATTTCATGTCTTTCAGTCATTTCCTTTGTGCAAGGTTAAGGTCAAAGTCAACAAGTGACGTTTCCCATACTCAGACATGGCTTTTTTGAGCTCGTGACTTTGATGTCCTTTATTAGCCAAAGTGTGGGGGAGGAGTCACAGTCACTAAACCCCAGAGTCTTGGCTTTGTCCTGGGGCATTTAACCCGGACGAAATCCCAATGCATCCGGGGGAGACCGGTTATCGCATGCACGATAAATGCAGGCCTGAAGCTCTGGACCTCCGGGAGTTTTGGTGTGACCAATAAAGATCCGTGGTGTGGTGAAGGTGGTGTTTTGCTTCACTAATTCTTATTTCTCAGCAGAATACGGGGACCGGAGCCTTGAAAGGTTTTGATTTGTGTCTACCTATCCGTACCTTGGTTTGGCCATGGAATGATTGTATTTTGTGATACTCTTCGGCAGTCATCAATGTTTGCCGTGAACATAGATCATATGTATACATGTATTATCCTATTTGCCAAGTACTACGTACAGATGCCTACTACGTAGTAGTACTGAGCTTCTTTAACAAACCTGTATCACAGCCTTTTGCTCTTCAGGCCGGGGCCCGCCTAAAGTTTCGCCCCCCTTGCTGATGTCTAGCACACACACGCGCCGCTGTGCTGGGATCCATGTGGAAGGTGGAGGTGGAGGTGAATGGATCTGCAGCTGCCTTGCCTGCCCCCCAAAACCCAAAATTCCACCAAAGCGAAAGCCAAAAGCCAAGAGCCAGGACAGATCAAAAACACCTTCCCCCTCCATCCAACTTCTGTCCTCATTTCTACACATCCCTCTCCTAGTAGAGTACCTGAATATCTTCCTTCGTTTTCACATGAGCTCGATAGGAAGCAACCTGAACAACGACTTCTATCTCCGTCACCTCCTCTAGCAGACATAAATCAACACATTTCACCATTAGCAATGGAGAGCCTTCAACTATCTCAGGTCCTCGCCGACCTTAGCAATCTCGGTGCCGCTGTATGTCTCCACGATGCCTAAACCTGGCGCATCACTTCTCTGCTCTACGGTTTTCCCCATGCTATCTACCAATATTAACTTAACTTATGTGTCTAGGATCCAGGAGCCGCCGAGGCCATCGTCAGCGCCAGCAGTGCCTCCCACTCCAGTTACACCCGAATCGACACAGCTACCGCTTCAACTACGACTGCTCCTACCTCAAATCCTGCTCCCCAGAACCAAAAACGTCCCACCGGTCTGCAACGCCATTGGTCTTCAGAGAAATTCGACAAGTTCGGTCGCCGCATTCTTTCACAAGGCTCCCATTCTGGCTCAGCCGCGAATTCTGGCCCTGGCACCCCTCGCCGCGGGGAATCTGATGTAAGGCTCCCCACCAACGGTCGTCTTTCTGGCGAAGTTGTGATTTCGGTACTGACGGTATTGTCATACAGTTTGAAGAGGATTTGGAAAGGGCAAGCACGCTCATGCAACTATACGACATTCGCTCCAAGATCAAGCAGCAAGATAACAGCAGTCTGCTCAAGGCCCGCGAGAAGGTCAATGCGATAGCGGCGCGACAACAAGCTCAGCAGGCAGCGGAGCGTAATATCAAAGCAGCTGACGAGCTTCGACGACAACGTTACTCCTTCCCCCGAGCTGGTCTCTAAACCGAACGACCCGTATGAATTCACTATACATACTTGTGATGGACTGAGGGCTTGTTCTGAATGTACGGGCGCTGGGGGGATATATCTTTTACGACTTTTATTGGAAGACCTTGTTGAACGGCGTTGGGACACAAAAGTAAAATGCCTTGGGTGTGATGGGAACCGATTCTCTTTTAATGAGGGAAAAGGCTAGCGATTGATTATAGCGGAAGAGAAACCGTTATTAAACCTATAATGACGCACTTGGATAATCGACATGGGTTTATTTATCTTTTTGACAAGGAAAGATGCAGTGATAGTTAGGTATAATATATAGGATTATTTATATACATTATTGAGTTTTATTACTGCTCTTTTCTATACTTTATATAACATTGTATAAATTATAATAACCTCATCCTAAGATTATACATAAAGTCTTCTAATTATAACCATAACACTATTAGTGAAGCCAATTGAGCTAAGAGACCAAAATATTAACGTTGAGACACAATGTGTCTAAACTGGCTTCCATAATAGTGCAAGCAAATTTAAAGAATTACACTGCTAGTCTTTCCTAAGTTGTTACAGGTATTTGGAATATTCGCAACGAACCCAGAATGATCGTGCAGGTATATGTACTGCATGAGTAGCTCATATGATGCTCTGACGTTCTAGAATATGGTTCATTCAGCAAGATCTGCCGTCGACACAAGCTATTGTGGACGGATTAGCTGGGGGTGGAGCCATGATCATTTGTCGTCATCACTAACTTCGCTACATGAACGACGAAGCTTTGTGTAAGTGGGCATGGGCATGGGCATGGGGGATGGGGGATGGGGGATGGGGGATGGAATGAGGCTCAGCAGACTAGGACAGGCGATGATCGCGGTGTACACTTGCCGGTGAAAAAGACTTGCGGTCAGTTCGATAAAGGTATGTATTTATTTGATCTAGGATATGATTATACGCAAAGGAAATGAAAAATACGGAATACGCTGCGTGTTGATGACGACGATCATACTCCGTACTCCGTACTCCACGAAACCTGTATAATCAATCCTGGAACATGATCAAACACTGACCAAAAAGCCAGAAAGGCGAAAGGAGGTTGCCGGGTGCCGTGATGTAAGCGCCAAGCGTCCGGCTGTTGCTGGTTTCTTGCGCACAGCCACGACAGACACGCAACAGCATTAAACTTCGTCAAGAGCCAAGACAAAAGTGGACACGCCCAGACGATAAACTCAGGCTTGTGACTGTTACGCAGGCGAGTTTGGTTCAATTCGTGGTATGGGTTTTCCCAGGCTTTCTAACAAGGCTTGGCTGATATCTTCGAATCGTCAGGCTTGAATACAAAGACTGGCTGCCCTCCCACACCAGTACCTGCTTGTCCACCCTCTTCTACCGTTTTTTTTGTGTGGGTTACCTCTTTAAACAAATCAACATCAATTAAACATAAACATATTTATCCTGTTTTCCCTTCCTCTTACACTTATCGACGGATTGGGCTTTTATTATCAATCACCTGCTGCTCTAGAAACCTAATAAGCACCACCTATCACCTATCACCATCTCGACGTCACCTTTTTTTGCTCGTCGCATCATCACCATACTCTACGTCATAGCCAAGCTATTCAGCGCCGCAAACGCGCAATAGCAAATAACCAAGACAGGGAAGAACAGAGTTTGTAAACTCCAACGCTCTTCAACTCTGTTTCTCTCACATCCATCTTCTCGCGTCGATAAACACAACTCCCGCGTCAACGCATCTAAACTAAACTCAACCGCAACAATGGCGCCTACTGAAGTTGGAGAGATCTTTGCGCGCGACTACTACAGGTGTCGCTATGGCTACACCTACAATGGCCGTTACTGTACGCGCAACAACTGGTCCCACTGGGGACGCTGGGTGCTTGCCGGTATCGTCATTGTATTCTTCCTAATGTTTTTCATGTGCTGTCTGTAAGTATTCGCCCAACCATTATCACCTGCACCTGCACCTGTACCGTCACTAACATACCCAAGTATCTCCCGCCGCCGCAAGAGCCGTGGCCATAAGCCCGTATACGGCACAGGCTGGATGGCTGGTAAGCCATGGGGCAAGAACAACAACAACCAGCAGATGTACAACTACGGTAACCAAGGTGCCCACAACGGAGGTTACCAGCCGAACAACGGTGGCTACGGCGCGCCTCCTCCCCCTCCCGCGTACGGCCAGCAGCAGCAGCCTCAGTACACGGGCACGACATTCAACTCCAACGATGGCTACTACGGCCAGAACCAGTACGGTGGCGTCCAGCCTCCCCAGGGCACATATCAGCGCGACGGCGGCTACTCTGCCCCAGCTGGTCCCCCTCCCGGCAAGTAAAGCAAGAGCCAAAGGGATGGATACGTACCGTGCGTCAATGTGAAAAATGGTTTCTTAAAAACACGGCCGATATGCAAACGATACCACTGATTGGGGCGTTTTGGGAACTCGGTTTGTAATAGTCGACATGTATGATGGATGAGAGTTCCTGCTCTCACGAGCAAGGCTGCTTTTCAGGAGGATTTATGAGAACTACCCTTTCTTAATTCAACTTTAGTTTCTACCTAGTAAATAATGTTTACATTCTTGGACTTTTCGTAATACCTGCTTGTGATTATGATGTTAGACAACTGATGATACCAAGGTATCCTGTGTGCCATGGCTCTAATCCCGGACGTTATTAGAACCCTAGAACCGTATTTCATGCCATGAGGGTATATCAAAAGGTGGGAGCCGGGTAAGGAACCTTAAGGAGATTGATCTTAACCTCAGCGGTCATTAGTGGCTGGCTGAAATACCTTTGTGTTTGCTCAGATAGTGGGAGGCTTAAATAATAGCTAGGTAAAGTTCCATCAATAAGGAATGGATACTATCAAAGTTATAAAATAGATACTCTAGACCAGTTATAAGTTGGTTCGGTATAAAAACTCTAGAGTGGTTACTCTCCTATATAGTAGTCTTATGGTTTTAACTTGTATGAAATATTTAATATCCTTTTTATCTTAAGAAACCTGGCTTTCCCATAAGCACGAAACGACAGGCAATACTTCGTATACTCCATTCTAGTGGCTTAAGAAAATCAAGAAAAGTCAAGACAAAATAAAGCCTCGCGATCATAGATTCTCATTCTCACTAAGAACTCTATCAGCTAAGCCATCTGTAAATTCAACACATGTACAATAGCCAATTGTGAACTATTCACTCAGCCCCCAAAGGAATAAAAGGTCTACTAATAAATGTAAATGTGTTTAACCCCTAACCGTTCTCTCATTACAAATATTTCTCTATCTACCTCTGCCCTTACTTCCCCTATATCCTTTGCTCAATTCTTATATAAAACGCGAGAGGAGAAAGGTCAGAATGGAGAAATCTGGAATATCGCCGCGGGAAGATATGATGGCTACCGTCTAACCACTATTAATAACCTCGCCGCATACCCCTCCTCCCTCTGGATCTCTTCTATTTAAACTAGAAGTACCGATTAAGGTCTATATAAAACTATATAATACTTTGTTTTTATTTTATTACTAGAAACTTGAAGTCTTGGCCTTCCTTTTTAGCTTAATATCCTTTCTGGCTATAGCAGTCCTCCTTTTTAAGTCAGATAAATAGCCACTATCTAAATAGATAGATTTCTTAATTACCTTTAATACCTTCGTTTCTATCCTAGTAGGAATAGTAAAGGTATCACTTGCTTTTATTATTAACATATGCTTTTCTTAGGGTAAGTAGAACTAATTAAGCCAATCTCTATAGCTACTTATCGAATTTCGACCGTTTTAATGCTACTAGTAGAGGCGCTTTAGGAAGTTTACGTTTATTAAAATCATATATCCGCCGACCGTAAGTACATTATCATGTTTATTTTTCTCGGTAGGCAAGAAGCTTCTGGAGTTATTCTGTTATTATCTTCCTACGATTCATGTCTAGCTTAATGAAACTTGAATAACTAAATGCATTTTTTAGATATTAGACTGCTTTAGGATCTTTAATAGCCATAGCCCTGCTTACTTTCAAGCCCTTCACACAAGCCATTCTATCTTTCGAAAACCGGCCCACTACCCTAATATCAGAACAATACGCAGACCTATCGCGGTTAAATAATAAATCACTAAGCCCATTTCCCAACATCAGTCAGTCTACTCAACTAAACGCTAGGACTTAGACTAGGTTCGGAGGCGGAGAGAATCCTTCGTTATTTTCTTTTACTTCTATAGCCCAGATAATACCACATACTAATATAGCTCACATTTATTTTCATTAATAGTACAAGATAATATAGGGATGAAAGCGGCTTTCTAGAATGGCTTTTTACCCCTAACTACAGCTCAAAACCTCAAGCCAGCATTCATATACACTTCAAGCAACTATTCCTAGACCAACTTTATATCTATCACAGTTTATTATAAGTGCCATAATATATCTTAATACGTTATAAAAACATCTAGGAGAACCAAGAATCCTGGTATTACTCTTCCTAACGCCAAATAGGGACCTGGTATGATTCCCGATATTAATAATAATTGGCCTGCTTTAAATTAGTACTAAAAAGTAATAAGCATTATATACATAAAGTATAAGATCCTAACCCTAGATCTAAGTTTATCAAACTATAACGAAAAGTCATAATATAATTTAATTAGTAATAACTGCCTAGATACATATCTATCACTATAAGCTACGACAAATCCGGGGTAGACCTTGAATTTTAAGGATCTTAATACTATAATTATTGCCTTTTAATATCTAACCGTAAATAAGAGTTGGCATTAATATAAAAATAAAACAATATAGGAAAAGACTAGTATTAGCAATTAAGAGTGCTCCTTATCTTTCTATATTAACAAGTATTAAGATACCCTATTATAAGGCATTTTAAACAAAAGAATTATATCCTCATAAATGAACAGGACCAAAGGGTCATACTCAGCGGATAGAAATAACATAACAGAATACTTTAAGTACGCCAATCTCAGTCTTAACATAGGCTAGGCTTTAGATAACCTATTAGATCTCTAGATAAGGATACCTAATAAATACAGTCAAAAATCAGGCCTTTTAATACGGTCGTTTGATATTACATAGATAATAATTACTTCACTACTTAACATTCTTAACAATAGCTTTTAGGGCTATAATAAAACTAACTACTATCCTTCCTTACTCCCAGTTTATAGGATTTATCCAGCAAGGGGGCTAGGCAGTCAACCACCCTTCATTATCGGGCTTAGGGAGTCCAGCCATATACCTACGATAATAGAAAATATTACTTCAAGCTTAACAAAGTAGATAAGGGATTATAACCTCAAGGCAAGTCCTAAGAAAGGATCTGCTACATCTACGATTATTATCATACACGTCTAGTGGTTCTTCTTTATTTTTCCTACGATTACCTTTTACGCCGGTCTGGCTTTTACAGTCCTATATATTTAGGAAATACAACGCCAGGGACGACTAACGTTAAAGGATAGCATTCTATCAACACTTGCATGTGCGCCAGGGGATGATTTAAGAGCAAGACTTAAAGAAGCTGTGATGGCTGGCAAGTCATAGGAACTCGGTAGAGAGGTACTAGTGATTTGGGATAAAGATAAGAGTTGTGGTCAGTTAAAACAAAAGGAAGAGCTTTAATTGGTATTTCAGAAGAGAGGACATATCAGAACATTTATTACACGGTCACTGAAAAAATACTAGCGCCGCAGCCGTTAATGGGCGCGAACCTGCATGAAACATGATATAAATAAAACATGCAGCAAGAAGATGCACCGAGTAGCATTTGCTACCACCAAGATATGAACTTCGTGGTGGTCAAGTGACGATCTGAATATCTCAATGGCCGATGCAATATTGCCGAGGTCATCAGGCTATTTAGGTAGTGCCTCGCACATTGTCATCAAAATGAAAGGAACCCGAGCCTTGGCTCTTTACTCGTAGTCAGAGCTCGCCAAGTCCAAGTCCGGAATCTGTATTTCGTATATGCCATGCATGAAAGTTTGTCTAAAAAGACGATTTAATAGCCTCCTATACATCCCATAGCCGTGGCTTTACACCATTGGACTTTCAATAATGGATGAGAATGACGAAATGTTTCAGACCCTTCAACTTCCACTCAGACACTGCGACAGGATCGTCCGGCAATCGAAACGACCCTGTCATTTCGGAAATGGGAGCCCCTGGTAATGTCCCGCAACAAGACCAGGATGATCTTCTGGCAGTAACCTAGGCAGCTGGACTGGGGATAATGGCTTTTATCGCGCACACAGAACGAACAAAGGAGGACTTGAGGTCGTTTACGGGGAGAACAAAGGGGACTTTTCGACAAGGCTATTGCATCAATGTCTGGTAGCATACGAAAGTTGAGGTATAAGTGAAGGAATACACATCACCAGTTCACTAACCTTCCTATCTTGTTCCTCATAATCTCAGGGATCTTTGTGTCATTGCGGCCATTCTCTTTGCAGCCTCCTTAGCGAACGGGCAAATCACCCGATGTCGGTCCACGGATAGAGTTCACGTATTCAGCCATGAAGTCGTCGTCACCCTCTCAACTGGCCATGTTGATTTTTATTGTGTGTCGTATTTCCACGTGCAAAACAAGATCTACGACGGAAGAACCTCTCTTATGTTTAATGAAAGACCTTGTCATGATACCTGGGACCGAGATCTCGAATTAATTGCTGACTTCTACATTATTCTGGTTGTCTACAGAATTGAATCAGTTTGCCCCATAAAGATCCATTTCGAGTTTCACAGTTTCAGAATCTCTTTGCAGGGGTCCTTGGCGTCTCCTCTCCAAGGGGTGCAGTAGATTAGGACCACTAGCGGTCCCGTCTTCCATTTTCCCCCTGGATCATCCCCCGCCACTCGCGCATCCCTAGGTCCTTCCAGCGGCTGGCGGGCGCCCTGTAACCAATCCTTAACCTGCCCATCCCCACCTCAGCAGTTGTCGTTCTCTCTTTGCTCTTACAACCAACCGCCACACACACCGTTTGGCGATACGATATGGCTGCGCACCTTTCAGCCTCTTCTTAACCTTGCTTTAGGTTATCTACACTCTCTTGAATATACTGCATCATTTCTTCATCACAATCTCTTCAAACCGGTGCGAGCGCCGATTTCCTTCTTCTTCGCCAACAATCTTCTATTCTTCCGCTAAACCATCGTCCTTCATTCCATCAACACCCGCTTCAATTACTTAAAATACGCGTTGAAAGAGAACAAATACAACATACGTTGCTGTCTCAAATTCAATCTTGTTTTGACCTTTTGACCGTTTCTCGACCAACCTCTACAGAACTCAATTTAAGGACCACGACGACTTGCCCATGCGACAGGAGCTTTATACCCACGAATCGCAACTCCATTTACCATACGATCTCTCCTGTACCAGTCTTCTTGATCCCTCGACATCCATCTCACTCATTACTAGCTTCATCTGTCTTGGAAGCGACAGAATCTAACACAATGCCCTCCATCGACGAGGCTATGGCGCGGAGCCTCAAGGGCAGCGCCTGGGAAATCGTCAAAGACAAGTTCGCCCGGACTATTGTAGCCCATCTTGAGCGAAGAGACATGATCGCCGATGCCGCCCAGTCCACCGATGCGATTGCCCAAGGATCGGAAGATTTTGCAACTGCTTTCTCGAGTTGGGACAACTGTATGAATGTACTATGGTGCAAGTGCGTATATCCCTTGTTAGTCGCAAGCTTCCTTACTGACTAGTTCCAGGTGGCCAGTAATTGGTGTCATGATTCTTGGAGGTCTCATTATCTTCAGTATTGTGTGGTGCATCATCCGATGCTGTTGCTGCGGTCTTTCCTGCTGCTGTAACTGTTTTCAATGCCTCAAGTGCTGTGGTAACTGCTGCGGCGCTTGCGACCCTCCTCGTAGTGCTACGAAGCACCTCGACGACCCATATGCTCCCCAAAGTCAACACCATGGATACCGAAATGAGCCTCCGATGAATCCCTCGATGAATCCCTCGATGAATCCCTCAGTACCGCAGTATGGAATCACCAAGCCTGTTCGAAACGAACCACCTCAGTATGCCGAGTTCGAAACCAGCAAAGGCCGAGATGATGACGCCCTGCCCGAAATGCCCAGCTGGGAGGGTGCCAACAGCAAGAAGGTGGAAGTCCATACGGAAGCTGTCGAAATGGATACTTTGTCGAAGCCACCTCCTAGTCAACAAAGCAGCATGATGGGTGGAGTTTCACCAAACAACCTGACTCCCTATGGTCAGCCACAAAGCAACTCGAGTGGCTACCTAGGCGCTGGCCAAGTTCCTGATCCCTACTCACCTCTCGACCAACAAGGCGGCTACGGTTACCAGGCTCCTGGAATGAACCAAGGTTATGGTGGTGCCATTGCTGCTGCGCCCCTGCCACACGAGCGTCGTTCACCAGCTTTGAACCAAAATGGATATGCTCAGAACCAGGGCTACGGTCACGACCAAGGATTTGGACAAGGCGCAGGATATGGTCAGATGCAAGGTTACGGACAGACACAAGGCTACGGCCAGAACACTTCACCCCATGATTATGCAGCAAACCTTGGTGGATACCGAGGAAGTCCTTCGCCGCGCCCTGCCAGTCTCGTCAAAAGAACCTCTATCCACCAAGATGAGTTCGGCTCTTATGGACAGCTTCCTCCCCGCCGATCTCCAGCTATTCCTGAGAACTACGGTTACGGATCGCCTGTTCGCCAATCACCTGGTCCTCAGAACGATTTTGGCTATGCCCAGCCACCCCGTCAGTCTCCGGCTCCCATGAACAATTACTATGCGCCTCCTCCGGGTCCTGAAGCCAGCTACAATGCTCGTCCTGTACCCCAGAGGCAACACATGCCTGAATCTCAGTCACCAGTTCATCATAACGCAGGTTTCGATTCAGGATTTGCGAGACCTCCTTCGCCCCAGCAGCCCTACCCAGGTTTCAAGCCATACCAGCCATAAGGCTAGCGAGGAGTTTATCATACGACTGTGGAATTAAATGAAAGAAAAGGCCTATGGCTCCCGATTGTCTGAACATTTTATGGTTATAAGCAGTTGTTTCCTGGATCTGGTGTTGGGTTTTGCATTGGCGTTGTTAGGGGAACATTTGATTGGTTTCTTCAGGATTTGGGTCTGGTTACTTAGGTTGTAGTTGTCGGAAGACTTAACTTTATACTTTCTCCCCGTCTTGAAACGAGATGCCTTTGTGGCGCTTTACGGGTTAGATACAAAAGTTTCTTGTCTCCAAGACGAACTGGCGTAAAGCTTCATGAGAGCTAACCGCAGTATCTAGGATCGAGTCGTTCCAGAACAAAGTACACAGTTCACAAGGAAAGATGATTGATGGCTCCCCAAAAAGAGCCTGTGGTGAATTCAAATTTGAAGTCGCTTCTAATACCGGAATATAAATCCATCTGTTAACGCCTAGGCCGCTGTTCAAGTTGGGTGCCTGTCTTCTTCCGCTATGTGACACCAAAGACCCCAAACATGGACAAGATGCATATTCCTCCATTGCTGAAGTGCAGACGCAACGACTTCGAAACAACACGATCGCTGTAAAAGACCCATGCCACCACAAATGTAAATCAAGAGTATCTAATAAAGAAATACCTTGTAAAAGGCTGGTCCATCTCTTCTATTCCTTAGGGTATAACTCCGTAGGAACCTTGTCCTTCGGATCTCGGGCGCTTGAACCACTTCCTATGACCGTCCGATCGTCGCCATCACGTTCAGGATCGTACTCCACCGATATCCTATCCTTGGTGGGACGCGCAGAACGTAAGGCGGGCTTAGCGGTCTCCTCGTCGCTCTCGTCATCGGTCTCGTGCTCTGAATCGACGAGTCTTACGCGTGAGGTTTCATCCTCACTGTCGTCGTACCTCCTGCGCCGGCCTTCGTCGTCAGAATCGTTGGCGTTCGGGGTCTCGTAATCGGTATCCTTCAGTTTGATGAACGAATCGATGATGTAGTACTGCAAACCGTTCATGATGAGAGGGAAAATCATCATAACGAACGCGATCTGGAGCTTCTCGTTGCCCTCTGTCCAGCCGAGAGCCCAATCGCCAGCCTTTGAGATCCAGGGCATCATGATGAAGATGATAAGGACGCAGACCTTCATTCCAAATAGACCACAGAAGTAGATGACAGATTGTTTCAACCACCACCAGACTTTGGGTGGGCTGCCGTAGTTGCCTGACTGGACAGACTCAGGAGGTTGACCAACGGGCGTAAAGCGGACAAGACCGGTCAAGATCTTGAGGAGAACGATAAGAATAGGGATACCTAGAGTAGTCTGTCGATCAGGTTAGCATATGTCATACCGCGATAGAAGAGTCTGGCGCTTACATCAATGGCGAGGTTGAGGAGGTAGAAAGAGCACGGGTTCGGTGCATAGTCATCGTCATCGGAACGCGTGGTCACGGTTGCTGCTGACGGATCGACTTGGACTGAGAAGCGGCCGCTTGTCAACATGGACATGAAGATGTTGGCAATGTGAACAAGCACGGAACCAAAGACTTGCTTGGAGACATCGAAGCACCAAATCTTGAGAGGTCGCTGAGGCCGCTCCCGCCAGCGCTTATAGACAAGAGAGAGCAGAGCCAGAGCACCGAGCGCGCCCTGGACAAGTAGCGCAAAGGAGCCCAGTAACGAGCACTCCCCGTTGGAGTCGTCCTTGTCGTAGGATTGTGGTGGTGCGGCAGACGAGAGGAATGTGGCTGTGGCGGTAGATGTAGCCATGGACGCAACTGAGGCGATGACTTCGGTAGCCATTGCGATGGCTGTTGACGATGAAGCGAGTATCAAGGACGAAGCATCATCGACGACGACTGGTATAATTTCGAGGTTCGGCGGCGGTTGCATGTGGGTGATAGAGACAGATAAAAATGTAGATGTAGATGCAGGTTGGTTAATGAGAATGATGTAGATTGTCTCAGTAGAGAGGAGAAAGTGGTGATGTTTCAGGGCGCCAAAAGGGTCCGACGGAGTCAAGAGACGGTAGCCCCTTGAGAAACAAAACTGTAACAAATCGTGTCGGGGGGCTGAAACTTGAATATATCTTGGTATTTAGTAATGCCAATAAAAGAGAGACCAAAAAAAAGAGAGTAAAAGAGAGAAAGGGGGGGAAAGTCAAAAATGAAGCACTTGTGACTTAGTGATCATGAATATGCAGACATGGCAGGTACGTAGTCTAGGTAGTCAGTGGTCACTGCCTCTGGGCTCTGGCTGCCCTGGAGGTGGTCATAGACCTAGACTGAAGCGCTAGGTCCAGAGTTGGTCTAGACCATCAAGCACAGCCGCATCACTTGTCTCTTTCCCCACCTAGCCGAGACCCAGAGTCTACAGCCACTTCAGCCACACACAGCTTCTCGACACTCACCTTGTGGCGTCGTCCATCTTTTCGGTTCAACTTAGCTCCGTGCTGAAACCTCAGGCAAAGCCTATCAGAACGAGCCGCCCGCCAAACACCAAAAAAGTCCAATCCAATCGTCTCAAAGTCGACGACGACGATTCAAGGCCCAATTCAACGTCGACAGCCTCCCCCTCCTAATTCCCACTGTCGAACCTCCCTCCAGACATGATGCTCCGACCGAGATCAAGGGCTTCCCGCCTGGCTTTTGGCCTTGGCATGCGCTCAACTGTCAATGCCCGCCGTTCAATCCATCATGTGCCTGAGCTGCCGCATGATTATTCCCAGGGTGTTCCCAACCTTATGAGCCCTGGAGGTTTTAATATTGCTTGGTCCGAATACATGAAGCTCACAGTGGAGAAGCTCAATGCTTTGACTGTCGGTACGTCCGTCATTGGCGTCCTTTAAGAGCAATGAATAAACCCAATTATTGTCAATTGGACCATCAACTCGCTACCTAAGCACCAATTCACCACTTACTAATTCACTAACTCTCAGGTACCGAGCTCGAGGATAAGGACACAAAGACAATTGCCCTCATGACAGCCCGTGAGCCCAACCAGGCCCCCATCTTCAACTATGCCTCGATGGCGCACAACAACCACTTCTTCTTTCAGGGCATCTCCCCCGAAGGCACCCCCATGCCTGATGCCCTTCGCAGCGAACTCGAGGCCTCATTCTCCTCTATCGAGACCCTCCGCCGCGAATTCATTATCACCGCTTCCGCCATGTTCGGCCCCGGTTTCCTCTGGCTCGTCAAGGCCGGCCCCGGCGACTACCGCCTCCTCCCCACCTACCTCGCCGGCTCTCCCTATCCCGGCGCTCACTGGCGTGCCCAGTCCACCGACATGAACGCTGTCGGCAAGGACGGCTCTGCCCGCACCTTTATGAACAACCAGGCCTACGGCGCCAACAAGCGAACCGGCGATCTTCCCCCAGGTGGCATTGAGCTCGAACCCCTCCTGTGTCTAAACACCTGGGAGCACGCGTGGCTACTGGATTGGGGTGTTGGTGCTGGCGGTCAGGGTGGAAAGGTTGCCTTTGCCGAGTCATGGTGGAAACTCATTGATTGGGAGAAGGTGGCCCAGAAGTCGGGAGTGCTACGACCTGACTTCAAGTCGGCGTAAGGGTTGAAAAATATTATATGAAGACGTATGTAGTCATGATGTACAATGTACAGCTAGGAAAACGATGTCACGGCATTGGGATAGACACAAAGAGGCGGAGGGTGAGCGAATTCTGTAAGATAGTGTACTCTGCATACACAAGTGGAGAAATGTACCATTTGATGCCAGTAAATCATTATGCCATTATGTTTTGGAAGGAATGATTGGAGAAAGAGTTGAATGTGTATAGGTGTATTGGGCTCGTATTTACAGGTATCAACGACACAACACTTTGAGTTAGAGCTTATATATCTAGCTACAAAAAGGTCAAACACCAAAAGTCAACATACAACACCAGGTATTCGCTGGTCGTCACCGACCCAACTACTAATCCGGCGCTTCGCGGCTTGACGATGGGGGAGCGAACGGGACCCCGTATTCTCCACGAGCTGTGGTCGTATGTGATGGTTGGTTTAGTTAGGAAACATTATATCGTAGTGTTGAGCTTTATCAAACTAACACCACTCGCGCTCCATGGGATGCATAGGACATATACGCCTTGAAAAGTAACTACGGTTGGAGAGCAAACAGGGTTCTGTGTTACTATTAGCGCACTACTATCATGAAGTTGTTGAGCGTCAGTTGCGAGATTGTTGTAATCCTCATGGCGTTCTAAAGGGTCAAGTATTGTAGGAGGGAACAGACACAAAGGGCCATATTAGGTTGTGTATTCAATGGACAGTGATATGTCTGGACTCTATCTACATTTAGAAAGTCTCTGGGACGTGGTGTGTAATAGAAGTTGATGTTCCCTGTACAGTCCAAATATCCATCACATGATCGTTTACGAACCTTCAACAAATGGCGAGGCTGTACCTACGTCCTATAGCATAGAAGTACGTACGCAGCATCGAAAGTATTATTACCTGACGATCGCCAGGCCTAAAGGAAACACCCGACGTCACACAAGTCTTCAGACCACGTTTAAATATAAATTCGTCATTTCATTTTCTTTTCCTATCCTAAGAAGCTTGCCTGAGCTACCTATATGAAGTAAAAAGCAACTAGCGCCAAATGGTATCCGCGTCGTCGTTCGTTAAAAAAAACCTTTGAGGGAGTGGGTTGTGATTCTAGAGTCGTGTGTGAAAGGTATAAAGTAGACAGATTGTTCGTAACCGTGGAGTAGAAGCCAAGCAAGTAAAGAAAACATGGTATGCAAGGCCCCAAATCCCATAAAGCATCATTTGCTCGTCTCGAGCTAACATTCATCCGCTGTGTAAGCATCCCGCGAGAGAGCCGCAAGCAAGTATCCGCAAAAGTGGTTGTACGTTCTGGCGTATAAAAAGCAAGCAAAAACAAGAGTACGTGAAGAAGCAAAAACAAGCAACTGATTTCCCAGTGACCACGGAGCAATGGCAACTGGTCGAGGGTATCAGGTATAATTCGACGCAGAGTAGAGTTTTGATAAGTGAGAGAGTCATAAGCGATAGAGTCATAAGTAATAAATGGTGGAGTGATAGAGTGAGGCCGGATGAGATGGCTTAGATCATGTTACCGTTAACACTAATCTCGAAGCCTTCGCCCTTCTGCCTCAAGGCCTTTGCGAGCATGAGCTCACGCATCCAATCGATGCGGTCATCTCGGTTCTTCACAGCAAAATGGTGTGTCTTGCCTGTGCCATTGACACCTTCAACAGGAATGGCGCCAGCAGGCTGAATGTGACTCTCACGCTTGCGAAGTCGGGCAGTGTTCTTGTCCTGTGGAATGAGTTGGAAAGCAAATGCTCCTACAGGATCACTCTTCTCGCGGCTGTGGCTGCCACGAGAAAGATGCATTGTCTTAAAGGCAGCAGTGAGCTTGGAAGAAGATGCAACACTCGAGCATGCAATAGCGTAGTCATCAATGTCCACATATTCAAGAGTTCGGTCCAGCTCTTCGGAGTCTTTGTGCATGTTGAGACGAGTGCCCTTGATAGTGAAGTAGCCATCCTGCCACTCGTGTCGAAGCATCTTGGTCTTTCGCTTCTTCATGGGACCTTGATGGCTGATGCCGTTGGCAGGATCAGCGGAGGGAGACTTGCCTTTAGCACCAAGAGGAGTAATAGATGGTACCAAGACTTTCTCAGATCCGTTGAGATGACCACGAGAGAAGGGTAGGTTATCACGAGGAGGTGGCTGAAGGGGCTGCTGGGCTCGGGAGCCTCGTGGTGACTTAGGTGACGAGGATCCTTGGGCAGGGCGGCTGGAGAAGATGGGCTTGTTCTCCTCCAGAGCTGGCATCACAGGGAAAGATGGGCGGCGGGCTGAGGTGCGAGATTGGCAACGAGGAGGTGAAACATTGTTGGTGGGGGATGTGCGGTAGTTCATGTCAGGAGGAACAGATTGAGAGAAGTCTCGGGCAACAGGGCCAATAGGTACAGCTGTAACAGGAACATCGAGTTCTGAAAAAGGTGTACCGTGACGAAAGCTGTTCCTGGGTGTCACTTCCAGATCGGGAGATCGAGGGCTGGTCCTTTCCATCTGGTAAGGTACAAAGGTAGGTTGTTGCTTTTGTTGCTGTTGTTGTAGTTGTTGTTGTTGTTGTTGTTGTTGCTGCTGGTGTTGCGCAAATGACTGATGCTGTACCTGCTTCTTTTGTGGTGGGGGTACAGAAGAGGCACCCAGACGCGAAGGTGGAAGCTGAGGCTTCCCAGGGATAGAGAGCTTAGGCAGTCGGCGAAGGCCTTGATGAGGAAGCTGGGCCTGTGCGTTTGGCATTCCATCAAAAGGAGGCGTGGGAGGCACCTCTTCACTACACTCTCCCACATGTTGGTGTTGGTGCTGGAAACTGAGGAATTGCCTCACGTTGTCTTGAGGATCTCGGGATTGAACGCCACGGAGAGATGCCTCGTAGAGGTATTGGAGAGGAGGCATACCAGGACCCATGACATCTGAGGATGCGACAACTGAAGGTACGGCATCTGACACAGGGCGCACCTTGTTGGGATCCAATGCCTTGGCTGTCTCGGGATTGCCAGCATCACCGACCATGACTGTGCCTGTGGCGTTGATATCTACATGAGGATATTCTTTCTTGAAAGCCTTGATGAGTTGCTGTTGTTTCCTGAACTTGGAGCAGTTCTCTCCCTTGGAACAGTTATGAGGCTTGGGAATGACCTGTTCGATGCCGATGATAGAGACAGACTCCATGGGTGTAATGTCATCTCCGTTTGTTCTTGCTCGGTGCCTTCGCTTGCTGCTCTGGCGATGTCGAAGCCCGTTGTCATCCCCTCTTCGCACCTCTCTCACAACATCTCTGCTTGGTACATCCTCAATGGGTGTTCCTGGCCGAGGTGAGGCGGGCCGGCTGTCTCTCAATGCCTGGATTTGATGCCAGACCTTGGTCCTGATACCAAAAGATTGGATGTTGAGCTCCTTAAGATCTTCAAACTTCAATGTGATCAAAATCGCCCCACTGATATCATTCTCCATAAACCGGTCTGCCACAGACAGCTCAACGCCAGCGTTGAGCATAGCCTGGGCAACCATCTCGGTGGTCCATGATGCCAGAGTTGTGGTGTCAAGTTCCTCATCGGTATACTGGAAGGGACCTGCTCGAGGTGGTGGCTGAGTTGTCATGAGAAAGTCGGCAATATTTCGTGGTCCCTTGGGGGTGATGGGCGATAAAGTCAGAATGATGTCCTCTTCGGTAGACGAGTATTGATCACTCGAGTTGCGGAACAGGTGAGGTCCTCGAGGACCTTCAACTTGCTTCGGGGAATACTCAAGATGAACTTCCTGGCTTCTACTCGACCTTGGCGTGGGAACCTCATCATAGGAAGAAACTGTTGTGAAACTAGGCTGCCCAGCCTGAGATATAGTTGTCAGCACCTACCGAGAATGGGACCCTCTCCTCTTCAAGATACATACCGATTGCAAGCTTATGCGAGGGGAGTTGTCTTCCTCGTCACTAATGATCTCATCCTCTTCCTCCCAGTCAGTATCCACGAATTCTGTTGCTACTGAGATTGGTCGCTCTAGTAGCTGAGAGTCATTCTTGAGGCTAAAGAAGGTATCACGAGGTAGAGGCTTCTGTCGCATTTGCGAATATGTTAGGCGGTCTCCGCCTCGAAAAGATGTGTATTCCTATAGTGAGCTTGTTAGTTGTCTTCATCACACTCGCTCCTGAAGCTCTCTCTTACCATTATGAGCTTTGTGTGAGAGGATATCAAGAGTCGACGCTGGAAGGCACCAGGTAGAGTTGATGAGATAGTGTTTTATAAACTGAGTATTGTTCAGTATTGCCGTTGCCGGCAGTTGCTTCTTTAGAACTCAGTGCTTACAAGCACGATCGAGAACACGCCGTGAAACAGAGAGAAACAAATATAGGAAACATAGACCTCGTGGTGGCGAGGAGATAATACACAGATCGCAAAACTTGGGAGGAGGGGACCAGGGGAGCGAGCGGGCGGTTACGGGTTGTTATGTATGCACTATAGCTCGATGCTGGAGACAGAGGGAACCGAACCAGCACGAGCATGAGCGGTCACGGAGGATGTGGACAAGAATAGACTTGAGCGAGTACTAAAAGCAGTGTGCGGTCATGTTTCTAGGCCCCTTGGGGGTGCTGTAGGCCAGTCCCTAGACCCTAGACCCTTGTACCCTGGTTTGTTCGACGGGAGCAAAAGAGACGGGAGGAGAGAGGAGGGTGGGAGCTAAGATCCCAGTATGAAGAACAGGGTGCTGCGGCTTCATCACACCGGCACGGGACGCAGGAAGCGGAAAGCAAACAACTTAATCACCGAGGACTAGATGATAACGGCCAACCAACAGCAGATCGTTCAACGGTTGCATTGCGCTTGCAAGCAATCTGAGAGAGCCATGTTAGCAAATATTCGAGGTTGAGGAACAGTAAACCCTCCCCACTGAGAAGTACGCATAGACGGTTGATCCATAGCAGTTGATCCATAGCGGAGAGCAAGCAGGACCGAGGGTTCGGGGGCGTGCGCGGCGTCAAGCTGGCAGTATCAATTGGGCCTTCGATCTGGGCAGAGTGGCTGCACTCGCGTGCAAAAATGCACGTTCAGTCACGTTTCTTGACTCAGATCACGAATCAAAAGAGGTCTAGGGGCCCGGGGTCCAGATGCTGTTAGAGAGAAGCAGTGTCCAGTGTCGATACCAGCACGCTTTATGACGATGCTAAGAGGAAGAAAACAACCCTGGCCCTAGCTAGAAGAGCGTGGGGCGCGATAGCTCAAGCAGTCTGTGCATGTCGATTGGCTTGAGCTGGCGCACGTTGCAACCCTGGCTCTTGAGGCGTTAGGCTTAACTCGACGAGCACACCCAATCTCTAGAACCGGGGATCTGTTAGTGCCACACCTCCTGGACAAATATAGCGGCCCTGACGAGCGTTTAAGCGCCGGGAGCTTGAGCTGCTCACCTTGGGTTGTGTTGTGCTGAGTGAGGTGAGGTTGGGCTACGAGTCAACGTACCACTCCGCAGGACAAGACCAATGTCTATCTCATTTATCAACTCAATGAATCAATGTGATAATGGTGATAAAGATGGATGCCCGGGGCAACCCTCATCAACACGGTTGATATGTTTTCTCCTGCTATCACATTTCTCAATTGACATTCGATATTACCTTCTCTCGCTCCATCTTGTGGAGGCTCCTGCGTATCCGTACTCTAGTCCCCATATCCGTTCTGCATTGTAGTTTTCTCTCTGCAGTGACAGGGTTATCACGGGCCATGCAGCTTCGGCATAAGAGCGGGAGACAAGCAAGTCCCATCATCTGCATGCGAAATCCTTAGAGAAACGAGAATAAACGGCATGGGTCACTATTCCCTTATACGATACACTGTACGGGGGTCCTTGCATGCATTTGTCTTTGAACTTAGACATTACCATCTGTTAATATATGAGTTGTTGGCAATGCTGTTGTCGACGAACGACGTGGACAGCTCGAGTATCAATTGATCTCTTGTCCAACGTGTTGTTCCCCTGCATGCCGTTGTGGAACGTAGCACACTTGCGTTCCTGGGCATGAAGCTAGCCATGTGACTTGGGTGATAGAACAGTTGCGAATGCGTGTGAACAAAGCTTGTGCATCTCTGTACTCTGTAGTTAACGGCGTATTTGTGTCCGAACAAGGAAAGTTTACTCTTGCCTCGCATCGCATTCCATCCAGAAACAAGCTTTCAACGGTTGTAAACTCTTGCACTTTGACCAGCAGGCTGGAACAGCTAAAGCTCCCAGCACTTCGATACGCTGGCTCTTTGGTTGTGGGACCGGAAACCGTTACATCTGAAACTTTGTGTTCATTTTGACTCACACGCGGTGCATTAGCCTCAAAGTATCTCGAAGCCGTGTTCAGAACTCGTTCGATCTGTGAGTTGAAGCTTTATCCATCTCCAGGCCCATGCTCCAGCCTCCGCCACCTGTCATGTACTCAGTCTGGTCAGTGAATCAACCGCGAGATCAATTGGTGGGTCTTGGGATTAGATGCTGAATCTGGAGGAAGGCGAGCAAAGCGTCTTTGGGCACTGAGTCTCTCCGAGCCAGGTCAGGTCTTCGGAACCGATCGACACTCCGCCGAAAACTAGACATATCGTACGTTCTCTAACGGGTGAAATATGGTCTTCTGGTATTATTGCCGTGGCTCATGTGTGCTCCTGGCGCCGCTAGAGGCCCCCAAAGGGTCCCTAGATCGTCGAGGTTATGGCCCCCACCACCTGCTATGAGGCCCTTCAGAGGCTACGAGAGTCCCTGTAGAAGTCCCTGTCGCTCTTACTCGGGCCACCACCTCCTACAACCTTGATTTCCTCTTCTGGCAGTGCGTTCAAGGACACATGCCTTGGCACTATGTCACTTGAGAACCAATCATAGCGGTCAATGATCTTGTTATCCACGAATGGAAGGGTAAAAAAATGCATGGGCAGTCTAGTGGAACGGACCGTTTTCCTCTTCATTTGTCTGCCTCCAGTATGGTTATCCGCTATTATGATTTTCCATGCGGCAGTAGGTAGTCAGGCGGATCAGGGCGGCATCAGTTGGTTGGCTGTGAACCAGTCTTCCCATTTTTGCCTCATCCACAATTCGACTATATTTTCTGGCTCCAGACTGTAATTTCGCCTCGTCAATGGTACTATGAGCATTGCTCATACTGGCGGTCAAGTATTCGTATATTGTCTTGCTCGTCGTGTGACTCAAAGGCCATAGCCACGCATGTTCACATGAACGAGTCAATTCGTTTTATGAGCGAATAGCCGATCCTTTCAACAATACCCCCAGAGGGGTCGGTGATAATTGACTGATACTGTGCTCTTCCTTGTCGAGATTCCACCGCACAGTAAGAATGAAAACGAGACTCGAAGTATTAGTGTATGCTGGGATTTGGGGTTTGCAATGTCTTGATCACACTGAGAAAGGCTTAGCCCGCTGTGGTTTGCTCGATACGTCCTGTCAATCAACAAACAGTCCTGGTTCATCCAACAGCTGAATCGGTGACATCTATCGAAAAGGTGGCATATCCCTGCGTGAGATATGTAGAATTGAGGAGATGACAGACGGCTCAGCAAGCCGAGGGTGAGTGGCTTTAAGACGTGGTTGGTTGAAATGAATCTCCAAGGCCGACATTCAATGTCGGATTAGAGCGATATGCACTCATGGAGGTCTCGTTACGGTGATTATTGATAAACTCATGGGCAATGATACCCAAAGTTAGCAGGACGAATGTTTCTGTGCCTGGGCTGAGATGCAATGTGACGCGGCATTGATTCGTTTGCATTGCCATATTAGATGGTGGAAGATCTAATGCTTTGGAGTCGAAGTTTATGATTCTCTGTGTAGCACCTGCATAACTAGTGACCTGCCACTTTCCTACAGTTATACCCGGATAGCACCTACCAAGTAAACCAAGGTTACACTATGCGGGAAGTCACAATGTATACGAGATTCCAGTCATGAGCCAAGTTAACGCAAACAGGCATGTCCCTGATACCGACTCTCCCTGTCCCATTCTGTAAATGTTGCAATTATTTGGCTGTAGGGTAGCCCCACTAAAACCATGATGCTTGATATCAATATTTTCGGCTACTGACAGCTTTGACTTACTCCGTACATGCCTTTCGTTTCCCAACACACACTTTGATATATTGGCAATGAATTCCGGACCCCGACTTTGTTTCCTTCAATTTTGACAACTTACAGAGACCCGGTGTTCCGAATTGCTTCGCTTCGCTTCGGAGATGAGGCATGAGTAATTAAAGTAACGGCCTGAATCAAGGCGCCACTATATTGTGGCCGCGGGTTTCGAAGCCCATGATGGACAATTTACTATGTGATCCAATAGTCATTGTTATTCTCATCTGGCGTCACCGATTGGCCTCGTGTCCATCAATCGTACCCTTGCGGGGGATTAACCGATCCCGCTCTAGGTAGCCTTTTTGTGAGGATTCCTCGTCTGTGCACCTTCACTTGTCACTCTATCCTTGCCACAACCCTTGCTAAACGTCCAGCATTGAAATATTTCGCTTTTCACTTTTCTTTTACATACCCATACTAAAACAGGATGTGACTGTGACAGCTGCTAGAGCATGATCCTTGACATTCCTCAGAGACAAGCAGACAAAGCTCGAATCCTTACGCCAGTTAGCGGGCTAATGCTTCGTTCCCGCTTTGCTTCGCATGCCCGTCCAGCCTTCGGGTGAAGATGCTTTGCATTGAGGCATGGACCTTGGTCTTTTACGGCAAGACTCGTCTTTCCGGGTTCTCACCGACTGTTCCGCCCGCAACAAAGCTCATACCAATGACGACGATGGCTGTCGTGAACGATAGACATCGGAGCTTTAAGACATTCATGCGGGTTAGTTAACAATGGCCATGTCTCACGTAACAATCGTGGTGTCTCACTCTGGAGTTTACGTTCTAAGCCTCTGGTTAAGGCCGCATCTACGGATACAACTGGATGATCCTCAAACTCGAGGAGCGGCCGACAAGCAAGGTTGGAAGCCGATAAATCACAGCACATCTGCGGACAAAAGTGCTGGTTGGCAACACACATCGGGTAGCTGCTTAGTTTGTTGGGATGCATCACGACAGGCTTGCGTGCAGGGGATCGAATATTGACATTTATGTCAAAGAATCTTTACAGCATCTCTCCGAGTCCAATGTCAACTACGAATTGTTAACCTCGAAGGGC